TGGAGGGTGCGTCCGGGGAGGCGGGGAGGCAGGAGGTGGTGGTGGGGGGGGTGCGTCCATGCCAGCATGCGCATGCACATGCCACCAGACGCAGCAGGCGCGGAGCCGCGGCGGCGCTGCATTGCGGCGGCTGGCCCTTCCCAACACCGGCCGCCGCCGCGGCCCTCCCGACCAGCGGGGCATGAGCCCGCCCGCACCCACCTGGTGCTCGAAGAAGTTGAAGTCGAGGTAGCGCTCGAAGCGGCGCACAAAGGGGATCGACACCGCCTTCCACTGCACCTGGTAGGTGAAGGTGAGGGAGGCACCCGAGGTGAGCGGCTGCGGCGACTCGCTGGTCAGGTTGATGTGGATGACCTGCGGGGGCGGGGCAGGGGAGGGGTGTGCGTGTGTGTGTGTGGAGGGGTTGGGCAGCGGCCGGCCGGAGGAGCAGCACTGCGCATGCCTTTCTGGGACAGCATGGCAGCGCTCGAACAGCATGGCAGCGACCCCGGCATGCCGGCCGGCGCCGGCACACCGCGCCGCATGCAGGCCGGCCGGCACGGCCTCCATCCACACACGCCACAGCCTCAACCCTTGGCTGTCACGGAGCCGGCAAGCCAGCCCCGGGCACCAGCCCCATTCCCCGCACACACCCGGTCCCCGTTGTATGCGATGTCAAAGGTCTTGTGTGTGTAGATGTACACGTTGCTGTCGCCCTTGGTCTGCTCCGGGGGCGGGCCCACAAAGCCCCAGATGGGCAGCTCGTCGGCGAAGAACTCGTACCAGTAGTGCCGCCGTACCGCCTCGGTGAAGTCCTCCACCTGCGGTACGGGTGCGGTACGGGCCATGCGGAACCGCGTGGGTGGCGCAACGTTTGAGGCAGCCGGTGGGCCAGCTGGCGTCCAGCGCTGGGGGAAGAGGGAATGCGGCAGCGGCAAGCACGGTGCCAGGCAGCAGCAGCTGAAGCTGCCACGGCTGCCACATGCTCCACGTCGGTGGCTGTTCCCCATCTCCGCTTCTGCTGCTGCTCCTGCCGGGCACTCCACGGCTGCTCTCCCGCCAGCTGATGATCGCTGACCCCCGCACCATGCACTGCTGCAGCATGCCGCCACACCCTGGCCCAGGCCCGCTTGCTACTGCTGCTGCTGCTACCGCTGCTGCTGTCGTCCTGCCCTGCCACAGCTCACATGCCCGCTGGCAGCAGGCAGCAGCAGCGCAGCCGCCAGACAAGCCGCACAGGCGGGCAGCGCCAGCAGTACAAGGCAATGCCGCAGCTGGCAGCACAGGCATTCCCTGGACCAGGCGCCACCGAGCAACGGCTCGCCGGCAGCACCCGCCAACCGGAACCCATCACCCGCCGCCTGCCTGCACCCAGCACCCGCAAGCGCTTTCGCACCTTGTCGTCGTCCAGGTTCATGGTGCAGATGTCCCGCTTGGGCATGTCTGTCCTAAACTTGAGCTCCAGCTGCGAGTCGATCAGCTCGTTGCCTTGCAGCACCTCGCCCAGCCCGCCCCACTTGTGCCGCGTCTTGTCAGCCGGCTTGGGCTTGCAGAAGGGCAGCAGGTAGTAGTTGTCTGTAGGTTCAGGTGGAAAGGGGAGGGCAGGGGGGGGGCGGGCGGGCAGCAACATGGCACAGGTGAGCAGGGCAAACGGAGGCGCCAAGTTGCCGGCATGCCACACACACACAGCGGTGCAGCAGCTCACATGTCTCCTGCGGATTGTTGTAGGGCCCCACTTTATTGACCCACAGGGTCACCACGTCTCCCACTTGGTACTGCAGGGCGCGAGAGGAGGCAAGCACGCTGGGGGTGAAGCACAGCAGCGGGCCGCACGGCGGAGGGCGGGGGCTGGTGGGGGAGCAGCGGCGCCGACTCGATCGCGGGCCTGCCGCGTCGCCAGGCGGCTGGTCTCCAGCAGCTGAGTGCAGGTAACCCGTCCACCGTCCCGCTTCACAGCTGCAACCGCGCTGGCTGCGGCGATCGTTGCTCCCGCCCTGCGGGGCTTACCCTGTGGTTGTGCTCGTCCGCCGAGGCCAGCCCCGCCAGCAGGGCCAGCGCTGCCACAACGGCAGCTGCCTGGGCCCCTCTCATTGCTCCTGCTGCCGGCAACCAGTGCACATAAGCTCTGCGGCCTGTCTCTGTGCAGTTGGGTGCTTCCTTGCTGCCTGGCGGATCCCTGGAGCCTCTGGAGGGACGATCAGATGCCTGACAGGCCGTTTGGAGCGACCGCCACCAATTTTGGTAACAGGTAGAAAACGGAAGAATAACAGCGTGCCTGAGGCCTCATGGGAACCGGCCGTTTGGCACCCGCGATCAACGGATTGCATCACTCACAGGGAGAGGACCGGGGCCAGCCTCACACCAAAATGGCGACGGCGGCAAATACAGCAGAACCCTGGTCCCCCGCAGTCCGGGGCAGCTCCCTGCGTGTCGATGTCGCGGAGGTGGGGGGTGCAGGAGCACGCCGCATGTCAGGGCATGCAGCGCCGCCGCCATGCCGCCACCGCCGCTCGCCTCCCGCTTCATCATGCTCGGCTGGGCCCTGTTGACTTCCAGGTGCTGGAGGACAGCAAGGCGGCGCTGCAGCTGGTGCTGGAGGCGACTCCTGGGTGGGGACCGGTGAGCGCAGGCCGCGGCCCAGGCACTGCTCCGTAGCCCCCTCCTCCGCCGCCTGCTGCCCAGAACGCCACGCTCCCAACCGCCGCCGCGCCCTCCCTGCGCTGCTGCAGGAGGCGGCGGCCGCCGCCAGGGTGGAGCAGGTGAGCGGCGCGATGACCAACCTGGTGTACCGCTGTACCTCGCCAGCCGCGGCCGCCAACGCCACCGTCATCGTGCGCGTGTTTGGCACCGGCGGCAAGCTGTTCAGCCAGAAGGACGAGCGCAACATCTTCCTGCTGGCTTCCGACCTGGGACTGGGGCCCAAGTGCCTGGTGCGCAGCGGGTGCCTGATGCTGGCTGGGGCTGGCCGCCATCTCGCCATATCCCACACTGGATGGTAGAGAGGATGTGGGCGTAGGGGATTGTCTGGCGTTTTGTTCGGTGGGGCGGAGGCCGGGAGGCGTAAAGCTGACCGCGCGCCTGTACCTCCACCTACCCCCGGCCCTTCTGCTGCTGCCTCCCAGTGCAGGTGGAGTACGGCAACGGGCGGGTGGAGGAGTTCCTGCCGGGGGACAACCTGAGCTGCGACAGCATGCGGGCCCCTGCCACGTCAGCAGCCATCGCCGCAGCCCTGGCCGTCTTCCACGTCCGCATGCTGGCCCGGCTGCCCGCGGCGCAGGGTCTGGCGGCAGCGCCGGGCATGGCGGCACCCGGTGCAGGCGGCAGCGGGATCGGGGATGCAGGCGGCAGCGGGAGCGGAAAGGGCACAAGCGCAGACGGTCGGGCGCAGCAGGCGGCGCCCGCGGGGCTGCGGCCGGCCATCTACGACCGGATACAGCAGTGGTATGCGGCGGCACAGGAGGTGTGCGGCGCAGAGCTGAAGCAGCTGGGTCTGGCCAACATTCCAGAAGAGGTGGGCGGCGTTGGCGTGGCGCGTGCGTGTGTGTGGTGGCGGCGGCAGCATGCCCGGTCTTGCCATGCTGGCTGGTCTCCCGATCTCCCACGTGCGCCCCCTGCTGCTGTCCCCTTCCTCGCCATCGCCCACCCCATTCCCCACCTCGCCCCGCGCCCTTCATCCCCGACACCCCCTGGCTGCCTTGCATCCTGCAGCTGGCAGCCCTGGAGGCACACCTGGCGGCAAGGTACCCCGCTTGGGTGGGCTTCTGCCACAACGACCTGCAGTACGGAAACATGCTGCTGTTTGGCAGCAGTACAGGTGGTACCGCCAGCAGCGCTGCGGATGCGGCCACAGCAGCAGCAGCAGCAGCAGCAGCAGCAGGAACAGCAGCGGCGGCGGCGCAAGAAGGAGGGGCAGCGGCAGGAGTAGGGACTGCGGCAGCTGCGGCAGACGGTGGTTCGCCAGCAGCCAACGGTGCAGCAGGGGAGGGAGATAGCCCCGGCGAGGCTGCGGCCGACGCAGACGGCGCCGGCGGCAAGGCTTCCGATGCCGACGGCGGCAGCGCTGCGGGCCCTCTCTCCATCAAGCTCATTGACTATGAGTACAGCACCCTGAACGACGTGAGTGACAGCTGGGAACGCCTGCATTTGCGGGCTGGCGGCGGCTGTGCCCATTCCGGCGGCTATGCCATGAGCCCGCCTGCGCTGCTGCTCCCGAGACTAGATCCTTGCAACGTCCTGGCGGGTGGCTGCAGGTGTCCTATGATCTGGCCAACCACTTCTGCGAGTGGGCCTACAATTACCACTCAGGTGCGGGCGGGAGTGGCAGGCCTGCCGGGTGGCAGGCCTGCTGCCGCGGCTGCTGCTGCTGCCCTCCTTCCTTTTGCTGGCGGCTAGGTGCGCTGCATGTGTGTGTGTGTGTGTGTGTGTGTGTGTCAGCAGAAGCGGAGCAGCACAAATGGTGATGCCTTGCATGCCGGCAGGGCTGCTGAGCTGCCTGAGCCAGCTGGCGGCGATCCGTGCGCTCTGCCCCCTGACACCCTCCTGCAGATGAGGCGCACCTGTTCCGCGACGACCGCCTGCCCTCCCAGGAGCAGCAGCTGCACTTCTGCCTCGCCTACGTGCGCGCCATGCGGGCGCACGTGGCCGCAGCCGGCGCCGCCGCCGCCGACCGCCCCGCCAAGCGCCGCGCCGTGGGCGGCTCTCCCGAGCCGGAGCTGCCCGGCCCCGGCGCGGGCCTGGCCACGCGCATCCTGGCCGCCGGCGCCGCCGGCGGCGCGGGCCGGGACGGCGGCGCGGCGGGGGACGCGGCGGCGGCGGCGCTGCTGCTGCGCAAGGCGCAGGCGCACCTGCCGCTGGTGCACCTCAAGTGGGGCCTGTGGGGGTTGATCCAGGACCAGATGTCTGACGTGGACTTTGACTACCTTGCGTACGGCAAGCAGCGCATTGAGCGGTACCACGCCACCAAGTGCGCGCTGCTGGGCCAGTAGGGAAGAGCCGAGGGCCACAGCACGAGAGGAGAGGCTGTCGGGGGCACGGATGCTGCCCAGCCGAAGCCGCCCTTCACCCTGCCTTGTTGCACAACACTGCAGTTTACCTGTTGCCCTTGATTTCGCACTGCCGAGATGCCATGATGAGTGATGGCTGACTGTACTGATTTGACACTGGAACACTGTGACGGATGCCAGGCTATGAACGGCGCAGGCGGCCGCCCGGCGGCGCATCCCCAGCGCGCAGCAGAGCACAGCACGGCGAAGGTCCTAGCGTTGCTGCCGCGCATCCACTCCTTATGACGAGCGCCAGAGTCACTGCCATTGTCTGCGCTGCTCTGGGTTGTCTGTTCTGTTCACTCGTGGTCCGATCAGCCAGCCGCCCTTCAACCTGTGGAGCTGGAGCAGACAACGGAGCAGCTTCCGGGTCGTGCGACATCCACGCCGCCGGTGACGCAGCAGCGACGACATCACCAGCGCCACCGCCGCCGCCGCGCGCCATGTTCGCCTTTGGCCCCGTCATCCGCCAGCCGGCGCTGGGGCGCCACACGGGCAGCGTCATCCTGCTGCACGGACTGGGAGACACGGGGGAGGGTAAGGCGGCGTGCATGGCGCAGGCTGCGGGTCTGCCCGAGGAATTGTCTGCACTGAACGTCGGCCAATTCCGTCCCTGCCGCCTCTCGCCAGGCTGGGTGCCTGTGGCCCGTCGGATGTGCTGACCTTGGCGCATCCCGCCCCTCCCCTGCCTCCCACTCCTTTCCAGGCTGGGCGCCGGTGGGCCCGCAGCTGCGGCTGCCGCACATCAAGTTCATCTACCCCACGGCTCCCACGCGGCCCATCACAGTCAACATGGGCATGCGCATGCCGGGGTGAGGCCTCAGGGGTGCACTCTGGGGTGGTGCACTGGAGGACCCTCATGTGGTGTGTGTGGTTGGGTGTGCGTGGCCGGAGGGACGCATGCCAGCCGGCACGCGTGCATGTAATGCATATATGTAAGCGTGCTGGCCTGCCGTGGCGTGCCCGGGCGGGCAGCCACAGCGGAGCAAGCGCCCACCCCTCCCCTTCCCTCCCTTTCGTTGCTGCGCAGGTGGTTTGACATCACCCACCTGGACCAGACCGGTCTGCTGAACATGATGAAAGGTGGGCTGGGCCGCTGCCTGTCCCCCGGGATGACGCCGGTGCTGCTTGCTGCACCGCTGCGCTGCATGCTGGGCGGCCAGGCCAGGGCCCATCCCAGCCCTGCCCGAAGCAGGCAGCCGGCCGTCCACCCAGCCGCCCGTCCTCGTGCCACCTGCCCACCCGCCGACCCTGCCGCAGGCCGGCCGTTCGACCCGGAGGGCGTGGCGGCGGCGGTGTCGCATGTGCGCACCCTGATCGAGCAGGAGGTGGCGGCGGGCATCCCGCTCAGCCGCATCGTGGTGGGCGGCTTCTCTCAAGGCGGCCACGTGGCGTACAAGGCGGCGCTGACCCACCCGCAGCCGCTGGCGGGCTGCATCGCGCTTTCCACCTGGCTGGAGCCGTCCCTCAAAGACGTGGGGCTGGCTGCGGCGGTGTCGCCTGGCTTATGCACAGTGTGCCGAGGCTTGGGGCCGTGCCGAGGGCGGCTCGTGCTCATGCCCCCCACCTGCCACCTGAGCCCTGGCCTGCCGCCTCACCACTCCCACCCCGACGCATGCGCATCACACCACACCACCACCACCACCGTGCCGCCCCGCTGCCGCGCCTGCAGGTGCCGCCAGCCAACCTGCAGCTGCCACTGTTTGTGGGGCATGGCAGCGTGGACAACCTCATCCCGCCTGTCATCGCCACCACCACCCAGGAAGTGCTGGAAGGGATGGGCTGCACCAACATTGAGTTCCACATGTGAGTGAGGCTGAGGGCGAGGGCGAGGCAGGGGAGGGCGGGTGGGGTCACGGTGGATGAGGAAGAAGCCAAAGAAGCTGCTGCCGCTGCCGGTGGCAGCACCGCCGGGAGAGGTTGTCTTGTATATGTGCGTGTGTGGTGGTGGGGCCGGCAGCGGGGCGAGTGTTTGGGTCATTTGCCTTGGCTGGTGGGGCCGGGGCGAGTGCCACTGGGGCTGCCTGCCTGCCCACCTGCCTGCCTGCCCACCCACCCGCCTGCCTGCCTGCCTGCCCGCCTGCCTGCCTGCCCACCCACCCGCCTGCCTGCCTGCCTGCCTTACACTCCCGCCCGCAGGTACACGGGTATGGGCCACAGCAGCTGCCCCCAGGAGCTGCAAGACGTGCGGAACTGGCTGCTGCGGTGGGTGGAGCCGACCAGGGCTCAGCTGCTGCCAGGCCGGGCCGCCGGCGCTCCTGGGGCTGCACTGACTGCTGCTGTGGCACAGCCCCCTGCCGGCCAAGGCCTGCCTTTCAACTTCCTTGCCCAGCTGCCAGCCTGACAGGCTTGCCATGTTGGCCTGCCTGTTCGCCTGCCTGCCTGTTCGCCTGCCTGCATGCCTGCCCGCCTGCCTGCAGGGTGCTGCCTGACCTCCCTGCCACCCGGGAGGAGGTGCAGAGCATGTCAGTTGGGCAGCTCAAGGCCTTCCTGCAGGGCAAGGGTGGGTGGAGCGGCTGCGCCCACCTCTCCCCCAGTTCCCATGCCTTGCTGCTTGTTCACCTGCTCACTCTGCCCACCCGACCCACACGCCGCACCCCAACCACACCACCCCGCAGGCGTCAACACCACTGGCATGTTTGAGAAGAGCGAGATGGTGGAGGCGGCTCTGGCGCTGCTGTAGCGCGCCGCCGCTGGTAGCGCTCTCTGTTCCTTGCGCTCATTCAACCTGCCATTATCCTTTGGTTGCCGTTGTTGTGTGGTTTGATGCGTTGCCCACATTGCCCTGCTAACTGCCTCCCGCACTATGTGCAAACACAGCATTATCTTACTAGTACGGCACCAGACAGCTCGCCACCAGCAACTGCAATGCAGTGCGGCGTGCTTCCCCATGCTGCGCTCTGCTTCCACCAGATGATGTAGCATCAATGCGTGCCGCACTTAACAAGCAGCACACATGCATGGCGCAGGGCAAGCCAAGGCAGGGCAATCATGAGGTGTACACCATACAGCTAAGCAGGGCATGGCATGGTTCTTCACAATGTGAGGAACATGAACACAGAAACAGGTGTGCTGCACCGTCTTCTCAGCTGCCATCAGGTGCCAGCGCCCCATCCGCTACCCACTGCCGTCCTCGTCGGCTTTGCCCGCCGGTACCTGGCTCAGCGAGTCCCTGACATCGGTCTTCTTGGGTATCTTGGGCTTGGTGGTGACCAGTGGCTTGCTGCCAGCAGCTGCGTTGCCCTTGCTCTCAGCCGTGGCGCCCTTGTCGGCAGTTTCGTTGGAATCGGGGTCGATCTCGATGTTGGATCCGCCTGGCAGTTTCCCGGACGTGGGGACAATCTGATCACCCTTGCACACACCATACACGTTGTTGCCTGGGTCGGCACCCTCGCACACCACGGTGCCGCGGCCTGAAGGGCAGCAGGCCAGGCAGAGGGCGATGCGTTGCCAGGAGCTCTCAGTGGCTGGCATCGAGGCGCAGCAAGGCATCCATGCCCTGACGAGGTCAATACCTCCACAGTGTGGGTTCGTCCATGCAGCGACCGGCAGCCCACAGCCTGAGGCAGGCGCCACAGCCACCAGGCAGCCTCACCAGCGCAGCACTTGTCTGAGCTCGGGCAGCGTTCGCCCGGGTTCAGGCAGGAAGCCTGGTCTGGGCAGTCGGCTGAGGTGAAGGCAATCTGCAGCGGGCAGCATCCAGCGAGCAGCAGGCAATTTGGTGTGGCCACAGCATTGTGTCAGCCTGAGCCAGATGGCCCACCATGCTGAGGGCACAGGGTTTGCTCCAGAGCAGCCGCAGCCCCTCACGTCGTTCACCCACACCGTGCGGCCCTGGGAGGGCCCGTCCACGACCTGCGACCAAGGCGGGTGGGCAGGCAGTGCAGTCAGTAGGGAGGCACCATTAGGCAGGCATGTTTGGCGCATGCGTGAGCTGAAATGAGGGTCAGCAACGCAGTCAGCATCCCCTGCCCGTTGCAGGAGCACGTGGGTCCTGTACCGAGCACACCTGGGCCTGCGTCCAATAGTACTGCTCTATTTTTTCCGTGCCTGAAACGATGCGGATCTGCAGCAGGGCACTGAAAGCAGTATGCAATGATGGCTCGCATGATGCAGCAGATTCCCAACTCAATTTGGTTTGGGGATGCACCCCGGGGAAACGAACGTTCCGTGCACTGCTTCCTTTCACCGGGGCACGTGCCAGGCACCTTTCAGTGCCAGTGAGACAGCCGCGGCTGGGCAAGCAAGCCGGGCAGCTGGGCGCGCCTTGGTGCCAGGCGCCAGAGAGCCCTCAGTCGCAGAGCAGATGGACGCAGCGCGGTGGATCTGCAGCAGCGGTGCCAAAGCGCAGGCCGTGAGAACGGGGTTGTGCGGAGGTGTGAGGCACTGCCTGGTGTGGAACCAGCCCGCCTGGGCCAGAAGACGAACGGGCACGCCAACGCAAGCAGTCCCGCAGCCGACATGCTTGCGCATTGCGCAATGTCTGCACCGCCAGCTCACGTTCACGTCCTGGCGGGCAGCGCCACATATCTGGGCTCCCACGCCCGACAGCATTGCCAGGCAGAGGAGCAGGAGGAGGGCGGTGGCGACGCAGGGAGCCTTGGAGGGCATCTTGCTGCAGCCAGCTGGCAGCAAGTGCTGCTGGGGTTGGTGGAGGGCAGAAACGAGGGCAGGGAAGCAAAAATGAGGGCTCAATGGTCAGGCAAATCATGCACAATCAGGGCAGTACTGCGTGCCTACTCACCGCGGCTCCCTCGGCCCAGTAGCTAACTATCGGCGCGCGGTACTGCCGTGTTGTTGCATCGGTTTTCCTGCCCTGGGAGCCCTCCTTTTGCTTCCCTGCCCTCGTTCTGCCCTCTACCGTCCCCAGCAGCACTTGCAGCCAGCAAGATGCCCTCCAAGGCTCCCGCCGCCACCGCCCTGCTCCTCCTCGGCTGCGTGGCGCTGCTGTCGGGCGCTGTAGCCCAGGAGTGTGCTCAGGCTCGCCAGGATGTCAACGTGAGTGGTTGCCATCCATCTGCCTGTCTGTGCTGGCAGCGCTACGGCAAACCGCCGGCAGGTTGGCACGCCGCTAAACATTTTCATGCTGCGCGGCGGCGGCTGGCGCGAGTCGCAGTGGCATGGCTGTCCCACGTTTACCCTTTGTTGAATTACATTTTGATACTTTAACAAGAACAAGCTTGGTGCTCAGACCTTTCAACGCATCTCACTGCCGCCCCTCTCTGCCGCCGCTTCCGCAGATTCGCCGCGACGCGTCTATCTGCTCTGCGACGGAGGGCTCTCTGGCGCCTGGCACCAAGGCACGCCCAGCTGCCCCTGCTTGCTTGCCCAGCCGCCTGTGGTGGCCGCGTGCAACAGGACACTGCAAGGGGCGCATCGGTAGGGACCTCACCACAGCAGCGAGCTGGGTTGGGGGAGGGGAAGGTGGTACTTCACTAGTACTGCATCGCAGCATCAATGGGTTGTGCTTCCATGGCCCGGCTGCAGGTCCGCAAAGTTCCAGGCACGGGGAAGAATGAACAGTACTTTTGGCTGCAGGCCCAGGTGCGCTGGATACAGCCTCACGTGCTCCGATACCAAGCAGGCAGGGGATGCCTTGCTGCCGCCTGTGCGCTGCCACAAGTTCATGCCAGCTCTGCCTGCCGCTGCCCTGCCCGCCTTGCCCGCAGGTGCTGGACGGTCCCTCTCAGGGCCGCACGGTGTGGGTGAACTGGGTGAGCGGCTGCGGCTGCTCTGGAGCAAACCCTGTGCCCGCAGATGAGCGTGGTGGCCATCTGGCTCAGACTGACGCCATGCTGTGGCCAAGCACACTGCCTGCTGCTCGCTGCCTGATCTGCCCTGCTCTGCAGTACGTCTTCAGCTCAGCCGACTGCCCAGACCAGGCCTCCTGCCTGAACCCGGGAGAGCGCTGCACGAGCTCAGAGCAGTGCTGCGCTGGTGAGGCCGCCTGGTGCTGTGGTGCCTGCATCTTTTTGTGGGCTGCCGGCCGCTGCAGGGACGACCCTGCACGGTGGTGGTGGTGAGCCCATCAAGGCTTGATGTCTTGCTGTGCCTTGTACCACCCATCTGCCCTCTTTCTGGCCTGCTGCCGTTCAGGCCGCGGCACCGTGGTGTGCGAGCGCTACGAGGCAACCCAATACCAGTATGGTGTGTGCAAGGGTGATCTGATTGTCCCCACGTCCGGGAAACTGCCAGGCGGATCCAACATCGAGATCGACCCCGATTCCAACGAAACTGCCGACAAGGGCGCCACGGCTGAGAGCAAGGGCAACGCAGCTGCCACTGCTGGCAGCAAGCCACTGGTCACCACCAAGCCCAAGGTACCCAAGAAGGACGATGTCAGGGACTCGCTGAGGCAGGTGCCGGCGGGCAAAGCCGACGAGGACGGCAGTGGGTAGAGGATGGGGCGCCGGCACCTGATGCACCTGAGAAGATGATGCAGTACATGTGTTTTCTTGCTCGTATTCCAAGACCGTGCCGTGCCCTGCTTAGCCGTAGTGCATATCCATATGATTGCCCTGCACCATCTGTGCCCCGCCTGTTGAGTGCGGCACGATTTGATGCTGCATGCTCTGCTGAAGCAGAGCTTGTCATGCAAAGATGTAGAGTCTGCAGCGAGTCAGTCGAAGCAGGCTGGTGCATTGCATTCCATGTTCCCTTGCAGCAGAGTGTAAGCTCAGAGTACTTGACAGCGCCACATCAACCAGAGGTGTATGGCACTACCACAGCAAGCCACGCATGCGCTGGTGGCCACCGTAAGCCCCCCTTGTAGCCGCCACTCAGTCAAAGCCATCGTAGTCTGCCAGCACGGCGCTCCAGGGGCGTGCCTTGGGCAGGCGCAGCGTGTAGAGGCTGCCCACCACCACGCACAGGTGGCGGGCTCGAGACATGGCCACGTTGACCCGCCGGCGGTCCCGGAAGAAGCTGCGTGGCAGCAGGGCGGGACAGGCGGGTGGAGGGAGTGAAGGGAGACGAGGAGGCACCGACCACGGCAAGCAGGCGGCCGGCAGGGGACTGCCAGGAAGGCACGCACACCGGTGCCAAAGGCAGGCCGGGTGCTGCGCGAGCACAGCGCCCCTGGGCACCTGCTCAGGTGCTGATTCTCGCTGCCGCAGAAGGCGTTGCGCACTGTGGACACGACGACCGCGTCGGCCTCGTCGCCCTGGCAGGCATCAATCGACAGCACCTGCGTGTCCACTCGTGGTGCCGGGTTGGGGCCGCCGAGGCACCCCTCCCACCAAACCGGCCCAGCATACCGCCTGCCACGCTACCCGCCGCCCGTCCACCATCCGACCTGCGTGGCCGGGCACTAGACCGCCGCACCTGGCAGTCGCAGGCGCCCCTCAGGGCGGGCTCCTTGGCCACCAGCCGCTCCAGCAGGTCCCGCTGCCTGTTGTAGATGGTGATGATGTAGATGGTGGGGTGGCGGATGCCCAGCTCACGCAGCTCCTTGGCCGCCTTACGGGCCACGCGCACGGCCCTGCAGTCACCAGCAGCCACCAGCAGGCGCGGTGGGGAGCAGCGCTTTGCATGCGCGCTGCCGGCGGCTGCCTCCGCACGCCTGGGTCGGCGGCAGCGGCTGAAGGGGCTGGCGCGCCGGCAGAAATACAGCCCCACAGCAGCCTACCCAATGCATGCAATCAAAGAGTCAACCGCCGAACGGGGCAGCAGCTCACTTGGATGCCTCCACAGGGTTGGAGTATCCGCCGCCCTGGTGCCACACCTCCTTGCCCCCAACCTGCACCATCCGGCAGGGCTCCGCCAGCGCCCGGCGGGCTGCAGCAGCCGCAGCGGTGTGCAGCCGGTCGGCGTAGAACTCTGCGGAAATGGCCCGGCATATGGCGGGGTGCATGCGATACTGATTCGTCAGCATCGCCGCCGGTACCGCCAGCGCCACCGCACGCTCCATGAAGCTGCACGGCAGGGCCGCACGCGGCAGGACGACCGGGTAAGGCTGGAGGCTGGTCCGAGAAGGCCAGTGGCTGCGGCCGGCCTGCTGGCCGGCCGGCCGGCAGCTAAGAACAACATCAGCCTGCACGGCACGGCCAAGAAAGGAGGCAGCAGGCCTGGCCATCACACTCAGAGGCTGCAGACCTGCGGACGTGGTTGGGCGGCGGGGAGACGAGGTCGGAGTAGGCCGGCAGCTGAAGGTGGTCTCCGACGAGCACCAGGTTGGCGGGCGCCAGCTTGATGAGCGGTGGTACCGCCATCTCAGCCACACACCCCGCCTCATCCATGAGGATGGTGTCCACGTCCACATCCACCTGCACGTAGGTATGACAGTACATACGGCGGTACTGCAGTACAGCCGGCGCGCTGAGGTGCGCTGTGCCTGCTGCCCTTTGCCCGCTGCTTGTTTGACCGCGTGCGGCTGCTGCCTTGCAGGCGCAGCCCCTCACCCCGTGATCAGCCAGCTCAAACACCATGCGGGGCGTGGAATCGATTGTGCAGGCATACACCCTGCAGGCAGGGCGGGCAGGCTGCATGAGAGGGCCAAAAAAGGAAGGCGCGCTGACCGCCTGTGCCTGACGTGCTCCCTCACCAGGCCGGCCTCATGTGAACAGCGTATTCACCAGCGCATACACACACACAACCCACACATATACACACCTCGTGGACGCCAGGATCTCCCGCTTGGCTGCCGCCTTCACCTCTGGCAGCACCCTGGCCAGCAGCCGCGTGATGGCCGGCTGCAGGATGTCTGCGGCGAGGGTGGAGTAGTCACGCTGCAACAGGGTGGTGTGCATGAGTGTGCATGAGGGATCGCGCCGCTGCTGGTTGGGCTGTCGAGTGCTACACTTGATGAGCTGCAGCACGTCGTCTGTCGGCAAGTGCGTGGCAGCGACAGGGCAAGGGTGCGGCTGTGAAGGAGTGCAGTGGGTTTGATGCTGCTGGCAAGCTCCCAGTGGCCGCTGCGCAGCAGGGCAGGGTGCACGCCAGACGCATCGCACCTGCCGCAGCCGCTCCAGCAGGCGGCGCAGGGTTCGCATCTCCTCCTGCGCGACGCCGTCGCTCGCGCCAGCTGCCACCACCGCCGCCAGCACGGCTTCTGCCTGGCGTACGCGTGCAGCAAGCGTCCCTGGCGGGACTGTGTTGTCACGCAGCTCCTGCAGCTGCCGCATGAGGTCTAGCCAGGCAGCCACGGTGGGGTGGCGAGCCAGCCGGGCCGTCAGAGTGTACTGCTTGGCCTTGTCCCCCAACCGCTCCTCACGCCCAAACACCAGCAGGCTGCCCTCCACGCCCGCCAGCTTGCCCACCACCGCATCCACGGCCTGGTTGCGGCTGCAGGTGACCAGAACCTGCGGCAGGCAGGCGCCCCAAGGGGCGTCCCAGGCGTGTGTTTTGGAAGGCGGGGGCAGGAAGGCGAGCAGCCACCTGGTGCAGGCCCCACTCAGCTGGCAGCCAGCCTCCTGGCAGGCTCGACAGCCCCTAAGCCCATCTCCTGCCGCCCTGTACCCTGGGCTTGCACCAGCCGCCCCACCTCCTGCTGGCAGCATGCCCACCTGCGCCCTGGGTTGCACCCTCGACTCCACGATGTGGAAGATGGTGGTGGACTTGCCGGTGCCGGGAGGGCCGTGGATGATGCTGAGCCCGCCCTGCAGGCCCTCCACCGCCGCGCGCTGCCCCGCGTTGATGGGCACGGTGTCTGGATGGGAGGGCAGGGCCAGACGGGAAAGGGGTGTCTTGGAGATGCTGTCAGGATTAGGACGGGAGGACTAGAGCGGGAGAGAGCGCATACATGGCAGGCAGGCACCAGCCAGCCGCAGGCTACAGGCAGCAGGCCAGAGCTCCTTTTGACCCCACGCAGCCCTCACCTGTGAGAAGGTGCACCGGCCCGCGGCGCAGCGTGCCCTGGCCGCTGCTGGACAGCTGGCGGGTCGGGTCGGCAGCCAGCTGCAGCATGTGCTGGGCTGCAGGGGGCAGGGTGCGGGTGCGCAGCTGGTAGCGCAGCGCCTGCACACCCGCGAGAGAGGAGGGCAGGAGGGGGGCGAGGAGCGCTCTAAGGTGAGCGGTGGCTTTGATGCGCTGCGCGGCAGCTGCCAGAATCAGGCCGGAGGCTGCACCAGCGTCGCCGGTGGGCGGCCCGCCCTCCCACGGCCTCCCCTGCCCTCGTCTCGGGGGCAGAGCGGAGAGGCACCCACCTGCGCGCTGGTGTACTGCAGCAGGAAGGATCCCAGGTATCCCAGGGACCTCATCTGCACCACCTCCCGCGCCCTGCCCCCCGCCTCCACCGTCGGCAGCAGCACCAGCACGTCGTCGCCGCTGTCTGGATCGCGCCGCGCCAGGCGGGCCACGTGGTAGGAATCGGTCTCCTTGACCTGCGGGCGCGGGCACGATGGGGCGGCAAAGAATTATGAGCACTGTGCATGGGCTGGGTAGTGGCGGCGGTGGCGGTACAGGACCGCCGCCAAGCCAGAGCAGGCGGTCGCCCGGGCCCACCTGCACCAAGTGCTTCACCCATGGCTCTCCCTCGTCGCTAAAGTCCAGGCTCTGCCCCCGCGTCCGCAGCGCCCGCCACTTGGCGTCAGACACCCAGCCAAAGTTCCACCACAGCTGCGCGGGCTCGGGGTGGCGCCCCTCTGCCGATGCCAGCGCCGCGGCGGCGGCAGCCTGCGGGCACAGGGGTGCGCGGCGGCCTCTGTTGCCATGCCTGCTGCATCGCGCTTTGATCGATCGCCAGGCACGCCATGCGATGTGAGGATCTTGCCTGGAACTCGAGGGCGGTGTGCGCCTGCATGTCGGTCAGGTAAGCCTCTGGCGAGGCGTGCACGTCTGGCAGCGCTGCCGCCTCGCCCGCCTTGCCGAAGGTCAAACCCCGCCAGTGCTCCTCCGAAGAGCCCTTGGCCAACTTGCGAGCGAAGTAGTCGATAGCAGGTATTCGCCCCACGTTGTGGCGATCGCTGCTGTCGGCGGCACAGCCGCTGACAGTGACCTGACAGCCACCCAGTCTGAGCCGGGCAAACACGTCGGCCAGCGTGTCGCCATCTGCCATCCTGATCGAGCACCTACATCACGTTTGCGGCAGAAAAAGAATGGTGTCTGGACATCACCGTGTTGCCCGTGTTGTGGGTGGGCCCGTGGGGTCTGACCCACAAACGAGGGGGCCCGGATATGGCCAAGAGGCGTGGCCGAGACAACAGTGCGACTATTTGCTCGCTTCAACCACAAACACATGGGATCTTTCCACCTCACCTAAAACTGACGAGTCTATTGTTCAAAGCTTGTCATGATGAATTTGGGCAGACAACCAATCGTTTACAGCTCCTTAGGTGATTGCGACGTTAGCTGCAGGTGCTAGAATCTAAAAACACCCGAAACCACGAGTGCCAGCCAGCTGGCGTCTTCTACTTTCTTCCCCCTTTGCCCCTCACCCCAGGTGCAAGGAACCCGTAAACTAATATTGTAAACTGTCTTTAGGTAGGTAATAACCCCGTGGAGGCAGACATGCCTCACCTGGTGGCGCATCTGAGATCATGAGACATGCGATTCCAAAAGCAACCAGCGGCCCAGGGCTCTCTTGTTTTGACTCCTGTAACGGTTCTTACAATCGTGCCAGTGTATAAGAGGGGCCAGAAAGTCAGTGGCTGCGGCCTGTCCCCGCCATGCCCCCACAATCTCCTCTTTCCAATGGCTGCCGGGCGGGCGCGGCCTGGAAACAGATCCTAATTGTCGAACAGAGTGTGTGAGGGGTGAAATATCGGCGAAAATCGCACGGCGGCGCCTTGCCAGGTGGCATGAAATGCGTGCTGAGGAACCCACCTTGGACGCACCTTCAGAGCCATCGCAGGACAGTCTTAGGTTTGGTAGGCTGAGGTCTGGTTCCTGAAACTCCACACCACCAAAACTTCCCAAGGTCTGAGCCGCGTCAGGCTCTGAGAGGGCGAGCGCAGCTGCTGCCATCAGCACGCTGTGGCCAGCCGCCACCGCCAGCCATCGCCAGCCGCCATCGGTGCCAGCGGTCCCGCCCCCGTGACCCGCCTGATGCCTGTACGCACCCCCCATGGTGCTGCTTGTTCCCAGTGAGCGGATCAGGCCTGCATGCTGGCCCGCTCCCAAAAGCCAGGCGCTGATACCGCCGCACTCGCACTGCCGGGTCTGTGCTCTTACCCCCGGCAGCCCCACCCGGCAGCCGAACCTCCCGTCCCCTCCCCACCGCAGTTTACATCGCCGTCTGCCTCACGGCGCTACTGCTGCTCCTGGCGCTGTGCGGCATGCGCACAGTCAATGCGCACTGGCCTTTTGAGGCGCGCAGCGAAGCAGGCGTGCCTACGCCACACGCCGATTCCGGCGAGGCCCACCGCCGCGACGCGCAGCAGCCCTTTGCCGTCGATGGCGGCGCTCAAGCAGGCGCGCTCAGCCGAGGCAGGCAGCAGCTGTGGTGCCGGCAGCGCAGCAAGCTGGCAGCCGCGGCCTCTCACTGTCCGCGTCTGCTCTGGTTCCTGCATGCGGCGACCCCTGCTCCATCCATGAGTTGCTGCTGCCGCTGGGTCGCTGCCGCTACCCGGTGCACCTGCAGGCCAGGCCCGCCCGCCCTGGACCCCGAGAGGGCGAGGTGCGGCGGGGCGGGTGCCGGTGGTGGTGCTGGAGCCTGATGGCCACGTGACGGTTGCCTACCTGACCCAGGACGCCAGCGGCTCTCCTCCCTGCTCTGGCACCAGTGCTGGCAGCGAGCAGAGCCCAGCTACGGAGCCCAGCGAGCATGGCAGCAGGTGGGCTGTCGCTGTGGGGGCAAGAGGGTGGAGGAGGTCAGCCTAGCATGAAGACGGCAAGGCTGGCATGGCCACAGCCTCACATGTGCTATGCGCTGGCCGGCTGCTTGCAGCACGTGCAGGGGAGTCGGGCAGGCACCCAGTGCCAGCGCGGCGCCAGCTGGCTCTCTAGCCGGCGGTCCAGCCGGCGCAGCGGCAGGGGTGGAGCCCCGCCTGGCGGGCAGCCACATGCGGGATTCCTCAGAGCTTGCAGCTGATGGTGGAGAGGGGTCAGACCTGGAGCAGGGCCATGGTGGCAGCCTGAGATGAGACCGCCAGGCTGGCACTGGCATGGCTGCGGCACACAATGGGCGCCCCTCCACCCGCCAATGCCCAGGCAGGCCACACCCGTCCAACCAGGCGCCATTGCGTCCCTGCACCGCTCCTGCATGTCGCTGTCTATCAGTTTACATCATGCGTGCATGGGCTGGGCAGCCCAGCGCAACCTCTCAAAAAAGTGCACTCTGCAGTCCAGGTGGCAGTGCACGTGGCAGGCATCTCAAAAGGCCGGGCACAAGCAGAGATCGAGGGAATGGCCTCGTGCCAGGCGGCAGGCTCAAGGAATGATAGGCAAAGGGGATGGGGCGCCTGCGCCCGCAGCAGCAGGCAGGGCCACTACGGCCGCAGCTCCGCTGCAGCAAGGTGCAAGCAACATCAGTGCACTGGGAAGACCGCAAACACGCTCCTGCTGAACACTAGCAAAGGGGATTGGTGTAATAAGGGAGAGGAAAAAATAACCAGTGGGAGAAGTGTTTGCTGCGATTAGTAGGCAAAGGGCAGACAGAGGGGGGCAGGCACTGGACACAGGAGCACGGGGGCACAGGTGTTGGCAGGGTAGCTGGGTGGGTGCTTGGGATGGGGCATGGTGAAGCTTTGCATGGGGGGTCGCGAGAAACACACAGGCAGCAAGCCGGGGAAGGTTGGGTGGCATGGTAGCAGCACGCGGCAGCCAGGCTGAGCCGCTGCTGCCTGCTGCCCAGTGCCTCGCATGCACAGCCTGCAGCTATTCAATCGGCGGCTGGCTTGCACACATCGTCCCACAGGCTTCTGGCCGGAAGCAGCGACACTGACGCCCATCACCTCTCGGTGGCGGAGCTCAGCGTATGTAGCAGGGCCCCGGTGCCGCCCAGGACGGGGCCGGCGTCCGAGCGGCGAGGGGATGCCACGGTGTAGCGGCCGACCATTGAGGCGCGAGGGGTGAGAGCCGCTGCAGGGGTGGGGCACAGGGGGGGCATCAGCAGGGGGAGCAGGCACGCATGCATGCACACACACACGCACGCATGCACGCGTGCATGCACGCGGCAGCGACCGCCGCCGCTGCCCACCTCCGCCGCTGGGGCTGGTGGGCATGACCCAGCCGCCAAAGGGCGAGCTGTCGCCGATGATGTCGGCCTCCTCCCACCCCGCATTCATCTCGCTGTTGGGGCCAGACATGACACGCAGCCCGGTGCCGTACTTGTTGACCTGCGGGGGGTGGTGCGGGGAGTGAGAGGCACGGTGTAGCGGGTGGCGGAGTAGGTGCAGGTGCTGGGGCTGTTGTGCGCGTGTGTGTGCGCATGCGCGTGCGAGTGGTGTGGACGGGCAGGGCAGGCAGGCAGAGAGGCCCTGTGCCGAGCTGACGGGCGCGCAGCACGGCGTGCCACCCACCCAGGGCCCCACCTGCACCACCTTCACCACCATGGACCCCTTGACGCTCTTCAGGCACACCACGTAGTCGTTGGGCTTCACCAGGCGCTGCACAAAGGCGGCGCTGATGGCCTCGCTGATCAGGTCCTCTGCGAAGCAGGCGCAGGGGAGGGCACGCAGGGCAGACACAGGTGAGGATGTGTGGGCGGGGCAGGCGCAGGGGAGGGCGCGTCGGCGTGAGATGAACAAGCGCTGGCAGGCAGCTGGGGCAGGGCCGATCGGCGACGCGTGGGAAGGGAATGGTAGGCGGGATCGTGCCAAAGCCTCTTGGCGGCGCTTGTGGCGCGTGTGTGCAGCCACTAGGCCACTACGCAGCCAGGCCAGGCCAGGCCAGGCTCGACAGCCCTTGCCCCACCTGAGCCCTCAGACATGGGCGCCGCCAGCATCGGCACCACACCGCGCAGCAGGCAGGTCTGGCGGGCCAGGTACTTGCCTGCAGGGCATGCAGGGTGGACAGGCAGGGTCAGCCAGCCAGCCAGCCGGAAGAAAGCAGGACAAGCACAGGGGCGATGGCCGCTGCTCCCAGCTGGCGAGGCACAGCGCGGCATGGTGCGACGAGGGTGGCACCGCGCAGCGCAGCGGCATGGCGCCCACCCTCCAGCTGCCAGCCCAGACGCGTGGACTTGAGCTTGGGCACCACCACAGCCATGATGGGCATGGGGGGGCGGCTGCAGGCAGTGGAGCACAAAAGAAAGGGGGAATAAATGCAGAGAAGTGGGCGGCGTGGGGTGCTGTCACATCACCATGGCTGGCACCACATCCAGGCACCCCCCGAGGCCTGAACAAGAACCCTGACACCTTGCCCCTGCTGCCGGCGGGCCGTGAACCCTCCGCAGCCATTTAAACAAAAGGCAGCCTGCACGGCAGCACTGCTCACTACTTGGACACGAGGGACACGGTCCTGCCGCTCTGCACCATGACGATGATCAGGCCGGCATTGATCTTCTCCGCCACCCTGCGGCAGGAGGGCAGGGCAGGGAAACACGTCAATGGAAGGCAGGCAGGGGGTGCTCAATGCAGCATCTGTTGTGGTAGCAGTTCAGACAGACGAGCACCGCTGGGGCACGGCCAGCTGCGGACCAGGCCACCCTGCAACTCAGCCCACCCCGCGCCCACCCTGCACCCCCACCCCCACCCCCACCCCCGATGCCGCCCAAACAGGCGCGAACCGCAGCCGCCGCACCTGGTGGCCGAGGAGGCCAGGCTCTCCAGCTTGGTCATGTAGGGGGCGTGGGTGAGCAGGATGCGGTTGAGCTGCATGCTGGATCCCGCCATCTTGGGCCTCAGGCTGCCAAACTCGGAGACGTATGGCTGGGCCGGGGAGCCGATAGACGTCTCCATGGCCAGCCCGCCGTTGCCGTGGTCGTCGGAGGCGTGGCCGTCGCCGGCGGTGGCGGCGGCGACGTCGGCGGCGCTGCTGCCGGGGCTGGTCGCCGCGGCCAGGGCGTTGCTGCTGGGGATGGGGCGCATGCGGTGCGTGTGCACGTTATGCACGGTGTGGTCGGGGGAGCCGCCAGTTGGGTGGTACATACCAAAGTCTGCGGCAGGAGCGATAGGAGGTGGTCGAGGGGGCGGGCGACACGCGTATGCGCAGATGAACCGCGGGCTGCGGCTGCCAGCCAGGCTTCCAGCAGCGCACATGCCCAGCAGGCTTCCAGCTGGGTTGAAGGGCAGGCAGCAGCAGGGGGCACACACCTGAGACTGAGTCGTTTGCGTGGCCAAAGGATACCTCCTCCTGCACCAGCCGGGAGCAGCAGGGGAGCGTGGGTGGGTGGGTGAGGCGAGCGTGCGTGATCGGGTGAGACACCCAGCTGCCCACCCCCACCAGCCAGCATGGGGTGCTCTCTGCCTGCTGCGCCCTGCCGCGCCCCAACCCCAGCCCCCGGTACGGCCCGGGGGGAAGGAGGAGCATCAGCGTGCAAAGGCGTGCCTGGTAGGCCTCCCCCATCAGCTCCTCGTGGTGGCTGCGGAAGTCAAAGTGCTGCTCCGCGGCGTGGCACAGCCGCAGCACCGTCTCCGCCGTGACCAGGGGGTGCAGGCCGCGCAGCGTCTCAGCGCCCAGCAGCATGCCGTCGGCGCCGTCCAGCACGGCGTTGGCCACGTCGGTAGCCTCTGCAGAGCAGGTTTTCATTGTGTTGGGGGAGGGGAGGAGGAGGGGGAGGAGGGTGGAAGGGAGCAGCGGGAGGGTGGGAGGTGGTAGCGCGTAGGGGAGGCCAGCGGGCACGGTCCCAGCAAGACGCAGCAAGCCAGCGCGGCCCTCGGCCCCCTGCCACAGCAAACCGGCATGCCCACCCGCGCGCGTGGGGCGTGGCGTTGCCACCATCGTGTCGACCACGCGCGTGATCAGCACCGGCTTGCCCAGCTGGTTGCAGCGGGCGATGATACGCTTCTGCAGAAGCGCCATGGCCTGCAGGGAGGGAGCGGAGGGGGTGCGGGCAGGCCGCATGTCGCATCCTGGCGCCGCGAAGCAGCCAACAGCCCAGCCGCAAACCAGCAGCTGCATGCCACAGTCCCTGCTGCACAGCGCCACAATCCCCAAAGTAGGCCCAGCTGCAAAAAACAAAACAAGAGGATAAACACTCGCCTCTGGCTCGAAGTCGAGGCCCAGGTTGCCCCGCGAGATGATGATGCCGTCTGCCGAGTTGGCGATGCCCTCGAAGTTGCGCACAGAGCTCTTCCGCTCAATCTGCGGGAGCACGCCAGAGGGAATGCGCGTGTGCGTGTGTAGGTGGCGTGCTTGTCTGTGCGTGACGGCGAGGCGGCGAGGCGGCGGAGGCACACCCGCCCCCCGTTCCTGCAAGGAGGCTCTGATCGACCACCACCACCACCCGGCTCGTGTCCAGCTGTCCCACACACCACAGACCTCCACACCACCACCGGTACCGGCCCCCCGGCCCCTGCTTGCCTTGGCCACGATCTTGGTGTACTGCATGCCCAGGGAGTCGAGGAAGGAGCGGGCGGCGTACAGGTCCTCCTCGTGGTTGCAGTACGACAGATTCACAAAGTCGACCTCGAAGCGGGAGCTGCGGGTGGCAAAGGGAGGGAGGGCCTCAGAGAAGGAAAGGTGCGGGCGTGCAATACGGCACATTGTTGCTCGCAACGGCGCAGTGGCGGGGACAGAGCGGAAGGAGGAAGGCCGTGCGGAGCATTCTGGCGCTGTACCGCCAAAAACCTATCGCAGGCTAGGGCCCAACGTCAAGGCATCCTCCCAGCCAGCCAGTCAGCCCAGCCAGCCCACTCCTCACCCCAGGTACTTGATGCAGTCTGCGTCGTGCTCTGTCAGCAGCGGCAGCGCAAAGTCGCCGCTAAAGTCCTCGTCCTGTGCGACGGTGGTGTGGCGGTGTTTATGGTGGGGTGCCAGTGCGCCTGCCCCTGGCAAGCCACGGCACGCCCCCGCTGCTGCGTCACGGCACATTGCCCCAGACTGGCCCGGCACATCTGCACATGCCTCAGCACTGCTCGCCACAGCAGCACCCTCCAACAGGAGCCCACCTCGGTGTGGCAGATCATGACCGTCAGCAGGCCGTCCAGCACGGCAGAGTTGAGCGCCACGCAGGTCACCGTTGTCTCCGTCTTCTCCAGCACCTGCAAGGAAGTGAGCCATGGCTGGGGTTGGTGGAGGGCCGAGGCGGCGGCGAGCGTTGCCGTCCCCCCGCTTGCCATCGCCGAGACCGCTGCCACAACTCTGCCTCTCCTCGATTGCCCCCCAGCCAGCCAGCCGGCTTGCCTTGACGTACAGCGAGGCGCCCTCTGCGCCGGTGGCCAGGAAGCGGCCAAACTGGAGCTGGTGGTCCACCTGCACACGGGTGCGGCGGCGGCGGGCAGGCATGATGGCATCGGTGACCACAACGCACGTGTGCCGTGAATGGGCCGGCGGCAGCCCAACCGGCACGTGGGCAGGGGCTCTCGAGGTGCAGGGTGAAGGGAGGCAGGCATCACGGGCTGTGCCGCCATCACACACACACACCCTCGCACTCGCACACAGCACACATACACACACCACACACACACACACACACCTCCACAATCTCGGGGAAGCCTGGGTAGGAGACGGGGAAGAGGGTGGAGGAGGGCTCGGCGGTGGGGTCGGTGGTGATGGTGATGATCTGCAGGTGGGCAGGGAGGCGCGCGTGTGTGCGTGTGTGTGTGTGGGTGGGTGGGTGCGAGTCGTCCGCAACATGCACCCATCAGGCAGATTCCAGTGGGCATCCCGATGGAATCTGCTTGACGAAAGGCAGCCTGGCCCTTCGCGCCAGGGGGAGCAGACAGCCGCGCGCCACTGCGACTGCGAGGTAAGCGGGGTGGCCCGTACAGGGGGCCAGCTGGCCTGTGGCGGCCGGGCCCACCTGGTCCTGCTCCACCTCCACCTTCTTCTCCCCCTTCTGTGTGGGCCAGCCATGCTCGTCAAACTGCACCGGCCGCCGCACCGTCACCTCCCGCCCCACCGTGTCGACAAACACGCTGCAAGCAGGCGGGCAGGCAGGCAGGCCACATGAGCCGACCCTTGCCAAGCAGTGGGAGGCGCGTAGACAGGGCAGCAAGACCAGGGCTGTGGTGCCCTTTCAGTATCGTGTTCAGCATGTGTGCAGGGCATCGCCGGCTACCTCCATGCCCAGCAGCGCTGCACATGCCTCCATGCATTCGCCCCACCTGCACAGCCGCTTGGTCTGCTTCATCGCCTCAGCCAGGTTGGCCAGGGAGCGGGCATGGTACTCGCGGGTGCCCCAGCTGAGGTTGAGCCGTGCGCAGCTCACGCCCGCCCGCAGCAGGCTGACCAGCGTCGGCACATCCTGGCACTGCGTAGCGGCAGGGGTGGGGTGGGCGGCGGCAGCATGTGTGAGCGGCAGCCGCACGCCCGACCTGTGCCGTGCATGCAGCAGCAGAGGTGGCTGCAGCTGCAGCAGCGGCTTCGCCATCGGCTACACCGGCGGCACAGCGGAAAGGGCAGGCAGGCACTGGCAAGGAGGGCCGCCGGCGGCAGGCGCGCTCTGTAGAGGCCTGTTCCTCGCTGCTGCAGGCGCGGCGCTGCTGCAGGCGCGGCGCCGCTCACACTCGGGCCGATTGTGATGACGACTTTGGAGCCTGCCCCAGCCCGGATCTCTTCCTCGGGAATGGTCTTCACCACCTCCTCCATGGCCACATCCATGAACACATGCGCCTTGGCCTTGTGCTGCCTGCAAAGGCAGCACCCACGCACCGCGGCGGCGGCGGCAGTGAGGTGCTTCGCACGGGGGCGCGACAGCTGGGTGGCTGGCCTGGCCCTCCCCCGAATGGCTGGCATGCATGCCGTTCGCCGGCTTGCAAGGCACTGTACCGACATATCTAGCAAAGCAGGGCAGGCAGGTGCATGCGGCAGGCGCGGTCGGAAGCGGTCAGCGGTCAACGAGCCTCGCGGGCGGCGACGAGCGGCAGTGTCCCAAACGCAGCGCTGCCTGCGGGCTCTCAGCCAGCGCTGCAAGGTGCATCCGAGACTGCGGGGCACGCCCCTGAAGCCCAGGCGATGCGCGCTCACCTCCACGGCATGGCGGCGGCTGGCTGGAGAGTCTCTGAGGCGGGAACAGTTGCTGCCTGGTGGAGTCGGGGCGAGCTTTTTAGCGAGGTCGACAAGAGGCCTTGCACCACGGGCGGCGCTTGGGCTAAACACAGGCGCAACTGCGTCGGGACGGTGCCGTGCTGCGCAGGTTGAAGAGGATGCAATGAGTGATCAACCAGGCAAGGCGAGGCGCAGTTGCCGCCACATGCACATCCATGCATGGAGCGACGGCATAGCCGCCACCGCAACCGGGAACCTGGCGGCATTTTCTTTGCTGGCGCAACAGCTACAGCTACAACAGCATCGGTCAGGGAAGATATCTGCTGGTGGTTCTGCTCACGAGGTTAGATTGGAATGTTGCTCAGAGGCCCCAGCTGCTCGCTGCTCGCTCGCCGTCGCTGCCAGCGGCGGACCACTTCTGCGTCGTTGTTGCAAGGATGGCAGCTGCCTGCACCGAACGACGCCACATGTCCTGTTGGCACTCTCCATATTGCAGGGTGCACTGCACCTCACGCCCCGCATGTGGCAGAGGCGGCGGCGGTGCGCTGATGAGGCGGCAGTACCTAGCATGGAAGCTGGGGCGCCTCATGAACTGGTCGGGAATCTGCACGCAAAACCTGTTGGGCTTTCCCTCTCCGTATCCTCCCCATTGTTGCTTGCAGCACGGCCACCACGTGGTGGTGGGTGGCCCCTCCCCCCCCCGCCCCCCCGAAAATCTGGCCGTCCAGTGTTCCGCGCGCTTTGAGGCCTGCCGACATCGATGCGGCACGTCCTGCTGGCATGGGTCCTACTGACCTTGGCAGTGGCCGCTACAGGTGCGCCAGGCACGGCGAAGGGACCCCAGCTGCCCTGTTGCTGTGTCGCTCGTGTCCCAAACGCAGCTTGATGTAGCAGGGAGTGCACCGCAAAGCAGCCAAAGCAGCAGTGGGTGGGGTGCTGCGCCGGCTTGTGTGCGCTCGGCGCCCACCCGCCGTCGCCGCCAGCGGGGCGCTTGCACCTTGCGCATTTGTGGACACTGTGTTCCCCCCATTGCTGAAATGCTGCAGCGGCAAAGCCACCGCCTCGCCCTCGGCCTAGGCCGCCTCGCCCCAAGCCCCCTCGTCCTCCACGCCCCAAACCGCCATCACCAAAGCCGCCTCGTCCTCCGCGTCCCAAACCGCCATCACCAAAGCCGCCTCGTCCTCCGCGCCCCAGACCACCTCGTCCACGTCCACCGCCTAAACCAAAGCCACGTCCACCGCCTAAACCACGTCCACCGCCTAAACCAAAGCCGCCTCGCCCGCCTTCGCCAAAGCCTCCCCGGCCGCCGCCGAAGCCCAAGCCGCCGCGGCCACCTCGCCCGCCGTCTCCCGCCCCGCCACGCCCTCCCTTGCCGCCACCAGCGCCCCCACCACCTCCCCCACCTCCACCTGGCCCCCTGACAAGGCCAGTGCGCCCGCCGCCGCCGCCCAGCTCAGTCTAATCCAGGCGTGGTGTCAAGCTTCTCACTCCGCCTCTGTTCTCCTCTGCCCATCCCCGCCTGCAGCTGCGCCCAGTGCCGGTGCGTGTGGGACCTGGCTGCCAGCCAGCCGCCCACAGGCGGGCCCGCCTTGTTCATCCCGCCCCTGAATTCCACTGCCGCCACGGGCCTCAACCCGGCCTGCCCAGCAGTCACCCTGGATGGCTCCGCCTTCACCGCTGCCGTGCCCAACTGCACCTCGCCCAACCCCCCCACCATCGCCGTGTTCAACGAAGGAATCCATGGGGTGGTGGTGATGTCGCAGGCGGCGTGCACCCTTGAATCCTACTTCTGGGCCAACTCCTTTCAGGTGCCCGCCGCTGCGCATGGTTGCGGTGCCGCCGCGCCGCGCCCTGGCCTGGAGTGCAGGCTGCAGCCCGCGGCTCGGCGAGCGGCTGCTGCCCTGGCCTGTTGACTACTCGCATCCTGCTCTTGCACTCCTTGCACCACCTCTGTCTGCCACCCCTCCCTCCACCTGCCCCATGGCAGATCAAGTCGGCCTCCTTGAACGTCTCCCTGGCCGCCTTCCTGGTGGGCTTCACCGGGGCTGGGCTGAACGCGAGCAGCGCGATATCCTGGGCCTTTAGCGGCGGCGGCACCGGCGCCAACAGGACCGCGTCGCTGGCGCCGGGCGCCGCCCTGCCCACCACCCGCCAGCTGCGCCTGCGCCTCAACACCCCCGCGCCGCTGCTGCTCACAAACGGCAGCGGGGTGAGGGTGAGCATGGTGGGGGGAGTGGCAGATGGCTACATAGACGGCGCCTACCAGCTCATCCGATACCTCTACTCCTTCCAGCGCGGCACCTGCTCCTGGCAGCTGGCCAGCGCCGCCGCGGGCGGCAGCGTGGCCGCCGCCGCCGCGGGCTGCCCGCGCGTCACGCTGGGCAGCCCCTACCGCGCCTGCGGCTCGCCGCCTGGCGTGTCTGGCGGCTTGGTGGGCGGCGGCATGCGGCTGTACCTCAACACCACCCTCGGCTGCATCCCGGAGGGAGCCTTCTCGTCTGTCAACCTCACCGCCGGCGGCGTCGATGTGCTGCTGTCGCAGGTGGGCTTTGGTGGTGCTGGTGGTGCTGGTGGGGTGTGGGGCTGGTGGGGTGTGTGTTCGGGGCTTGGGCATGCCTGCATGTAGGTCACGAGACAGCCTGTGGCACGGCTTCCCTGCGTGCTTCGCTGAGCTGATGCTGCCAACCCTTCCCTGCACGTGCAGGTCAACATCACTGGGGTGGGCACTGCCCTGGATCTTGCTCAAGACATCACTCTCCTCCTAGCCACCGCCGACGGCGCCATGCCCGCCACCCTCGCCGGCGGCAGCCTGCCATCGCCAGCTGCCAGCGCGTCTCTAGCGCTGGATCCGCCGGTGCTGGTTCGGGCAGGCGCCAGAGCTAGGGTGTCGGTAGACGCCGCCACGCTGGCGGGCGGCGATGCTGCGCAGGCGTTCGTCGTTGTTGGCGCCCTGGGGGACGCCCCGAACTGGGCCAATGCCTGAAACCTCCCTGCACAATGGGTTGCCAGGGGTGGGGCTGTAATCATGATCAACCTGGATGGGGACGGGGACCTTCCCGCGGCGGTGGCAGCCTGGCACGACTGGACGTACCATCATTTCCACTTGACTGAATTCAGGCCAGCGCCTTACGCTGCACCACACCAAGCTATTACTTGTAAGCAGCCCCTTTTCTGCCTGAGATGCGTTGCGTGGTGCTGGCCTTACTGGCTCTATGGGCCGGTCAAGCAGCGTCGCTCTCGCCAATGCCCCAGAGGTGTGTGCATGTGATCTAGGCCGCTTACAAGCCGCACAGGAAGTGCTGGGGCGGCGGCGGCGGCGCGCCCCCGCTGTAGCGCACCCAGAACGCGTCTCCGCACTGCATCCAGCTCACGGGCAGCCGCCAGAGGCGCCTGCAAGTGCCGCAGCGCGTAGAGACAGGCCGGCGCCGCTCTTCCCCCTTGTCCCGCCTGCCTCCGCCCCGCCCGCCCGCTGGCGCCTGCCGCGAGCATGCCGTTTTCCCTTGTTCCCTCGCTGCCGCAGCTTCTCCATCATGAATGCGTACAGAGCTGCGCTGGCCCGAGATCCCGCCGTGAAAACAAGCATTACATACACTGATTCAACGCCGCAGCTCGACATTGAGGGTGCGAGTCAGCGGCCTGCCACAGCCCTCATCGCGCGCCTTTGCGTTGGCTCTGAAGCAGCAGGCTAAGCTTGTTGGCTCTGCTCACCCCAATGCTGCCGCGCCCTGCCCTTCCCTGCCCGCTGCGCAGTTATTCGCTGCACCACCAACCGCTGCAATCGCACCGCCCGCTTCAACAAAGCCCAGGCGCTGTCAACGTTGCTGAGCCTGTCGCTTGCAGCCCACCTGGAGGGCTTGGGCGACCAGGTGACAGGCGCAGCCCGCAAGCAGCGGGGCACACTCGGCGCTGGCAAGCAGATCCCGCGTGCCATGCTGCCCAACAGCTCCAAACCAAACCCACCCACCTCACGTAGCCCCTGCGATCATCATCTGGTGCCAGCCACATGTCCCATGCACCCCACGCTGCTGTGCCGACCGGCCGATCTGCAGCGCCTGCCCTTCTCCGCCGTCTGCGCAGATCGCCCTTAGCGTGAAGCTGGGCACGCGCACCTTCAGTCCAGGTACCGCTCCCAAGAATGCCGCAGAAGCAGCGGCGCTGCTCAGGGATGCCCTGCGGGGCAACCGATACTATGCCCAGGCAAGGGCTGTGGGCGGTGGTGTTTCGGTGTGTGTGTGTGCTGTGGTGATGGCTCTGCGTCTGCTGGGGCTGCCTTTCGAGGCAGCGGCTGGCGAGGGCTTGCAACGAGCTGCTGAGTGACTGCAGATGCTCGACCGCACAACTGAGTTCACCCCGGCCGGGCTGGAGGGCTACTGGTTCATCTTCCACCCCAAGGTGTGTGCCTGCTAGCTCGCTCCGCCAATGTCCTCTCGCTGCCTGCGCCTGCAGCCCTGCAGCCGGATGACGCTCGCAGGGCTGCCATCGCCGCCAGGCTGCCCTGGGGCTGCTCCCTGTCTGCTCGCCCGCTGGGCAAGGCAGCGAGAACACGCCTCAGATGCGCCACCAATTCCTGCCTGCCTGCCCGCCTGTGCAGATCGTCCAGTATCATTCCAGCAACGTGTTCGAGTTGAATGCCCTGACAACCATCTCTGCCGCGGACGTGAGTGGCAGGGTGGTGTGGTGACGCAGGCGCGGTCGACCCCCATGCGCAAATTGTGGCGGAGACCTGTTTGCGCCCCTTGTCCTGCCTTTTGTGCAGCTGATGAACTATGTGTTCCGAATCGAGAGCCTGAGCTACTCGCTGCGGTCCACCAGCGGCGAGTGCACAGGCATGGCATCGTCGGGGTGTGCGGCGCCACTCGGATGATTTGTACGGGGGTGGCACCTGGCCAGCAAGCAGCAGGCAATGGCTTCCATTAGGACAGCAGCACTGCAATAATAAGATCGAAACACACACTCATGAGACACTCACCTCCTGTGGGACACCATGTACCCAGCAGCTCAAGGGCGGAAAGGCAGGGGGAGGGATGAGGCCATGGTTCCATGTCTTAGAGGGCCACCACCGCCTGGTTAAAGGCGGTTGGCACCGCCTTGCCGTCGCCTAGTGCCTGCAGCGGGAGCGAGCATGCAGCTGGTTCGGTTGCAGTTGTGCTAACTGGCTGCACAGTCTGGAAATTGGGTGGGTCTGAATGAATGCGGATGCCATCTCAGGGCGCCGGCGCCACCTGGTTCATGACAGGAACCTTTGTTCGTCGCTGCAGGCCAATTATCCCTGCCTGCGGCTTTACAATGCCATCTTCGTGCCTAACAGCAGCCTGCGCCGCACCACTCGCTGCGCGGGCATCCACCACAACGCGAAGACTTACCTGCAGGCAGCGAGCATCATTTCGCTCTGCTGCCTCTGTCTAACGCCATGCCGCACGCTTTCAAGGCCCAATGGATGGCTCGCAGCCGGCCAGGCCGTCGCCGCTCGCTTGGACCCGCATCGCCAGTCTGAACAGCAACGCCAGCACCCTGCAGCACCTCGTGAACCAGGTTTGTGACCAACAGATCAGCGGGGCGCGTTGCCGGTCAGCCGCCGCTCCACCGCCGCCCGCCCGTCTGTTCACGGCAGCGTCTGCCTCCACCCAGGCCTGCAGCGCCCATGGCGAGGCTGCCGCAGCGCCTGTGGTTGTCTGCTGTCCGCTGTGCCCGCTGCAGGGGAAGTTCAGCGTGCTGGATCCCGAGGATGTGCGGCACAGCATCCGCTGCCACATGCTGGAGCAGCACGCCGGCGGCGAGGCAGAGGTGTGCATCGTGACCTGGGCACCGGTCGGCAGCCAAGGCAGCCAAGCCATCCCGCCAGGCACCCGCGTGGCAGTAAAGCTGTACCACCGGTCCAACGGCGGCAACGGCTTCTTGCCCATCAGGGATGAGTTTGACCGCATCCAGGAAGGTAGGCAAGCAACAAGTGCAGCGAGGCACTGCAGCGCCTGGAGAAGGCGCATGGCATGTATGCACAATGCGCTGCATGCCGACAAGCCCCAGCCTATACTGGGTGCCTTGCCGTCTGCCTGCCTGCAGTGGCTCAGGGCCTGAACTCTCTGCGCAAGGAGGTCAACGTGATGCACAGGCTGCAGCAGGCGGGGCTGAAGACGCCGCAGGTGCTGGGCATTGTGCAGCACCACGGAGACCTGCGCAACCAGGCAAGCGTCTTGCCGCACCGCCGCCTGCCACGCCTGCCGCCAGTGTTGGTAGGGCAGGGCAGGGCGGGTAGCACGCATGCCAAGGCATCGAGTGCAGTGCGCCCTGTCCACTTGCCTGCCCACCATGCTGCAGCTGCTGTGGGGCTACGTGATGCCTGCCTACCAGCACGGCTCCCTGTATTCATTCATGCACCGCACCTGCCACCGGTGCGTGCGCGGGAGCGGGGCCAACCCCTTCCTGTGCCGTCGGGCTGCAGCCTCACCTGCTGCGGCTCCACTCTGCTCACACGCTGCCTTGCATCAGGCGCCCACACAACACAATCTGCCTCGCCAAGATGCGCCACCCTGCCGCTCCTCCATGCAGGCAGATTGCAGAGGGCGTGTTTCCTTCTTTCTTTGCCTTCCACAAGCTGGCAGGTGGGTGCTGACCAGGCGGGCAGGATGCTTTCCAGCCTGCTTGGCTGCACCCACCTCGGGGCCACCACCTCCAGCCGGCCCGGCAGCAATGCCCCTCCCCATCCCTATCCCTGCCCCATCCCAGCGGCCCTCCCACCCGTGCGCTTGCGCCTCTGTGCTTCTCCCGTGTGTGCAGGCCATTACGAGCAGCTGCACAGCGCGCTGCTGCGCTTCTCCAGCCCCGGCGCCGGCCAGGGGCTGCTGCTGCAAGACATCTCCAGCAACAACCTGCTGGTCAGCGAGCTGGTGAGCTTCGGGGCCGTCGGCAAGGCGGCCAGCACGGCAGCCCCCTCCTGCGAGCTGCTCTTCGCCGACCCCTCCCAGGCACAGATCATCGGGCACCTGCAGAAGCCGCAAGCGTAAGCGCTGCAGCCCCTGGCAGCGGCCACCAGCGGCTGGGGACGCACAGACAGGGGCGGGCTGCAGCACGGTGTCAGCCCAGCAAGGGTGCCCGCCTCCCACCCAACCCGTGACTGATTGGTCCTGCACTATCTACCGTCTTCCTGTCACCCCACGTGCCGCTGCTGCTGGTGCAGGAGCTGCTACGTGGTGTCCACGTGGCTGTGGGGCTCCCTGTCCACCCGGTATGGCATGGTTGACCCTCTGGCCGACCTCTACTCCCTCAACGTTGTGTTCCTGGAGGCAAGTGGCCTGCTGGCACGGCCGCCTGCCTCCCTGCCTCCCTCTCTGCCACCTTGGATCCCCGCTAGCGACAGCCTGCCTTCCGGTCCCAGGGCCCAGACACCACCACCGTGGGGGCCAAGCTGAACACGCCTCCTCCCTCCTTGCCCTGCTGCCGCAGTTGTGGATGGTGGCTGAGGGCGGGCCCGTGCCGCTGAAAGAGCTGGTGCAGAGCCTGGCGGCAGATGGCGACAGGTGGGACAGAGCGGCAGAGTGAGCGCGCCTCTAGCGTGGCCCTGCCGCTCAGCTGACCTTGTGCGCACCGCCGCCGCCGCTGGTGGTGGTGCAGGAGCCAGGGATGGGCGCTGGCAAGGGCGCTATGTGTGGCCATGCTCAGGCGCCATGTCTGTGGCGGCGGCATCCAGCCCCGCAACAAGCGGGAGGTGCCGGTGAGTGGCCCCACAGCAGGCATGCCCTGGCTGGGTGGCTCGAGCAGCAGCCCAGCCCGCAGAGTCAGCCGTGCATGCTGCTGCTCGTGGCAAGCAGAGTGGTGCGGCCCTCTCTGCACTTGCTGAGCCGCACCGTGTGCTGCCCGCCCTCCGGGCTCCCCTGCCGCAAGCTGCAGCTATCCTGGCTCCTGCTCTGGTCTCTGCTGCTTGGCACTGACGACCTGCGCAGCGGTCAGGAGCTGGCCAGCGTCATGCTGTGCCGCCGCCCCAGCGTTGCTGACATGGCGCAGGTCGCTGCCCGCCTGTCCAGCATCGCCACGGCAGTCGAGGTGAGTGGTGAGTGTCCCTGGTGCATGCCACAGCGCTGCCGGCCTGTGGCAGACCTGATCTGGGGCACACCGTCTCCTCTGCCGCATTTGACAATGCTGTGCCCTCCTGCCGGCCTGCTCCTGCACAGGAGCTGGGAGGCAGCCTGACCTCAGAGATACTGGGCACGGCTTCGGGCGCTGCTATGGTCACGCAGTGCGTGGAGCTGTATGGGCGGCTGGTGCAGCTGTCTCAGCTGGAGGCGGAGCCAGCCACTCCTGCCAGCCTGCTGCCGGCGGTGAGTATCCGCTCCCTTGGGCCGTCGCTGCCCTGGCCCGCGGTACCGGGTTCATTCAAGCCCAGGAAGTGTTCAGCCCACCGCTTGGCGGTGCTGCGCGCCAACGCCTGCCCCTGCAGGACGACAGCCTGGTGTGGGTTGCCACTCACTTTATGGCGCAGGAGCACCCGCTGGTGGCGGCAATGAGGGAGCAGGTGGAGGCGGCTGTGCGCTCAGGGGAGGGAGTGCCCGCTCATCTCCCAGCCAGCGGCTGAACAGCAGGCTGGGATCGCAGGCTGACTGGTCGACCTAAACCCTAGCCCCGCTGCTGCAATGTCGTGCAGGGTGTGGTGCTGGTGTGCGGCCAGCAGGCGCCGCCCCTGGCGCCGCTCAAGCCCTACCTGCGCAACTTCCAATATGCAGTGCATGTAAGTGCTGCCAGCCGCGCCAAGGACGGTGTGCAGCCGGCGCCACTGCCTGCCCACCTGCCCATCCTGCCCTAGCAATGCTTGCCCTGTGTTTGCCTGCCGCTGCGCAGGAGGCCCAGGGCAAAGCCAAGTGGATCGGGGGCAATGAGCTGGTGGGGCAGGCGGTGGAGCATGCAGCAGTGGCAGCTGAGGACAGGGCGGCCGGCCAGATGCGTGGCTTGAGCCAGGCAAGGAACAGCCCGAGTGTAACTGGGCACAGCTGGCAGCTTGGCAGTGCTTCCCTCCCAGTGTGTTTGTGCATCCCGGTGCTGCTGCCGCTTGTCGCCTTGGCTGACGCGCTGCCTGGCCGCCGCTGAAAGCTGTGCCTGCCCGCGTGCGCCTTGCGCCGCAGGCCTTCCTTCGGCTGCGCGAGGCTGCCCTGCGCCTGGCGCCTGATGAGCAGCAGCGGGCCGAGCTGCGTGAGGCGGCTGTCCTGCCGCCAGAGCTGGATGCCATTGTGCGCTCCACCCCGGCGTCGCCATCAGGACCGTTGGCACCACCTACTGCTGCTCCCTCCAATCCAGCAGCGGAGCCTGAGCGGCCTGCCGGCCAACCGCCTGCTGCACACCCCGCCTCTGGCTGCGGCAGTATGGCCAGCCCTGCAGCAGCGGCACCTTGCTCCAGCTTGGTCAGCGGCACTGTGGCGGTACCTGCCTCCATGCCTGCCACACCTACCAAGCAGCGTCTGGAAGCGCAGGCGAGCAATTAGTTTGTTTTGATAGCTACAATTTCTGTCTTGTTGCTGTTTAAGGGATATATCTGAAGCAAAACAGCAAAAATGAGCAATGGGATAGGGATCAATGCACACGAACCAGGAAGCTTGCACGTTATGGGAAACTGGCGGCAACTGGAGCACGCTGCGGCGGGCGCAGCAGGCTCCCTCACGCTGCGACGGGGTGAGCGTGCTCGCTGCCCACACGGCTGCGGGCGCACGCCACGCTGCGTCCGTCCCAGCATGCCGCCACTGTCACCCTTTGCGGCTTGTGCCCCGGCACCTGCTTTCAAGTAGGCTCAGTTGACCCGACGCTTCCCACCGGCACCTCAGCAGCGCCGGTGAACCCTCCCCGCCAATGGCGCCCCCAACCGCCACCCATTGCCATCTGCCGGGCGCCACCACCTATCCAAATCTGCGACGCAGGCTCACCGCCTCTCACCAGGCAACCCACAGGCACCAGATAGTGCTGGCCAGCCGCCTCGCCTGATCTGGCCAGTCGCCTCGCCTGATGCCGACACGGCAGCAAATGGCCTCAGGGCGCCGTTGCCACCTGGTTCAACCGCATTTTTTGTCGCTGCAGGCCAATTCTCCCTGGCTGCGCCTTCCCATTGCCATCTTCGTGCCTGAAAGCATCCTGCAGCCGCACCACTCGCTGCGCGGGCCATCCACCACATCGCGGAGACTCACCTGCAGGCAGCGAGCATCATTTAGCTCTGATGCCTCTGTCTAACGCCCTGCCGCACGCTTCCAAGGCCCATTGGAGGGCTCGCAGCCGGCCAGGCCGCCACTCGACCGGTCGAGCATTCGCAGCCTGAACAGCAACGCCGCTGCCCTTCAGCACCTCGTGAAGCAGGTTAGTGACCAGCCGGTGAGCGCCGAGCTTTGCCCGTCAGCCGCCGCTCCATGCCGCCGCCCCGCCACACACCCGCCGCTTACGGCGCCTGCGCCCATGGCATGGCTGCCGCAGTGCCTGAGCAGTGTGCTGTCCGCCGTGCCCGCTGCAGAGTGAGGACAACGCGGCTCGCCAGATGCGTGGCTTATGCCAGGCAAGGAACAGCCCGAGTGCTGCTGGGCACAGCTGGGCAGCCTGGCGGTGCATACTCACCCCACCTGCAGTGAGGGCTTGCGACCCATTGGATGGGGTGCTTCCCTCCCAGTGTGTTTGTGCATCCCGGTGCTGCTCCCGCTTGTCGCCTTGGATGACGCACTGCCTAGCCGCCGCTGTTAGTTGTGCCTGCCCGCCCACGCTTTATGCCGCAGGCCTTCATTCGGCTGCGCGAGGCTGCCCTGCGCCTGGCGCCTGATGAGCAGCAGCGGGCCGAGCTTCGTGAGGCGGCCGTCTTGCCGCCAGAGCTGAATGCCATTGTACGCTCCACCCCGGCGCCGCCATCAGCACCGTTGGCACCACCTACTGCTGCTCCCTCCAATCCAGCAGCGGAGCCTGAGCGGCCTGCCGGCCAACCGCCTGCTGCACACCCCGCCTCTGGCTCGGCCAGCCCCGCAGCAGCGGCACCTTGCTCCAGCTTGGGCAGCCGCAATGTTGCGGTAGCTGCCTCCATGCCTGCCTCCATCCCAACTTTTTTGGGCGAGTCGCCTACCAAGCGCAAGCGTCTGGAAGCGCAGGCGAGCAATGTGGCTGTGTCGCTGCGATGCGCCGCTGCAATGCCGCCATCACGGAATTGCTAGCACAGCCGGGTTGGCAATGCTTGCCCATTGCCTGCCATGGACTCCCACAATGCTGGCAGTGGTGGTGCAGGTGCAGGGCGATGCTGCGCCACTGGAGCAGCCCACACACCGCGAAAATGCCTTCATGTCGCAACCGAACCGTGCCACAGCTGCACCAGCCAACTCGCTGCCTGCGGGAGTGTTCCAGTTTGGGCCCACCCAGCGCGGCGCCGCCGCCGGCCTGCCAGCCTTCCGGCTGGGCTCCCACAAGCTGTACAGCCGGGTGTTTGCCATCTCACTGGTGAGTGGGACGCCACCACCTTGCCGTTGTGCGCTGTGCGGTGCTGCAGCCCATCACTTCCGCCCCGCTTGTCACCTCCTGTGTGTGCATTTGCCACTACCCGGCATCCACGTGTGAGCTCAGCAATAATGCTGTGCTGGCCTTGTGGCATGGGAGGCCAGGCTCGAGGCACCCAACAACGGCCATCTGTGGCTGCCTATTCCTGCATGCAGGGCCTGCTGACGCAGCGCTTCCTGCCTGAGGTGCACCAGCTGCTGAAGCAGCGGAGCGGGCCGTACGAGGGTGTGTGCACGGCCTATGGCCTGCAGGCGGGGCAGCTGGACGGCGTTGTGCAGCGCTACCTGTCGGGCCAGCGGTACATCGAGGTGTCTGCAAGCTTTGCCTGCAGCGACCCGGCCCGCTTTGCCAGCTGCGCCCCGGTGCTGTTTGATGGCAGCAGCCGCGGCAGGAATTCCGACGGCCTCTGCGTCGACACCACGCTGATGGACAGCAATGCGGCGCTGCAGCAGGAATACAGCGCGGCGCTGGTGAAGTACATCGCCACTAACAAAGGAAAGCTGCAGCCGCCGGGGGGCTACTTCGAGGTCTGGTTCCGGCTGAGCGCAGCGCAGGCGGCGCTGCCGCTCGGCTCTGCCACACCCTGGGTGCCGTGCCGCGGGGGCGTGGATGCTGCAACCTGCGAGGCCATCCACTCCAAGGCCCGCTGCTTGTAACTGCGCCGCCGTGGGCTGCCGCAAGGCTGGGAAGAAGGCACGCCGCGGGAAGATGGCACGTGCAAACAGGCTTCAGTACAGCAAACCAAAAACTTCGTGTTTTCACATCAGGAGGACTGCAACGCAATTTTTGAGAGCAGCTAAGCAAAGGGGGGCAAAGGACAGCGGAGAGGGGGAGCAGGGGCATTAGCCGACAACGTCGTACAAGGCATAGCTCTCACATGAGCATGGGGCAGTAAGAAGTGCATGCCCTGAAAGCGGGCCCGGTTCAATGCACAAGCGGCGTGGCAAACCAAGCAACGCCACGCGGCCAGCCGATATCACAGCCACCCGCCATCTACACCAGCAGCTGGTTGACCTCCCCCATGACGTTGATGCGGCGCCCCAGCTTGGCCGACAGCGCCCGCTCCACCTCCTCCTTGGCCTGCCGCGTGTGCTTCACCAGCACCGCCAGCTTGGCTGCAGCGGGGCGTGGTGGTGTGGTGTGGGTGTGCACGTCGGCTGCTGTGTGGCAAGTGGGGCAGAGTGGCAGGGTAGTGCGCCGCCACCAGCTCAGCCCAGCCCAGCCGCACTCCCGGGCCCAGCCCCAGAACCAGGGAGCATTGCTCACCCGAGTCGGCCATGAGCTGACTCTGGATGCCGCCACGCCGCGCCTCCGCCTCGGCCGCCGCCCTGCAGGCAGCCGCACGGTCATGTAGCATGCAGTCGGTGCACGGGAAATGCACCCGTGCAGGACCAGCCGGCCAACTGAACTGTCAGGCGGGCGGCCTCGGCCAGAAGGAAGCAGCGGGTGGCCGCTGTCCCAAGGCACCGCAAACCGCCGCTCTCTGCACATGGCTGCCCGCATCGCCGCAACGGAAAGCGGCCGGCCGCGCAGCGGCTGCCGCTCGCCTGTGGAACTTGGCTTCCTGCGCCGCCTTCTGCTGCAGCCCCGCCGCCAGACGGTCCAGGTAGTGGCTGCTGGTGCGCAGCGCAATCAGCTGCTTCAGCTTGTCGCCTGCGGGCGGGCGGGCGGGCAGGTGGGGGGCAGCAGGGGGGGCGGCAGGGCGCATAAAATGAAATTCCATCCGTAGCAGGCAGGCGAGGCAACACCAAACCGAACAGTGCATCTCAGGGTTGAATCGGAGTGCCTGCTGCCGAGCAGCTGCAGGCCGGCTGCTCACCCCCAAACCGCGCCAGCGCCTCGTCGACCGCGCCGACCATGTCTGTCGCCTGGTCGGCGCTGACGTGGAGCCCCCCCTCGGCAGCAGCCGCCAGCAGCAGCTCGCTGCTGCGCCCCGACAGCTCGCGGCAGCGCTGCGCGGCAGGGGGGTGGGCATGGACCAACGGCAAGGTGCATTGAGAACCGCTGGCGGAGAGGCACACTCCGCGCCTGCCTGCCTGCCCAAAATGCCGGCCAACTAGAGCCAGCAGCTGCTACGACCGCACTCACACACACACACACACACCTGCATGAGGAAGGCCCTCAGCTCATACAGGTCATCCAGCAGGCGGGCCCGGTAGGCGGCATCCTCGATCAGCCGCCGGATGGTGGCGGGCTCGTCCGCCGCCGCCGCAGCAGCAGCAGCCGCGGATGGGCCGTCCGCTTCGCCTGCGCCCGCGCCCTGCTGCCGCGCCCCTGCCAGCTGCTGCTCCTGCTGCTCCGACTCCTCGCCCACGCCGCTGATGTCGATGTCCCAGGCGATCTCAGCTGGCGCCACCTCAGCCGCCACGTCAGCTGCCACGTCAGCAGCAGCCGCCACGTCAGCAGGGTCCACCTCTACCTCCCAGCTGATGCCGCCTGCGGCGCCGCCCCCTGCGCCTGCCGCATCATCGCCGCCGTCTTCTGCAGCGGCTGCCAGGTCAGAAGCATCCAGGTCCCAGCTGATCCCCGCCGCCGGTACCGCCGCGCCGCCGCCGCCGGCCTCCTCCCCGCCAGCCGCCCCCAGCGCCGCGCCCAGATCCCAATCCAGCTGCAGCCCCGTCGCGGCGCTGCCGCCGCTGTCGGCCGCGGCCGCATCGCCGCCGTCGCCGCTGGCCGAGCGCGCCGGCGCCTCTGCCGCCGCCGCCGCTGCGGGCGCCTCAGTGCGCCCCTCTCGCACCTCTGCCAGCACAGGGAGCAGGGCTGCCTCCCCCTGCTCCTGCTGCTGGCTGCCGGCAACCGAAGCATAGTACTGCATGCCCTGGCTCACGCCCTCCGCCTGCAGCGCCTCCACCGCCGCCGCCGCCAGCGCGGGTAGCTCGGCGGTTAGGCCCAGCAGCCCGCCCCGAATGTTGGAGCAGTCGATGCCCAGCGCCGAACACTCCTGCACAGGCAGGCGGCGGGGTGTGCAGCGCGCCGGAACGAGCGGCCGTCAGCCCACAGAAGACGGCAGCGGAGATTGGAAGGGAGAGCAAAGGAAGGCATGCCCTCCTGTACACCAAGCAAGGGTAAGGTAAGCCCAGCCTGTATTGCGCAGCCCGCCGCAAGACTTCGAGGCCGGCCCCACACGCGCCTGCTGGAATTCCGCCGCCGCCGCCGCCGCGCTCCTGCCCGCCTCCGCCTTGCGCTTCTCCAGGTCTGCCAGCTGCTGCTGGCACTTGGCGGCCTGCTTCTTCAAGAACGGGATCTCGAAGTCGGCGTTGCGGCACAGCGTCTGTGCCGCCTCCGCCAAATAGATGACTGCGGCAGGTGGGCGGGTGGCGGGGAGGCGGCGCGGCGGCGTGGGCGGAAGTGGTGGTGGATGGGGCGGGACGGGGTGGTGCAAGGCGGGTGGGCGCCGGGGCAGCGCATTGCCAGACATGCTTCACGCCCACGGCCCCCCGCTCTGAAGCCACCCTGCGCGTTGCCAGCACCCACGCTCATGTTAACCCAGCCAAACCGAACCGAACAAACAGCAGCAGCCCCGCTCACGGTTGTACTCGTAGGCTCGCACCACCTTGTCCCATTCGCCCGCCGCCCCTTTCAGCGACCCCAGCAGGCTCTTCTCCGCGGTCTCGCTCAGCTTGGCCAGCACCCTCTGGGCCTGGAAGTAGTCGAGCGGGGCATCCTCGCCGCCTGCGGGACGACAAGGAGGGAGGGTGGTGATGAGGTGGTGTTCCGGTGGCGCAAGAAGGTGGGGAGGTGGGCACGGGAGCGAGCGGTTTGAAGTAATCAAGGAGGCGGCAGCCGCTGCGGCAGCCTTTCTTGCTGAATAGATGGATGAATCTTCATGCTGCGAGTCCCAGGAGTGTGCCTGGAGGCACAAGGGCCAGGGCCCGCCCGCACCTTCAAACTGGCCCAGGAAGCCCGGCGGCAGCTCCCGCACTGCCGCCGCCGCCTTGGCTTGGATGGCCTGCAGCTTGCGGTTCCAGTCGGCGGGCACCTGCTTGCGGTCCACCTGCGGGCGTGCATAGGCACCAGGAGGGTCGCGCACAACACCAGGCAGCCACGGTGGGAAGGATGCTGCAGGAAGGCGCACAAAGTGTCGGGCAGCGCCCGAAGGTGGCGGCGGAAGATGGGGCGATGAGCGGGCCTCGCTGCATCTGCCGCTGCTTGACATGATCATGAAGTGTCTGCCCACTGCGTTGCCAGCCTCCAGGGCGCTTGTTGGGACGCAGCGAGAGTTTTGGCTGGGCACCCCGGCCATCCCTCTGCCCATCACCCGCGCTCACCAGCCATTCGCTGAGCTTGGTGTACTGGACATCTATCGGCAGATCGCTGTCTGCGTTCGGCCGGGCATACCCCTCGCCGACAAGCTTTGCAGTCAGGTAGGACGTCATTGCGCCCCTGCGCTATCCAAATCGAAGGATCTGGCAGCCAGCGGCACTCAGGGGGCTGCGACCGGCACTGTCAGCCGCCGCAGCACACGCAGCAGAATATAGATTGGCGCCCAAAGGCCCCACCACAGACCAATTTTGATCATCGATCGGACTGCAGGTCACTCTCAAGACAACCTCAGCCCCTGGCCCTGTCACATGCACCCAGTGTTGTGACCACTCCACCTCCCGTCCTGCCCGAGGCCCTGCCTGCGCTCCTGCTAGCGCCTCACGCGCCCCAAGCGGCGCCGCACAGCGCAGCCATGTCCGAAGGGGACCCGTGGCTGGGCGCCCAGCCCCTGCTGCCGGGGGGGGGCGACGGGCTGGGGGCCGGGGAACTTCTGGCACGGCCCTCCTTTTTCCTTTTTGAATTCGACCCCGCCATTCGAGATCGGGGACCCCAAGAGGAACTTCGCCTTGCCCGGGGGCCAGGAAACGCCCACCATCGAGAAGCTGATTGGGACAGGAGGGCCCCGGGGGGCGCTCCCCCGCCGCTGCTGCTGGCGGCCATTGATCGGGTGGTGTGCCTGGAGACCCCCTGGCACAAGGGGTCCATGCTACCCCAGACCGTCTTCACCCCCCTGTACATGCTGCAACCCGACAGGGGGGCCTTGGAAGGGTGCGCAGGGGTTCCCTGTTCGCGCCAGGTCCAAGCGCATGCGCTCCCCAGCCCCATCCCTGCCCCTGACATGCCAGCAGCGATGGCGCCCTCCCTGCTGCCTGCCTGCTGCTGGCGCGACGATGGCTGGCGCCCACCCACCCGCCTAACGTGCCGCTGCTGCCGCCACCCCGCAGGCTGGCCGCCAACCCACCGCTGCATGCCTTCTGCCTGGCGCTTCGCTCTGCCTGCTCTGTGTTTGTCGACATGGCGCACGCGGCTGCGGTCACAGAGGTGGGCTGGGGAGGAGCAGGAGCCTGTGTGGGTGGCTGAGGGGTCTGGTGGCTGGGGAGGGGGGGGCGGAAGCAGAGAGCGCCGCGCGGTGCGCCACACGGCACTGCTGCGGCAGCGGCAGCTGCTTCCACGTCCCCTTCCGCCCTTCCTCCCTCCCTGAACAGTGGCTAATTCATCATCCCATCTTCCTCCCTCCCTCGCTCCTCCCTCCCTCTGTCCTCCCGGCAGGACGAAGACTTCTTTGTTCACACCTTTGGCATCCGCATGCTCGACCTGCCCGGCAGCAAGCCAGTGGCGGCGGCCCTCCAGGCGCTGGCCGCCGCGGAGGAGCAGCTGGAGCAGTGGGTGGCGGGCACCGGCGGCAGCGCCAGCAGCGGCAGCAGCGGCGGCGACGGCGGCGGCAAGGGCGGCGGCGGTGGTACTAGCGGCAGCCCCCAGCAGCAGCCTGGCAGCGCTGCTTTGCAAGGCAGCGGCTGGCCTCCCAGCTCGGAGCAGGCGGCGGCACTGCTGGCCCGCATCCGCTTCCGGCGGCTGGTGCTGGAGGCGGCGCAGTCGCTGCAGGTGTACAGCCAGGCGGGGGTGGAGGCGGCGCGCCGGCAGTGCCAGCTGGCAGAGGCGCAGCTGGCGCTGGTGGAGGGGAGCGCCGGCCTGGCGGCGGCGCCGAACAAGGCCCCGGGCTTTGTGCCTGACATCAACCGGCAGCACATGGGGCTGGTACCGCCGCGCCGCGTGCACGTGAGCACGCCTCTCCGCCGGCCAGCTGGCAGCTCTTCGGCCACTCTGTGCGCTGTGTGCTCTGTTCGCGCTGGCCAGCAACGTCATGCATGCCAGCCGTGCAGCGAGGGTCGGAGCTCCACCCCGGCTTGCACGTCGAGCCACCTGAGCGTGCGCTGTGCCCTGCCCTGCCCTCATCCTTTGACGCGCAGGCGGTGACCCTTGGGCAGGCGGTGGAGCACTGGCGGCGCGTGCTGCGCGGCCTGGCCGACGCCTTGCACGCCCTGCTGTTTGTGCGGGGCAGCTGGCAGGCGCTCAAGGCCGCCCTGGTCGACCTCGCCTCCCACAACCATCACTCCATAGTGCGGTCGGCGCTGCACCTGCAGCTGATCAAGCCGCTGCCGCCTCCGCCCCCGGCCCCGCCAGCCGGCGCCGCGGCGCCGCCTGCGCTGCAAAACGGTGGCGGCGGCGGCGGCGGCGGCGGCGGCAGCAAGCCCGGCGGCGGCAGGAAGCCTGCGGCGGAGGTGCCGCCGTGGTGCCCCGGGCAGCAGATGGTGTGCCAGGAGTTGGGGGTGGCGCTGCCCTCGGTGCCGTGCCCAGAGGCGGCGCTGTTCCTCGAGCAGGCTGCGATAGCGGTGAGAGCGGGGTGGCCTGGCCGCGGGGCAGGCACGCGGCAGGCGATGGGGCTGGGGACGCCATGGCTGCCGCTCTGCCGTGTGCTGTGTGCACCTGCCTGCCTTCCCATCTGATTGACATCCACACAGATGCCGAATACGCGTGCAGTGCAGTTCCCTCCCCACTTTATTCAACACCATCGACACAAACAATGAGTCATTCTTGGTGCCCCGCAGATCCAGGGCCAGGCGTTCGCGCTGTGCCTCAACCGCTGCCGCCAGCGCCGCCGCCTGCGCCGCCAGATGGAGGACTGGAAGAACATCTTCGACCACGCCTTCAACGCGGGTGGGTGGGCGGCCGCCTCGAATGCATGCAGGCTGCTATCAATGCAGGTGGCTGGCTTTGGTGTGGGTGGGTGTACACGGGTAGCTGGCTTCAATGCATGCAGGGGAAAGTGCTGTCCTGTGCTTGCCCTCACTCTCCCTGTGTTTTGGTGCCGAAACAGTTGCCACCCATTGGTTGCGCCACTGACCGCTGGCATCGCACGGTCCCTGCTGCTGCAGACGTGACCCCCGAGATGCAGGGCTGGCTGGCCAAGGCGGGGTGGCGGTGGGAGGGCCAGCACGAGGGCCTGCTGCAGGGACAGGTGCGCCCCTGTGCTGCGCCTCGTGTTTGCCTGCCGTGCCATGCTGTGCCGTGCTGCGATGTGCTGTGGTGTGCCGCGTGCTGTGCTGTACTGCGATGGGCCCCTGCTGCGCCGGCCGCCTCATGCTGGGCCCGTGCTCGTGTGTGTGTGTGGAGGCGCTCGGCGCTGCAAGGAGCGCTGCTGTACTAGCAGGGTGGCTGGTTGGAGGAGTGTGAGGTGGCTGGCTGGCCTGCCGCTGCCTGCAGGGCCCGGCCGCGACCTGGGCGGAGCGCGAGGCGGCTGGCTGCGCCCTGCTGCACCTTCAACTCGGCTTCCCGCTGGACCTGTATGCCCCGTACGAGTACTGCCAGATGTACTGGTACTGCGACTACCTTCTAGAGTGCCAGTACCGCCAGGGCCGCCTGCTGCACGCCGCCGCCCCGGCGCCGCCGCCACCCCCCCGCCGCGGCGCCGGCGGCCGCGGGGGCAAGCAGCGCAGCGGGCGCGGCGGCGGCGCCAGCCCCAGCAGCGGGCAGATGAGCGCCGGGGAGCAGGTGGTGGCGGCCAGGGAGGTTGAGGTGCGCTGCGGGCTGCGCCGCCTGCCTCCTACTGCCCTCCTTGTGTTCCCTTCCACAGCCCCAACTTTCCTCTGTTCTTTGAATCAGCTCTCCGCCTCGCTGGCAGGCAGAGCCCCCTGCCAAAGCAGGCACAGTTCTTCTCCTCTCTAACCTTCCCCGTTGCCGCCGCTGCTGGCTGCAGCTGGTGCTGCTCGAGGTCGAGCGGCTGATGTGCGGCGGCATGTTCCGAGCGGCCATTGCGCTGCAGCAGCTGGGCTGCATCGCGCTGCCAGACGCGCCCTTCAACACAGGTGTGGGGCGCTGCTGCGTTGGCGGCGGTATGGCGCAGGCTGGTTCTGAACAGAACCGTTGACGCCCTGTCGGCGCTTGCCGCAGACGCTGCTGGCGCTGGCTACCCTGTGCCCTCTTTCACGCTGGCTCGATCCTTGTGCAGAGGAGCAGCGGTACGAGCAGCGCTTTGGCTTCCTGGAGCAGATGTGCCGCCCCGAGCTCCTCCCCTACCCCCACTACCGCTCCAGCACCGACCCTGCCGGCCTGCCGCCCGCCCGCGTGCTGGCAGTGGCGCTGTCCTCCTTCCAGCGCGCCGGCGAGCGCGCGGGCGGGCTGCTGGCGGCGGCGCCGCTGCGGGCGCTGCTTCGGGAGGAGCAGGTGGGTGTGGGCCTGGGCCGCGGCTGGCTGGACGGCCAATGCCAGGGTCTCTACCAGCTGTTTCTGTGTTTTGCATGCACGACTTGGCTGGGTGCTGGTGCTTTCTGGGCAGCAGTGGGCACGCGTGTGCAATAACCCTCGCCCGACTCGCTGGCGGCCGCGATCCTGACAAACCGGGGGACCCTTTCAATGCAGGTGCGGCACCTGGAGGGCGTGCGGCGCACCGCCGCCCAGAACGCGGTGGCGGCCAAGCTTCTGGCAGCCACCGCGGTGCGAGGTGCAGCAGCAGATGCGGCAGCGGGCGTGGCGGGCGGCGGAGCGAGTTCCGCTGGAGGCGCCGCCGGCTCGGCGGGTGCCTTGCGGCAGTCGGCGCCGGCCTTCAAGGCGCAGTTTGATTTCAAGACGGCGCTGACCAGCAGCATCGCCCACTTCTATCCAGCCATCCTGCTCAAGAGCTGAGCCGTCTGGGTACGGCAGCAGCAGGAGGAACTGGCAACAGCAGGCACAGAGGCCTGCGCGTAGTGCATGCGTGGGTGGCGCCATCACCAGCTGGCATGTAAACACATCTCATGCAGACACCCTCTGAGGTTGCACACCATGCCTGTCCCTAAGCACTGGTTGATGGTGCCGCCCTCTGGCGGCCTGGCCGCGGGAACCAGCAGTGGGCTCTGATGTAGCAGCGTCCGGCGAGACGTTGGAAATGCATTGAGACGCGTCCATGCCGGCACGAAATGCAACAGAGTTGCCACAACATTGTTAGCCTGCCGCCACAGCGGGCCCAGCGGCGGCGGCACGAAACTGAAAGGTGGCGGCAGTTGGGCACAGCTTGCGCTCGCCATCGGCCGCTCTGTGCCCTGCCGCCCTGAATTGGCGTTCCCGGCTTCGAGCGTTCGACTTTTTGCAATGTGTTAGTTGAAGTCGGCCACCATGCGCTTGCCCCTGCTCTGGCTGGCACTTTTCACGCTGCTGGCGTGCCCCGCCGCGGCCCGTGACGCCTGCGGCTTCACCCAGAACCAGCCGCGCTTCTACCAGGGCCGCACAGGAATCACTGCCCTGAATGTCGACCCCCAGGGCGCCCTGTTCCTCAACGACGCCCTGCTGCGCACCCTCACGCGCCAGCTGGGCCTGGCCGAGTGCCAGGTGCTGCTGACGCAGGGGGAGGAGTGCGAGGCGGCGCTGGCCGCCGCCCCCTGCCCTGACCCGTCGTGGGTGTGCGGCGGCGACATGGTCATCGCCAACTCCGTCTACCAGGCCGCGCGCAGCGGCCTGTGCGCCGGCGGCAGCACCGAGGCCGTCTGCCAGACGCTGGCCGACTATCCAGACATCGCCGCGGCGGTGGCCGCCGGCGAGTGCGAGGCCATGTGCTTTGCGCAGCTGGCGGCGGGCAATGACACCGCCAGCGGCGGCGACGCCCCCGGCGCGAAGCTGGGCCCGCCGCCGCCGCCGCCAGGCCCTCCCAAGGCCCCCGCCTCCGCCTGCTACGCCTTCACCCTGCAAGTCGACTCCGCCACCCAGAAAGAGGCGCAGACGGTGGCAGCCAACGTGCACAATGCCTCCACCATGGGAGTGCTGCTCGACACCCTGGCTTCTTATTCCGCCCCCGGCAAGCGCATCGCCTTTGTCATGGGAGACACAGGTGACAGCAAGGGCCATGCGCACTGCACAGCTGCGCCTGCGCAGGACACTCCTGACATACTGGCATGGCGGGGCCCAAGCGCGGCGGGGTGCCGGCCTGCGGGGCCAGAGAGCCCCCTCAACTCCCTTCATGGCTGCCTATGTTGCCTGCCTCACCTTCCATTCAACTCCCCACGTGCTCCCTGCAGACCTCAGCCCCATCGTCGGCTTTGGCTACTTCCCGCCGCCCAGCCCGCCGCCGTCCCCTCCTCCACCCTCCCCACCGCCACCGCCCTCCCCGCCACCGCCCCTCGTGTCCTTCCAGCCCACCGCCAACGCCTCCGGCAGCAGCCCCAGCTTTGACATCCAGTCCGTGGATGGCTCAGCTGAGCTGCAGTATGGCGCCTGGAGCGGGTGCAGCTCTCCCTGCGGCCCCGGCTGGCAGACGCGCTCCGCCTCGTGCCTGTCGGCCACAGGCTCGCTGCTGCTGCTGGGGCTGTGCCCTGGTGCCGATGGCGCCCTCATCTATCGTGCCTGCACGTGAGTGGGCTTGGGTTGAGGCCCGGGGCTGCCTGGCAGCTTGCGTCCCCTGCCTGCTGGCAGCCGCTCCATCTATGCCGCATGCCGCGATGGGATGCCTCAATGCGCTCAGCGCCTTGCCTTCCCTGCGCCGCCACCTCTGCAGCGGCCCCTCCTGCCAGACCGCCCACTGGGAGTACTCTCCCTGGAGCGCCTGCAACGCCACCTGCGGCGGCGGCGTGGCCACCCGCGTCGCCACCTGCTCCGCCCCTTCGGGCTCTAAGTGCGACCCAGCCACACAGCAGGCCACGGAGCAGGAGTGCAACACCGCCGCCTGCGAGGTCTTCGCCTGGCGGGCAGGGGACTGGGGCGCGTGCAGCGCCAGCTGCGGAGGTGCGCCCACCAGCCGCCCGCTGCCCCCGCGCCCTGAATTCGACCAGTGCGCCGGCCCTCCACTCTAGCTGGGCTGCCTCCTGCCCGCCCTATCCCCCCTGCGCTGCCAGCACATCCACCCTGTCGCTGGTGCCGCTGCTTGCTGCGCAGGCGGCGACCAGTCGCGGACGGTGGCCTGCGTCGATCCCTCGGGGCAGGCGGTCGCCGGCGACAAGTGCGCCGTGGCGCAGCCGCCCGCCCAGCAGCGGTGCAGCCTGCAGCCCTGTGACTTCTGCGCCGGCAACGGCTGCTTCGGCTACGGCGTGTGCAGCGGCGGCGCCTGCGCCTGCAGCCCGGGCCTAAACGTTACGGGAGAGTACTGCCAGGTGGGCCCCCACTGGGTACTGCGGCTGCAGGGGTGGCGCTGCCTGGCTGCTCCCTTTTCAGGCCCAGCCCAAGTGCACCCCTGCGGTTTTGGTGGCTTGTGTCGAGCTCACTACCGCTGCCCCCTTTGGTGGTGGCCCCGGCGTCGCCTGCAGGTGCCCGCCGACTGCGACAGCGGTGTGGTTGATGTGCAGCTGCAGTGCTGCGGCTCAGGCCTGGTGGATGCATCCGGCGCCTGCTGCCCTGCTGGCGCTGTGCTAGACGCTGCGGGTGCCTGCTGCGACGCCGGAGTGCTCGACGCCTGCGGCGTGTGTGGCGGTGCAGCCCTGTTTGTGGACACCTCCGGCGCCTGCTGCGCGACTCTGCTGGATGCCAACGGCGTGTGCTGCCAGGTAGGTGCCAGCTGTGCTGTGAGACGGGAGGTGGCCGGGCACTGCGCTGGCTTGCAACAGCAGAGCATCGATACACCTGGCTTGCAGTGGGCGGTGGCTTTGCTTGCCACTCGAGCTGCATGTCCGCTGTGACCCCTGTGCAGAGCGGGGAGGTGGATGAGTGCGGCGTGTGCGACGGCGTGGGCAACAGCTGCGCCGTCACGCTGCAGCTGGAGATCGACGTCAGCCCCAGCCTCATCTACGGCGACAGCATCGAGGTGGGTGGGTGGGGGTGGCTGGTGGCCGTACAGCTGGCTGGCAAGGAAGCAGACACCGGCCAAACGTAGCATGAGCGGCACATGCGCATCGCAGGGCGCTTGGGGGGAGGGCAGATCTGGTGGCACCACGCTCGTAGCCAGCAGCGTGGAGAGGCAAGCAAAGCAGCTGGCTGTAGACATCTCATGCTGCCCGCCCGCCCCCGGCCCCCGGCTGCCTGCCTGCCTGGCTGCAGGAGGCCCCCCTGGAGGCCTTCCTCGCCAACCTGACTGACACCCTGCAGCTGCCTCCGGGCTCGCTGTCCATCGACTCGCTGCAAGAGGCCGACCCCTCGGCCGCAGGCACCCTGGCCGTCGCCTCTGAGGACGGCACCAAGCGCCTGCTGCTGGCAGAGAAGCAAGTGGGCGGCACCGCAGGCGCCGAGCAGGCCTCAGAGAATGGCAACAGCGCCGCCTCGAGCAGCAAGGCGGAGGATGAGGAGGAGCCCCAGGAGCCAGTCACCCTGACCGCCACCATCACTCTGGAGCCAGACGCGGCCGCAGAGGGCGACGGCGGCCCCTTCTCTGCAGCCTGGTTTGAGGCGGCGCTGGTGGCGGCCGCAGCGCAGCAGTCGCCCGCTGCCCCGGTGCAGCTGGGCGGCGCGCAAGCGGGCAGGTTGGGGGTGTGCGGCAATGGTATTTGCGAGGTGGGGGAGCGCAGCGTGGAGGGATCCATCAACGGCACCTGCCCGCAAGATTGCGGCTTTGAGTCCAAGGTGGGCTGGTGTGGCAGTGGTGCTGGCGGCTGCAGTTGTCATCAGGGCCAGCGGCGGCTGGTAATACCTTGGCTGGCGTAGTCGCCCTCTTACACATTCTGCCTGCAAGCTTGATTGCGTCTGCACACTGCCCGGCTGGCTGCTGCAGAGCTGCCCCGCGGGCTGCGGCGATGCCGGCGTGTGCCAGCCCGCCAGCGGCGCCTGCCAGTGCTTTGCCGGCTACAGCGGCGCCACCTGCGAGGTCTGCGCCTCAGGCTACACTGCACAGGTGGGGCGGGCATGCCCTGTTGCCACTTGCTTGTTTGCTTGTCAGGCTCATGGCTAAGGCGGGGCTCCTCCCAGCTGGCAGCCTGCCAACCTGTGCTGCCCCATGCCGCCTCTGCGCCCAGGCTCCTGCTCCGTGTGCTGCCCTGGTGCCTTCTGCTGCCCAGCCCTCCATCCCTGTGCTGCCCCATGCTGCCTGCCGCCCTGCAGGCCAACGGCACCTGCGTGGCCGATGTCGTGCAGCTGGGGCTGGTAACCCCGGCAGCCCCCTCCTCCGACACTGGCTCGCCAACCGCACAAACCGACAGCGCAGAGAGCCAGGGTGAGCGGGCAAGGGGCGGCGGACCGTTTGTGTGTATGGGGTATGTGTGTGCCCTGTCGTCGGGTGGCTGCTCGCCTTCTGGCAGTGCTGGGGCTGGTCTGACCCTGCGGCGCCCTGCCATGCCTGACGCCCGCACCCACCCACACAACACACACACACACACACACACACTTCACTCACCCACAAACACAACACCCGCGCCACCCCCCACCACGCCTTGTGCCTCTACAGGAGACGGCGGCAGCACCAACGTCGGTGCGATTGTGGGCCCCATCATCGCTGTGGCGGTGGTGGCCCTCACCGCTGGCATCTTCCTCCTCCACCGCCGCCGCCGCCGAGCCTTCCTGGCCTTTGCCGCCGCCCACTCACCCACCAGCTCCGGCGGCGCCTGTGGCGACTTGGAGAGCCAGTCTGGCGGCTCCGCGCCTGGCGACGCCGGCGCCGAGACCCGCAGCCTTCGCGACAAGTACAGCTCCGGCAGCAGCCTGGGCGGGGCCAGCTCGCAGGGCGCGTCGCAGGGCGGGTTTGGGGGTGGAGCAGGAGGAGGCGGCGGGCGGGGCATGCGGGACTCGCAGGACGCGTTCTTGCAAGGCAGCCAGGAGCAGTTCAAGTACTATTCCAACTGTGAGTGGGCTTGGTAGGGAGGGCAGGGAGGGAGGGGTGAGTGGAGGCAGGGAGGTGAGGGGGAGAGGGAGCTGGCTGGCTGAATGTCATGCGATGGTTTTCAGGGGTGATAGATGGCAGTTCTGCACCCCACTTTGGCTCGCAACTTACCCTGCCCAACCCTTGTGCCCTCCACCCCGCAGCTCTGGCGCTGCAGCCCCAGCCGCAGGGCAGCGGCGGCAGCGCCGGCACACACCCGCTGCGCCACTCGCTGTCGGCGTCCACGGGGGCGCAGCCGCTGGCGGCCGCGGCGCTGGCGGCCGGCGCCCTGGCCGCCACCGCCATCGCCTCCACCACCCCCATGCCAGCAGACAGCCACCTGCGCCACTCCCTGGGCAGCCTGGACAAGCAGGGCGGCACCTCCGGCCCCACCTCTGCCACCCAGAGCAGCTCCCATGCCTCTGGAAGCAGCGGCAGCGGACAGGGCGCCCCCGCGGCACCCACCCTAGACGCCTCCCACCTGTCTGCCGACAGCCCGGCGGTGGCCACCGCCGCCACTTCCATGATGGTGCACCCCATGCTGTCCGCCCAGCCCTCCATATCCCAGCTGTCGCTGCCCTCCACTGTGGGAGCGGCGCAGTGGCCGGGGGATGCCAAGCTGCAGGGAGTGCTGGCGCCGGTGCGCCGCTGGGGTGGCTGACCAATAGGCGCAGCGCCTATAATGCCCTGCCTGCCAGCCTCCACCCTGCCTGCCTGCCTCCTTCTCTCCTTGCCTCCAAGCAGGCGTGTTGACCGTGCCCGGTAATGCTTTAAAAGCTGTCCCCGTCTGCCTGCCTGCAGCGCTACGCGGCCTCGCCGCTCGACCCGCAGGCCCGCCTGTTCAACAACCCGGCATACAACGCAGAGGACGTGGCGCGCATGAGCGACAGCCAGAGCATCATGAGGTGGGCTGCTGCCGCCGCTGGGCATATCAGTGGTTTCCCTTGCTTGGGGCTGGTAGGGAGGGGGAGGGCAGCAGCATGCCATCACGGGAGCTCTGGGCTGCTGCTATGCTGCGTGGCGCGAGGAGACCAGCAGGCACCCTGACGCCAAGTTTCCCCGCCGCAGCTCATCTGCTGCCTCTGTGCTGCTCCCTTGCGTCGCCGTTGCCCTGGGTGCAGCGCCTCCCATGTGCCACGCCCCGGCGCCCTGCGCATGCCGCTCACCGACCGCCCAAGCGTGAGCGGCTCGCAAGAGCTGGCTGCCGACCCGGCGCAGCGCCGCGGGCTGGATGTGAGCCAGAGCTTGGCCAGCCAGGACACGCGGGCCCGCCGGTGAGTGGGGCAAAGGGATGTGGTGGGATGAGATGGAGTGAGCTGTGGTGGGGTGGGGTGGATGGGATGAGCACCAAGCTCTTGGGTGGGTGGTGCATGGCACAGCTTTGGTGAGAGCGAGCCGAGGGCTGTGCCCTGCCTTTAAAGTTGCTTGCCATGCATGCCCTGCCTGCACATCAACCCCGCACAACCGCCCCTGCCCCACCTGCAGCGACAAGCTGGACAAGCTGCGGGCGGCGGTGGAGGCGCTCGAGGTGGATGCAGCAGAGGGGCGCCTGGGGTCGGCGCGCCGCAGGTGGGGCCTCTCGAGCGCTGTGTGTGGGACTGTTGGGCGCTGTGTGGGGTCTGCTGGGTGGCTGACTGGCGCACTCATGGACTCGTGCACGGCTGCCCGGCCAGATGCCAATGCCGATGCAGGATGCCCTCGTCCAGTTGAATTGTGCTGCCCTGCTCCCGACCACACACATTGCACGTGCGCGCCTGTGCTGTGTGTGCAGGGTGGCCGCCCCCGGTGAGCTGGAGTCGCCATCGGGCGCCCACCCCGCCAACCTGCGGGCCAGCGTGGAGTCGGGTGAGGCTGCTCCGCCGCATGCAGCGTCAGCGCCAGGGTGCCTGTCATGCATCTGAACTCACAATGTGGATGTGCCGGCTCATGCTGCTGATGCATCTCGCCACCGCCTGCCCGCTCTCGCTTGCAGTGTGCTGGGTGGGGCAGGAGGAGCAAGAGGGCAACGCCTCGCCGCTCACCCTGTCGGACAGCCAGCGCGCCAGGGTGGGTGGCTGCTGGTGCAGTCTCGCGGCTGGAGCTGCCAGCCTCGCTAAGCTGCCTTGTTATTGTGTCATAGTCTTATCCACATTGAACCTGCTTGTCTTTGGCATGAGGTGGTTGATCTTTCCCCACCCAACCAACCGCAGAGCTTCCTGGATGGCCGTCCCGGCGTGCCCAGGCTGCAGCTGGGCAGGCTGTTTTCCGGCGACCATGCAGGTGCCGCTGCGGCGGCGGCAGAGGCAGCATCTTCGCGTGCAGACGATGCCTCCACGGCCGAGGCGCCGCCGGCCAGGCCCGCGCTGCCGCTGCTGGCGCTCAGCAAGCTCAACCCCGCGGCGGGCGCCAGCAGGAAGGGCGTGGTGCAGTCCAGCCGCATCCCTGCCGCCAACTTTAGCGCGATGGATGCCAGCCTGCACCGCTCCCCCAGCAAGCTGCAGTACAGCTCCTCTGGCTACCTCACCACCACCGCCAGCGCCTCAGGCACAGGCAGCGGTGTGTGGGAGGAGGAGGTGCAGGGGCTGGCGCTGCGGCTTGCTGACGCTGCGGCTGCAGGCTGCTGGCAGGGTGTGCGCTCACCTCCACATAAACGCGCCATCCATCCACCCCTCGCTCTTACCCATCTCCCTGCCCCACCTGGCCGCAGGCCCCGCCCTTCCCGATCCGCTGGAGGAGCTGGATTCGATGCTGGGCTCGGCCCGGCCCTCGCAGCCCACCAGCACGCGCGAGGCCATCGCCCAGGGCTTCTCCCGCCTGCTGGCGCCGCTGCGCTCGGCGCGGCGCCAGCCGGACGTGGACTGGGCGGGCCAGCTGTCGTCGCGCGGGCTGGGCACGCCTCGCTCGTGGGCTGAGGACTCGGGTGGGTGGCGCATGCGACGATGTGGGTGGTTGGCGGCGGCGCGTGTGGCATCGCTGTGTCTGGGTTGTGTTGGCGAGGCGCCGGGGCCGGCGGCTGGGGGTTGCAAGCATGTGGCAGGAGATGAGCAGGCACTGCCGGTGAGCCCACCCGACCCTCCCACCACGCGTCTCCCTCTGTGCCTCCCCGCGCCCGTACTGGCCCGCTTGCAGGCATGCAGCGCACTCGCGCCGAGAGCTCCCTGCAGCGCAGCCTGGAGCTGGAGGACGGCGCGCCGCCGCTGGCGCCCAGCCCCAGCATCGGCATGGGCTCGGGCGCCACCCCCACCACCACCGCCAGCGGCGCCAGCCGCTACTTCAACACCCCGCGCGGCCGCCTGCTGCAGACGCTGGCCGCCGAGGCGGCGGCGGCGCACAAGGAGCTGAGCCTGAGGGAGACGCGGGAGGGGCTGCCTCCCAGCTATTCGGAGGTGCTGGGGGCGGTGGATGCCGCGCTGCTTCACTCGGCAGGCTCCAGCCCGAGCAGAATCCCGCGCCAGGCCTCTGGCCACGGCGGCGGCGCCGTCGACGCGGCGGCCGCCGCCATGCGCCCCGTCGCCTACCGCAGCCCCTCGCGCATCCCGCGGCCCGCGGCGCTGGGGCTGCCGCCCTCGCCGTTTGCTGCCGGCGACGAGAACGCGGGCAGCGTGCCTGCCAGCCCGGACAAGGAGCAGCCTGCCGCGGGCGTGGCGGGCCGCTTTGGCCAGGCGCTGTCCAGCAGCATCGAGAACCTGCGGGGCTTCTACCACCAGTGATGGTGGGCCGTGGATCGTGGTGCCACCCCGCCGCTGCGGCGCTGGGCGGGATGGAGGGCCCGCACGACAGCTGCCGGCAGGTGCCTGGACCACTAGACTGTTCTACCAGGATTTCACCCTACCCCGCTTGGCCCTCTGATCTTACCAGTTGCCTTACCGCCTTGACTCCCCAGATTCGTTGCCCGACAGGGCATGCTGTTGCTGTTGGTCCCATGTTGCCCCCGCGGCTGTAACGCCGCTCGATAGCGGACTGTCCCTTTGATTGTTCTCCTGTTTCCGACCCTCCTGTCGCTCCTACCTGTGCGCCACACCACGTGCTCCTGCCTGAACTCCCCCTGCACAGCCCAGCCTCAAGCACACCACAACACCTGGCCGTCTGTAACGCAGTTAGACGCCCTGGGCACACATCCTCACTCCCATTGGTGGGTGGTTGCAGCAAAAGGCAGGGTGGACGGAAGGAAGCAAGGCATGAATAAAAGAGGCCACAATAAAAGGGAAGGCGATGATGCACAGAGTGGAGATACAGTCGGCAAGGGGATGCTGCCAGCAGCACTTGCTTAAGCGGCCCCCATGCGCTTGAGATGCCCACGCCTCAGGCGCTGGCCACGACGGCGGCCGCCCCGGCCTGCTCCGCCGCCGCGGCCTCCCCTCCATCGGCGTACTGGAAGCCGCCGCTCTGCTCAAAGTGCAGCATGTCCAGCGCAACTATGCAGCTGTCTGCCACAATGGGCTCGGGGTCTTCGGCGTACTGCAGGGAAGAAAGGAAGCCGGAGGGACCCTTTGGGAGCTCGCGGCGGCGCCAGCGGAAGCGCACGTGCGCCTTCCGCGGCAGCCGCTTCGGCGCCAGCTCGAGACAGCATCCCTCCTGCAACCAGCCCCTACCTGCTTGAGAAGCTCGAGGCACTCTGGGGCGGCAATGGAGCCCAGCGCCTCGGCCGCCTCATGCCGCACCATGGCATTCTCCGTAGCGTCCCCCAGCACCTCCCTGCGCGCCAGTGCAAGGAGGGAACCGCTTGGTTCATTGAGTTTCCCCTACGCCGGCCTTGCTGCTGGCCGTCACGCAGCACTCGTGCCAATCCGCTGCCGCTGCCGCCGCCGCCGCATGGCAGTGCATCTGCTCGCACCACCAAAACACTCTACGCACAAGCGAACAGCAGCCTGCCCGCCTGCTTACTTGAGTGTCTGCACGGCAGCCGCGTCCTGCATCTGGCCCAACACATACGCCACCTCGTGCTTCAGCAGAGCCGAGGAAGCTGCGGTAAAGGAGGCGCCCAGCGCCGCCACCGCGTCGCCGCCGCCGCGGTTGCGCAGCGCAAACATGGCGCGGTACCGCTGGAAGATGGGCGCCTCCTCGCTCAGCAGCGTGGCGCGCAGCTGCGACAGCGGCGTGGCCGCGGGGGCCGCGGGGGTGGGGTCAACCGAGTAGTACCGGGATTCTGAGGGCGCGGCGTCGGTGCCGGCCTCGGCCGCAGCGGCGTCGGCTTGCGCCTGCACCGCCGCAAAGTGCTCGATGCGCTGCAGCGCCAGCTGGCACGTGTGCGCCACCTCTGCGCACGGGTCGCGCAGGTGCTCCCGCAGCGGCGCCAGGCACTCCTCGGTGCCGATCGCGCCCAGCGCTTCGCCCGCCTCGTGCCGCACCCTGCGAGCGCGGCAGGCGGCGGCAGCGTAAGCGGGCATGGGAGCCAGCCAGGGCAGCCAGTAAACGGCAGGCGCACGAAAGTAGCAGGGTTGGCGAGCTAAGAGCATCTAAGCATTTCTGAGCATGGGCAGAACAACACTGGGATGCTCCTCCAGCACGGCGTGCCCTGCTGCAGCAGCGAGGCGCCGCAAGCACCCTCACATGGGGTGCTCCCCCTCGTCTTTGAGTATCCGCTTGAGCGTCTCCACCGCTGCAGGGTCCTGCCGCTGGCCCAGGCAGTAGGCCACCTCGTGACGGAACAGGGCGGAGGGGTCCTTGAGTCCTGCAGCGGCAGCAGGTTAGGCAGGCAGCGCGGGTTGGCGGCTGGCGGTGGTGGCGGCAGGTGGCGGCGGCGGGTGGTCAGCGGCTGCGGCGGCGGCGGACGGGAGCATCCCCAGGCACGCCGACCACAGCTAGGGTGCTATGGGACCCGCCAGCAGCCACGCAGGAGGCCCAGCCGCCGCATGCATGGCGACGTGCCTTCCAGCATCGCGGCGTGGGCCTCCGGGCCGGCAATCCCGCGCAGAGAGAAGAGAATCCGATATTTCACTGCCAGCCCCGTCTCTGGATTGCGCAGTTTTTGCAGCAGGCCCTCCACCACCGCGGCGTCGCGCTCCACCAGGCTGGCCATGGCGATCCTCGCGGTGTGAGCTTACACAAGTGCAAATGCGAGAGGGCCTGGAGTGTCTGGTGCGTTCATGTCTCGTTGTCCACCTCAGCCCCACATTTTGCCGACAATTCAGCTTCATCCGTCATTGACTGTTGGCTGCAACGAGTATACGGATCGCTTGAAGCTGGCTGGTTGAGAGCTGCAACCCCGCCCAGCAATGGCCTCTCCCGCGCTGCAAGGCCCAGCAGCTTCTTTTCTGGCATCCATCGCTAGCAGCCGCCGCGCGTGTGGACACGCGTTCAGGTCAGCCGCCTTCAGATCCCGCAGTGGCAGCCACCCGGCGGCGCGACCCTCCAACGGTGGAAGCAGAGGCGGCGGCTGCTCCGCCATGTTTGCCGGCCTGAAGAAGGCTCTTGGCCAGGTGAATGTCTTGCTGTCTCTGCAGCCGTCTCACCAGAAAGGCAACCTGCAAGGCACTGGCCAGCCACCCACGCTGTGCTGCACTGCACTCCCCCGCTCGTGGCACCGCAGGCGGGCACCGCAGCGGCAGTGCCCAAGCCCAGCCTGCGGGCAGTCCCCTTCCTGGACACGGCTCCCTCGTGGGAGGAGCTGCAGGCGATGGTGGAGGCCAAGCAGGAGGCGCTGAATGCGGTGCCGGCTGACCTGGAGACGGTGGGTGGGCCGCATCTGCCCTCGAGTGCCTGGCCGTCTCCTCCTCATCCATACACGAGTGTACCCATGCTTCGCACCTGCCCTGGAGGCTGCCTGGTGTTGTGCTGCAGACCTTGGGAGCGGCCCTCAGCGGCACGTAGCGCACCCCCCTGACGCACAGCACGTGCTGCTGCCTTGCGCCGCCTGATGCTGCAGGGCCCCGCCAGCGCCTACGCCCTGCGCCGCACGTTTGGTCAGCCCGGCGAGCCGCGGGTCAAGCTGTACCGAGACCACGCTGCCTGGTGCCCCTGTGAGCCTCGCCGCCCTGCTCAGCCGCCTCTGCCGCCCACCTGCGCCGCTCCGGCTGGCTGCCACCCCGCCAGCCAGCCCAGCAGCCTTCCTCCCTGCAGCCTGCATGCCAATCAGCAGCGCCCCGATTCTGCTATCTCCCACCCCGAGCCAGCTTCCTCACCCACACAGCACCCACTCACACACTCGCACCACACACACCACCTGCCCTGTGCCTCCCCGCAGACTGCCACAAGATCGTGCTGCAGCTGGAGGAGAAACAAATCCCCTACCTCATTGAAAAGATCAACATGAGGTGGGCGGGGGCTGGTACCTGTACCAGCGGTGCCGCCGATGGCTGAGTGGCTGCTTGAGTGGCTGGCTGCCTGGCAGCCGGCTGCGCATGCACGCCCTGCATGTGCGTTCCTCACAACGCTCCGGCCCTGCATGCTGCCAACCCGCCACCCGCTGCGGGCAGGTGCTACGGAGACAAGCCACCCGAGTTTTTGCGCAAGGTGAACAAAGGCGCCTGGAGCGTGCCCCACAGGCCAGGCGGCTTGCTGGGGGGTTCCGATGCGCAGCGGCCAGCCAGCGCACGCTCAGCCGCGCCTTTGCTGGCGCCCTTTCTTTTTTTCTGAGCCGAGCAGCAGCCGGCGCACCACGCGCCGCACCTCGGCTTTGGCCCACTGTGCAGGTGCCCTCAGGCCTGCTGCCGGTGCTGGAGATTGACGGCCAGGTCATCACGGAGTCTGCTGTGATCCAGCAGGTAGGTGCCGGGCTGGTTGGGGTGCCAGCAGAGCGCCACCAGGCGCTGCCGGGATCGAGCCCTTCGGCTTACGCTGCCAGCGGCCAGTCGCCTGCTCCGCTGCGCAGCTCCCAGCGCTCGGCTCGCCCGCCGCCGCCGCCTGGGTGCTGCTGCTGCCGCCGTGCAGGTGCTGGAGCAGATCCAGCCCGACCCGCCCATGCTGCCTCCCGAGGGTTCCGCCGAGCGCCAGCGCGCCGCACAGCTCATGCGACTCGAGCGCCGCCTCTTCTCCGACTGGCTGCAGTGGCTGTGCAACGGCTGGTGGGTTCGCTGGTGCCCGGCGGGGGGTGTCAGCAGAGCAGGCGCTGGGCCGGGCTGGCGTTGTTGCTTGGCCCCGGCAGCCAGCCGGCTGCTGCCGCCGGTGTTGCGGCCGAACCAGTGGCCGCCGCCCCGGCCGCCAGCCATCCGCAGTGCCGTCCTGCTCGCCCCTCCTGCCCGCCCCACACGCTGCCGCGGCTCCCTTGCACACACACACACCGTGCCGTGCAGGGGCCACGAGAGCAACCGCGACCAGTTCTGCCGCACCATGGATGCGATAGACAAGGAGCTGCGGGAGGCTCCCGGGCCCTACTTCCTGTCAGAGTTTGGGCTGGTGGACATCACCTTTGCACCCTTCCTGGAAAGGATCGTGTCGTCCCTTCTCTATTACAAGGGCTTTGTGGTGCGGGGAGAGGTGAGGGGCAAAGCGTGGGGGATGCAGGGGCAAGGTAAGTCATGTCTGTGGTGCTTCCCTGACGCTGAGGTGGGGGTAAGGGAAGGGCTGGCGGGGGGCGGGCTGGAGGGGGTGGGTGGAGGAGGCTGTGGGGCAAAGCGTTCGGCTGCAGAGGAGGAGGGTGCAGGGCAAGGCTGCGTGGGGAGACCCGGCGCTGCCTCCCAGCCCACCCGGGCCCGCATGCGGCTGTGTGCAGGGGCGGTGGGAGGCTGTGGAGCGCTGGTTTGATGCCATGGAGAGCCGGCCCGCGTACCTGGGCTTCAAGTCCTGCCACTACACACACGTGCACGACCTGCCGCCGCAGCTGGGGGGCTGCGTGTCGGGTGGGTTGCACGCCTGCTTGCCCCGCGGGGGGGCCTGGCGCCAGGCTGCGCCTGCTGTGTGCCGCCGCAAGGCGCCGCTTGCCCGCTGCGCAGCTGAACGGTGCCACGGCGCACCAGCGCCCTCTTTCCACTCTCCACCACCCAACTCTCGCCCTCTTGTTGCTCGTGGTGCCCCCGGCAGTGCCCGAGGCCGCTGCCTACGCCGCCGCCATCAACGGCACCGACGGCAGGAGCTGGCACCTGCCGCTGCCGCCGCTCACCAGCACCTCGCTGCCCACGGCGCACGCCCCGGGGGAGGAGCCTGAGGTGGACCGGCTGCAGGTGGGAGGGCTACGATGGGGTGGGGGTCTCCTTTCAGAGGGCTGGAGTGCCTGTCCCTGCCTAGGCAAGCGTCTGTGCTGCCTTACGTTGTCCCTCCGGCCCGGCTGGGGCCAGTTGAACCGCCCAGGTTCGCCCTGCTGCGACCACCGCTTGCCCCTGCCTGTGCCTGCTGACCCGGACCCTGCCCTCCCGCTGCGGCCTCCTTCCACCGGCAGGCGGCGGCGCGGCTGGTCCAGAACCGCGAGGCGGTGACCAAGTTTGCGCTGAGGGGCGTGGGCCAGCGCGGCGCGCGCCCCGTGTCGGCCCGCCTCTGCGACCCCACCGCCGTCCCTGGGCTGGAGTTCATGCCTGAGGTGGACGCAGGTGCGGCGCGTGACCTGCCCCCGGGGCCTGGCCTCCCCCCGCCACTTGCCTGGCTGCCCCTCTGCGCATGGCAACGGCCAGTCACTGCTGGCAGAGGCATGCTGCTGCACTTGCGCCTGGTCGGCTTCCTGCCGTGGGGTGGCAGGTGGCAGGGGCCAGCCACCATGCAAGATGCAATCAGGCACGTTAGCACCGCACGTGCTGCCGCTTGCTCCTCCTCTCTGCAGCGCTGCGGCACGTGGCGCATGCGCTGCTGGTGGGGGTGGAGGCCAAGCAGGCGGGTAGCGCGGCGCTGGGAGCGGCGGGCGCATCTGAAGGCGCTTTGGACGGAAGCCCTGTGGTCCCCAGCCTGAGCTATCTGCGGGACAGAGTGTGTGTGCCTCGTGACCTGAAGCTGCCGGCAGCGCGCCAGCTCCGAGCACACCTGAACTTCGCCATTGACGCGTTGCAGCAGGAGCAGTGATGCCGTCGAGCCACGCAACCCTGGGGATGTTGAGCGCCACGTGTAAGGCATTTAGTGGCTCGGCTCGGGTATCGTCACCCGGCGGCGGCGGTGGCGGGTGCGGCGTGGCGGCAGCGGGACGGGCGGTGCGGGTGTTGCTGCAGCGCTCCCTGCCTTTCATGACTTCATTCCGTTCTGCTGATCCAGACGGCCCAGATTCGGTACGTTCAGCTGAAACGATCGGGACAAGGCGTGGCAGGGAGCAGGAGCGCAGGTGCGGCACCGCGCAGCGGCGGCCAGCCTAGCAAAACTCCCACTACACTAGATCGCTGCCGGAAGCGCTGCATGCCACTTGGATGGAGAATTGGAGCCCTTTAAAGTAATATACATGCTTCCCGCCCAACAATCCGCCCTTGCAGACCAGGGGGTAGGGACGGGCTGCCAGGGTGGCGTTTTTCTTCCATATTGTTCGGCCCCCGCCGCATTCTGCTATTCCCCCTTGTTCTTGACCCTCCACTGTACCACCCGCACCTATCCTTTGCTTGGCTGCAGCCCCTACACACTGCTGCCCCTGCCCCACTCCAGCGGTTGGCGATCTGTGACTGTGGGGCGGAACGGGGCCGACCATGGCAGTGCAGGAGGTGCATTGAAGCCACAGCCGCCGCCTGGCGACCAGGAGGACGGCCCAGTTGCACGCACCTTGGGGCCCAGCCTTGCAGCCCTCGCTGAGGCGCTCCCAGCGGCCATGCAGGCCGAGAGGCTGCGCAACAGGTCCTGTTGCGACCTGTTGGCGATGGAGTTCGTGGAGGAGGGCAACACGGTGAAGCAGGTGCGCCCATGACATGCACCTGGCCAGCCAACCTGCCCCCCTTCGAGCGACCAGCCCCGCTTGCAGCCCGGTTTTGGCTGCGCGCCAGCCGCTGGGGATCAATTGCGGTGATCTGGGCGGCCCAGAGGCTCTCGCCGCCCTCGCATGGCCCGCATGCTCCAGTTTCCCCCCAGGCCCCACATGTCGCCTCCCCTGTTGTGCCCCGAACACCTCCCCCGCCGTCCCTTCCCCTTCCTCGCAGTTCTCGCCGTGCAAGACCTCTAGTACCAACGCGTGGGGCCAGGCGCGAGGGCCGCGCCGGCTCTTTGGCGACGGCGGCGCGCCCGCCGGCTCGCCCACCGCCGTCGCAGACCAGCCCGCCTACGCCACCGCCAGCCAGCCCAGCTCTGCCACCAGCAGCCTGGCGGCGGCACTGGCGGACCTGCAGGTGTCCAGCCGGCAGTCGAGCGCTGGCGACCTGGGAGACCGCTCCCGCATCCTGGCCTTTGCGGCGGCCAAGGCCTCGGCTGCGCCTGCCGCGCACTCGCGCTCCTCCTCTGGGGACGAGCTCCCGGGGCTGGCGCAGGAGGAGGGCCTGTGCGCCACGGTGCTGATCGGCGCGGTGCGCTGCTTCGACAGCATGGTGCTCAAGACGCTGACGCCCATCAAAACCCGCAGCCGCGCCAGCTCTCACGACGGCGCCGCCGCCTCGCCGCCCGTGGCATACGTGGAGACGCTGGTGTCGCCCTTTGGGGGCAACCTGAAGCCCAAGGGGCCCATGGGCAGGCCCGTGGTGTACCACTCCCGCGGCAGCAGCGGCATGGGCGCCCCGGGCGCGTACAATCCGTATGACCTCACCGCCGCCGCACTCTCCTCAGGTGCGCGCCCCGGCCGCGCGAGGGGCGCCAGCCGCAGCCCTGCCCGTGCCGCTGCCCGCTGTGCCGCCGCCGCTCCCCGCACGCGCCAACGGGAGTTTTGGGCGAGGGACGCGCCAGATTCCCCCAGGGGCTCGTACTGGAGGGTTTGCCCTAAGGTGGCAGTACGGCTGCCGGGCCCAAACTGTACCTTTCTTGCCCGCCTGCTTCGCCCTCCCGCGCCTCGCCCATGGCCCCTGCCAGATCAGGGCCGCCCGCCTCGGCTGTGCCAAAGGCCTCCCCCGCCAGGCATGAGCACGGTACCGAGCGTTGATCTCACTCCGTACCGCACCCTGCCGCCGTTCGCCCCTGCAGAGTTCCGCTCACCCGCCAAGTCGATGTACTCGCCCTACCCCTCCTCCTCCCGTACCGCCTCCGCCAGCGCCACCCCCAACCAGTGGGGGTCTGGAAGCTACCGGGGCTCCGCGTACCGCGCAGCCGCGCAGCAGCAGGCGATGGCGCAGGTGCGCGCCGCCGCCGCAGCCGCAGCCTCGGCGCCCGCGCGTGGCGTGCTGGCCTGCTGCGTCCATGTGCTCGCCGATGTGCTTGCCGCGGCGCTGCACAGGTCCCCTGGTCCTTTCCGCCCCTTGTTGCACGCTCCGGTGCCGCCCCTGACGCCCCTTCTTGCCCCCTGAACCCCCTGCTGCAGGAGGAGGAGCCTGACTACTATGTCAGCGTGCCAGGCGTGCGGCGCCAGCAGTCGCTGTCCAGCAGCGCCAAGGCCAGCCAGGCGGCGGCGGCGGCGGCGCAGCAGGGCGAGGCGCAGGCCGCCGCCTCTGGCGCCGCGTCCCCCACGCCCCTGCAGCGCCAGCCCAGCACCAGCGCCGCGCTGCTGCGCGGCGGCAGCGGCGGCGGCGCGGGCCTGCTGCGCCAGGCCAGCAGCGGCACCGCCAGCCTCGGCAGCGGCACCGCGGTGCACGGCTTCAAGGGCCTGTTCCGGAGCGTGATCGCCCGGGGCCCCAGCCAGTAGACCGCCAGGCAGGCTCCCCAGCCACAGCACTGACGAGTGCTTGCGGGCCTGGCGCCCCAGTTTTGACTGCAGCCTGTAGCATCTCCAGCCATTCATTTGGTACGTTGTTATGCACTTAGTCGCTCCCTTCTTACTTCTCTCTTCCCCCTAGGCAGTCTATCCCGGCAGGTAGTCCGAACTGATAAACACAGCAATTGACAAACATCGGCGCCGCCTGCTTGGCAGCAGCCCCCTCCCTCCCCCCCCTTCTTATTCCGCTCCATTGGCGGTGCACTCGAAACTCTGTTGTTTCTGTGGGCGCGGGCGGCCAACCGATTGGTGCCGCCCGCCGCCCGTTGTGCCTCCCTCTGCTGCCTTTCCTTCGTGTGCTGAGCCCATTTGTCCGATCTGTCCCACCTGGCCCTGTGAATGCCCCCGCCAAAAACCTTTTCCTCCCCACCCCCATCCCACCCTCCCCACCTTGCCCCCATCCCGCCTTCCACAGAACCAAAAGCCCCCAAAATGCGACTGAATGCGCGCACGACAGCGCTGTTACTGCCCGATTGCTTGATGCAGAACTGCGGGGACCTTGCCCGCCTGCTGTCCATTTCGACGCCTGCCAACATGTTTTTCTCTCTCTCCCCGCTTCCCTACCTACAAGGCCCGCGGCGAATAGCTGCACCGGAATTCCTTCCCTTGATTCCAGCCTGCCTTTCATATCCCTCCTGCTTCCACCCAACCATCTGCGCGTGTGCATGTATGTTATATAGCGAGCTGCTTCACATGTAATGAACACACGCGGACATAGTGTGGGCAGGCGGTGTCAGGTTATGACAGTAACCGGCCCCGAAAGTCATGGCATTGCCCAGAGTCAGTCCAGGGCGGTGAGGTCATCGTCCTCTGACACACTGGCCGACCCCCCACCCTCATCGTCGCTGTCAGTGGCAGGCTCCACACACCCCACCTCGGCCCCACACCACGCGGCGCTGCCCTGCTGTGCCTGCTGCCCTGCGGCAAAGATGATGTGTGCGCCGCCTGCCTCCTGCCCTCCCGCGCCGCTGGCTTGGATGCTGACAGTCACCTTGGCCTGAGGGACCTCTGGTTCTGGCGTCGTCCCGGCAGCAGCTGCAGGCAGTGCGTCAGGGCGTGCGCCGCCGCTGTTGGGGCAGCTGTTCTCTGCCTTGGTCTGCGCCGCTCCAATGATCGCTGCCGGCGCAAAGCAGCTGACGCCCTGCTGCAGCTGGGCTTGGTTGGCACGGCTCTCCTCCAGCACCGCTTGCACATCAGCGTCCGCCAGCCCTGCAGAGTGGGCAATGGCGCATGGGGGTCATTAATGTGTGGTAAGTGTCATGGCATGAGTGTATGATCTGAGCCCAAATCAGCCCAGCGCAGCGGGCGCACATATGAAAATGCTGGCTTGTGCCGGCAGTGCAGGCCTGCTGTGCCCCGGTTCTGGACCCACCTGGCACCTCCTGCTCCCCCTGCTGCAGCTGCCTGCCCGCGGTGAAGGCAGCCAGCTGCTCCCGCGTCTCCCGCAGCTCAGCCGGCTCATCGTCCGGCTCCCAGTCATCGGGCAGGTCAGGCAGGTCAGGGTCCCCGCTCCCCGCCAGCCCCATCGCCTCCCGCTGCATGGGCAGCGGGGGGAAGCAGCGGTGGGTCATGGGAAGGCTGGCGGCATGTTGTGTGGCGCAGCCCGGCTGGTGCTGCACCCCTTCCACCCAGTGGCTGCCTTCACACCCGGGCAGATACCGGACCCCAGGCCCCAGACCACACACCTTCTTCTTCCAGCCCGCCTGCCGCAGCTCCCGCAGAGCCGCCACCCGCCGCCGCTCCCCCTCCTGCTCGCGCTGCCGGTGGGCCGCCCGCGCCTCGCGCTCGGCCTCTACCCCGCCTCGGGCCCTGCAGGCACAGGCAGGTGACACCCAGCTGTCAGCGGCTGTCAAAGCTGACAGCTCAGCAAGGGCCACAGCCACGCTTTGCCGGGTGCCTGCCAAGCTCGCATTCGGCTGTTCCTGCCTTTGCTCACTCGTGAGACTCCCCGCCTCCCTCCCACCACACAGCCCAAGCTGCAGCGCGCACCAGGCCTCTGCAGACAGCCGCTCCACCTCAAACACGGGTCGGTCGTCGAGGTAGGTGAGGGTGGGGATGGCGGCGATGGTGGCCTTGCGGTAGCTGCGCATGCTGCTGACCAGCGGATTGCCCTTCAGGTAGAGGCACTTGAGGGCTGGCAGGCGGGCGCAGGCCGCCAGCACAGCCTCGCCGCCTTCCAGCTTGTTGTTTTGGAGGTCGAGCGTTTCAAGGGCAGGGCAGCCCTCCACCAGCGGATCCAGTGCGGCCGCCTCGGCCAGGCAGTTGTCGGCGGCAAGCAGCGTGCACAGCGCGCCGCACCCCTCCAGCCCCTCCAGGCCCCGCAGCTGGTTGCCGCTGAGGTTGAGGTAGGTGAGGCGGGGCTGCGCCGCCAGGCTACCGGGCGTCAGCGTGCGAAGCAGGTTCTGCTGCAGGAAGCTGCGGCAGGGGGGGCGGTGACGATGGTAGGTGCGCGGCCGCATAGGCAGGCGCATTAGCAGGAGCAACAGGAATGCAATCGGTCATAGGGCGTGTTCTTAACCAGCTCCAGCCATCCAGTCCCGCTCACAGGCAGCGCAGCTCCGGTAGCGGTGGCAGGCCCGCCGTGCTCTCCAAGGCGTTGCCCTCCAGGAACAGCGCCCGCAGGCCGGTATAGGCCTCAAGACATGCCAGCGAGCCGAAGCCCTTGAAGTTGCAGTAGAGCGTCTGGTTCAGGTGGGGCGTCTGGTAGCCGTGGTGCTGCTTGCAGGCCGCCAGCAGGGCAGTCTCGTCCATCTCCATAACTAGTAAGCTGCGGAAGCGCCGGTCAGGCCAAAGGAATGCAGAATTGGGAGCACGGGAGGCTGGTCAAAAGCTGACCTGGCTTGGAAAGCGGTGCCACATTTGTTGCAGCGTCGGACGGCCTCTCTGCAAGTACAGGGCAGCGTGCAGACCTGCAGCAACCTCCCAGAGAGCCCGCGCCAGCCTGATCACCCGCCGCTCATCAGAAGGACCCAGCAGCCCGTCAGCGGCGCTCTTCCGGCCAGGATGAGCGCTGCGGAGAAGAAGGTGGTCAAGCTCATCAGCGCCGAGGGCTTTGAGTTCGTGGTGGACTACGATGCCGCCTGCGTGAGCAATACCATAAAGAACATGCTCAACTCGCAAGGTGGGAGGCATGCAGGATGCACGGAAGCAGCGCGGACAGCCCGAAAGCCTTGGCCCTCTCCCGCCGCCTGCCCGCCCGCCCATCCCGCCCGCCGCCGACGCTGCCTCGCCCCGGCAGGCAGCTTCATCGAGAACGAGCAGGGCGAGATCCGGTTTCCAGAGATCACCACGCCCGTGATGGAGGTGGTGTGCAAGTATTTCTACTATAAGGTGCGCCAGAGCCAGGGCAGGGTTTGAGAGAAGAGCCCTCCTGCCCGCCACTGACCATTGACTTCGCCCCTTTGGTGTGCCTCACGCACAGCTGCGGTATGCCAACACGGCCAGCAAGAGCATCCCGGAGTTCAAGGTGGCGCCGGAGATGGCACTAGAGCTGCTGATGGCGGCAAATTACTTGGACACGTGACCCCCGCACCCGCAGCCTCTCCCAGCAGCGCAGCACTGCACCATACACGAACGGCCCACCAGCGCACCAGGCGCTCCCAAAGCGGCGTTGGTGCCTGGCCCTTCCCAGCACCAGAGCTGGACTGACCATGCCAGACCACCCGCCTGCCCGCCTGCAGGCCGCTCCCCACCTTTGTACCACGCCCGCTGCTGCGTGCCCGTCTTGTACCACCATGCCTGTTTCTCGCGTCCGCGCCCCTGGCCTTCTGTCTTTTTGCTGCTGACCTCTCTCTGTTGCTGCCCGCTGCCCACTGCTGCCCCCCTGCCCGCTCCATGCTGCTATTCATTCGTTTGCTGCTCCTCACCCGTCGATGCCCTGACTTCTGTTTCTCGTCACTAACCCCCAGGGTCGCTGCCCGCAGCCCACTCTCCCATGCAACTTGCCCAGAAGAACGGCCAGGACTGCTGAGGCGTTACAGGCAGCTGCTGGGCGCGTGAAAAAAACAGCAAGGCATAACATGGTTAGCAGGGGCATAGATCAGGCATGGGTCTGAAAAGAAATGACGGGGCAGACGAGAAAAATGGGCGGCTGAGGGGACGATGGTCACACATGTGGTTTGGGGGCCCGTGGGTGGGCGGCTGCCGCGGCCGGAAAACTGTTGCATGGGGCGACGGCTGAATGGAGCCGGATGTATCGTGTGTTGGGGCTGGAAGCGAGAGGAGCGGGTGCTATGGCATGAAAACTGTGGGACGGTCCCAGGTGGGGAGCACAGCTGGCCACAAACGGTGAGCAGCACGTGAGTGGAGTACCGTGAGCCTAAGCGCCGCAGGGGGCTGCCCCCGCGCCCTGCCCGGCCTGCTTGCTGTACAGGTAGCCGTACAGCTCCCAGAAGGAGAGGCACACGTGGTGCGGGTTGGCGGCCTCCGGGTTGGGCCCCACCAGCAGCAGGCGGAACATGCGGTACGGTACCGCCGCCGCGTGGCTGCTCACGGGCCACGACGCGTACTGCCCGGGCATGCGCACCGTGCGGTCGCTGATGTGGCGCCGCAGGTCCGCCCAGCTGGCGCCGTCGTTGGAGCCCTGCCGGGGAGCGGCAGCCAGGGAGCATGCGCGGGCGTGAGATCGATCGACACAGCGCAGGGCAGGCAGGCAAGGTGGATGCACTTGCCAAGGCATGCGCCGGCCCAGCAAGCGCCTGCTCCGCCAGCGGCCCCACCCCGTCCTCCCACCCTCCCCGGCGGCCCACCGCACCTGCAGCACCCAGCTGCGCAGGAAGTCTGTGGAGCCGTCGTGGCGCAGCGTGTAGTGGTTGCAGATGAGGCGGTGCTCCGGCCCCAGATCCAGCACCCACCAGCTGCGCAGCACACAGGCCAGGGCAAGGGTCAGGAGCAGGGTGGGTGTGGTGTGGGGGGAGGAGGGACATGGCAGCGGGGGCTGCCTGGCTGGGAGGGCGGCGCCCGGCGCATGCGACGCAGCGACGGGCAGCGTGCAGGCGCTGCCCAGCCCGCAGCTGCCGCACGCCACCCCGCGCAGCCGCAGCCGCAGCCAGGGCCGCACCTGGACAGCTGCCCGTTCTCCATGCGCGGCCCCGCAAAGTTGCAGCGGGCAAAATTGTTGCCGGCCAGCGCCTTGGGGTCGGTGCTGCGGCAGGCGGGGCTGCTGGCCCGCACCTGCGGGCGCGCGGAGGGGCCGGAGGGCATCAGGACAGCGTTTAGGGCGGCGCCGCACAAGCCGGCGCTGGCCAGACGTGAAGCATCGGTGCAAGACCAGAAACAAAACCGCTCCCAACACACAGAAACACAGCAGTTTGACCCCGGCTTGCCCCTGCCGCACCTGCAGGCGCCCCGCCAGCACGGGGTTCACCCACGGCTGGCTGCCGCCGCGGCTGCCCAGGTGCCAGCACACGCCGTTCTTGTCGCCGTCATACATGTAGATGAGCTCGGCGCAGCCGGGGGCGCGGCGCAGGCGGAAGCGGGAGGAGGCGAGCTGCTCGCTGGCGGTCAGCGCCCGCACATGGCGCTTGCCCTGAACGGAGATGGGGCCCCGCTGGCCCCGCAGCGCCTGCACAGCCAGCAGCAGGGCCGCAGCGTGAGAAAAAGGAGTTCATTGACCGCGCAATGGCGGCGCCTTGGCGGCCTGGCGCAGGCTCTTGATTTCTGGCTCTGGCTGGCCTGCCAACAAGCCGGGCAACGAGCAGGCGCAGCGCGCTGCGGCCACTGGCTCCGGCCGCTGGCTTGCAAGCTTGCCTGCGGCGCCCGCTGCCCCTCCTCATCCATGCGTGCATCCAGCGCCTCTTGCAGCAGCTCCTGCAGCAGGCTGCTGCGCTGGCACATGGCGTGCCGCCTGCAGGCGAGCAGACGAGCAGAATGCGGGCGAGGGTGGAGCAGAGCAAGCCAGCACGGGGGACGCTCCAGGCGTGGCCTGGGTGGCGGGGGTGGCGCTGCTGCACGGTGGCGCCCCAGCCCTGCTCCCAGCCCTGCTCACCTCACAGCCTCCAGCTCCTCGTCCCGCATCAGCGGGAAGCGGATGCACGGCAGCAGCTGGTCCAAGTCCTGCAGGCAGGTGGGCAGGTGGGCAGGCAGGTGGGCAGGTGGGCGGGCAGGCAGGTGGCCAGGCAGGTGGCCAGGCAGGCAGGCTGGGTGCGCAGGCAGGCAGGCAGGTGAGCAGGCAGGTGGCCGGGCGGCCAGGCAGGCGGCCAGGCGGGCAGGCTGGGTGGGCCGCTTGATGGAAGGGGGAAGGGAGGGAGGCACTGTGTGGGGGAAGGCCACGCCACAGCGCTAAAGAAACCACACCGGCACGTGCACCGCTGCAGGCAGGCAGCTGAAGACAGACGGCGAGTGGCTGCAAGGCAGCAGCGCACCTGCATCGGGTGGCAGGCGGAGGAGAGGTCCGCCACGTCGCACCCATACCCCGCCCACTTCATCACCGCGTCAAACACAGCCTTCTCGTGGCAGTCCTGCACCAGAAGTGGCATTGCTTCTGGGTAGATGGTAGGTGGTCGGTCTAGCAGCACACATGGATGCACGGCGGCACGACGCATGGAAAGGATGGACGAGCTGCGCCCTCCCCAGCAGCAGGCACAGGGGCAGAGTCCAGGCAGGCTCGCACCAGCGACTGGCTGCACAGGATTTCGGACAGGCAGGCGGTGCTGAGGCTGCACAGGCCGGCAAGGTCTTGCGCGGCGACCGCTGAGAAGTGCTGGGCGGCATACTCGACGGCGTGGCTGCAGGTCAGCAGGGAGCGCCAGCGCAGTGAGTAGGCACCGTTGAGGGGAGGAAAGCCGCGCCTGCACGTCGCGCTGCCTTGAAAGACAGACGTGCCCGCTCAGCGGCCCACCTGCGCAGCCGGTCGGCCACAGGCGAAAGGCAATCTGCCACTTGCAGCAGGTCGCAGACAGACAGCGGGGTGAGACCTCGCAGCAGCGCCGCCTGGCAGCAGTCCAGCAGGCTGGGCGGCGACGCGGACGGCGGCGTCTGCGCCTCCTCAGGCCACAGCTCCCACGGCTGCTGCTGGCCGGCGCCCGCTGCGCGCTGCTGCTTGGGCGAGGGGCTGCGGGGCAGCAGCGCCAGCGCTGGGTGCATGCACAGGTTGCGGTACCCAACATGCTTGTCCCACGCGCTCAGCCCTGCACAAACACGCGTGGAGCTGCTCAGGAGGGCGGTGGCGAGCGCGCCTGCATGCTTGGCCTCGCCGCCCACATCCGCGTGCCCATGTCGCTCAGCCTGCTGAGCTTCCCGTTCACCACGCCCCAACGGGATGCCTGCGCCGCGGCTTTGGGCCCCGGCATGCCCTCAGCAACCTGTACCTGCGTAGTGGATGTTGGGGATGGGGTCTGGGTCGGTCCAGGTGTAGCACAGGTTGTCGCCCGGCTCTCCTGTGCCCACACTGATGGCGCCGCCGTCAAAGTTGAGCCAGTACTTGGAGAAGCTGCTGCTGCTGAGCTTGGCCTCGGGCGCGGTGGGCACCTGCGGGTGGGAGTGTCGCGAGATAGGGGATGAGTGGCGTGGCCGCGGCAGGGATGCATGCCACCGGCTCCCTGATTGGGCGGCTCAGCTTGCGGTGTGCAGGCTAGGCTTCCGCTGTGACACGGCACAATAAAGCAGTCGGCAGTGGCGGCCAGCCACATTTGCATGCACTTGGGAGGTGGCAGTAGGCAGCGCAGCCCCGCGCACCATGCAGCACAGCTCCCCGTCCTTCTCAAACTTCAGGCAGCTGTTGCGGTGGCTGCCCAGGATGATGGTGTAATTCTGCTCCACCGGCGAGCCGCGGCCTGCTGCTGGCTGCCCGTTTGCGGCGGCGGCGGCGGCCGCGCCCAAGGCTAGGTGCTGCCAGCGGCGGGAACCCGACTGCTGCTTCAGCAGCACCGTGGCGTCGGTGTCGCCTGCGGGGGCGCCAAGGCGGGCGTGATTAAGGCCCAGGGCACTCGGCCGAAACCGTCCGCGTTTGGGACTGCTCACTCACCCTTGACCTCGAAGCTCAGGCAGCCTCGCCCATCCTGAAGCTGCAGCTCGCTACCCGTGAGCCACACCGCCTCCATAGGGGCGACCACCAGCACATCCCCCACGACCCCACAGCTTGTCAGCGTCCTGCTCATCCTGAGGTCGCGGGACGCATGGGAGGTGAGGCTGAGTCCGAAACAGCGGCCCTCCACCCCCCGCTGCTGCGGTTGATGTCTCCCGCGGCCAACAAAGGAGGGAGCAGGCCTTCTGAGCTGATGATGATTATCCCAAAATGAGCAAGACGATGTATGCATAACTCACACGCTGGGGCTGGGGAGCATGCCGCTGCTGCGCGCGCAGCGTGACATGGCGGCGGGCTGGCTTCTCATGACACACGTGGCTGGGTGGATGGGCAGCCAGGGGGAGACCTCAGGGAGGCTCAGGGCGTGCTGGACCGGGCGGCCAGCGGCGTGCAAGAGGCAGATTGCGCCGCCGGCTGCCGCTGCCGCCCTCCGCTGCCAGTGTTCAGTTGTGAGTCAATTCATGTTGCGTGCCGCCGCCCCACGCCTCTGCCACAGCCACTCGAGGCGGGCGGCGACCGCCTCAAGGGGCGCAGTGCCAGGCCCGGGGCATGAACTTGAATCACAACATCGCCTTTGGGCGAAGCATCAAACTCGGGGAGGGCGCCGCTGCCCCGCAGGCCCACCGCCACCCGCCACTGCCCCCGCGCATAATGCCGCCGGTAGCCACAGCCACCGCTCGGGCAGCAGGCTCGCTGAAGGAGTGGGGGAAACAGACAGAGACTCAAAAGCACAGGCAGCGCTCCTGCGGGCAGCGAGAAGCTGCACTTTCGGGACTGCAGGTAGCAGCGCGCCGCTGGTGGCGTCCCGGCACCCACGCTGCTGTGCATGCAGATCACTTTCACAAACGCAAGTTGCAATGCACGTGCTGTGCCTGCGATGCCAGTCTGTAACTGGCCTCTCGCTCTGACAGAGAGAATCGCAGGCATAGTCCAGCCGGGAGGTGATCGAGGATTGCAGCGACTGTTTGTGAGGGTCCACAAACAGAGATGGAAGAGGGCTTGGAGCCTTCTGTGCTTCAACTGAGCGAGGGGACTCGAGACTTCCTTGCAGGTGGCTGCTGGGTCGTCTGGGGTGGCCTGAGCATCCGTTGCAGCCACCATCCCGCCGCCGCCGCTGCCGCTCGAAGTGCGACCGCCGCCAACCACCTGCAGCCTCCTTTTGCTGGTGCTTGCCTCCTCGTGCGCAGGCGGCATCGGCGGCGCATTCGGCGTGATAGCAGGACAGCCGCTCGACACCATCCGCATACGGCAGCAGCAGCCGGGTGCCGGCGGCGCCGGGGCGCGGCAGTTTGCCCGTGCCATCCTAGCAGCCGAAGGGGGCCGCTCCTTTTTCCGCGGCATGGGCTACCCTCTGTGCACCGCGGCGCTGCAGGTCGGTGCATTGGCTGCTTGCCTCGTTCCGCGTTTAATCCAGTGCCCTGCACGCCATGCTGCCATTGGCAGCTTTTATCGGCATGAGCAGCTGAGCCTCCCCTGTGCGCTCCACCTGCAGACTGCGGTGGTGTTCCAGGCGTACGGCATCGCCGCCCGCCACCTCGCAGGCGGCCAGCCCACCACCGCGCTGTCCCTCCCGCAAGTCTTCTATGCAGGCTGCTTTGCTGGTGCCATCCAGACTGTGCGTTGCTGCTGCCATCCCACCCCACCACTGCACAGCTCCTCCAACCGCGCCGTCCTGTGGAGCCTCACCTGTGCTCGTGCTTCTCAGAAGTGAGGCACTGGACCGACAGCTGTTACCTGCCGCTCTGCTGCTGCCCACACCACGCAGGCAGTGGTGGTGCCAGTTGACCTGCTGAAGATCCGGCTGCAGCTGCAGAGGGCCCTGCCGGGGCGCCGGGCTATGTGGACCCTCTGGCGCTGCTGGCCAGCATCCTGCGCAGCGAGGGGCCGCGAGGTGCGGCGCGGGCTCGCTCCGCCGCTGGGATCCAGCAGCAGCGTGCATGCGGCGCCTCAAAGCGCAGCCTGCATGCTCCAACAAAAGTGCAGCTGCCGCAGCCTGTCGCCTGGTGCCCCACAACCCCGATCACTCCCCGGCCCTGCCTTTGCATGAGCTGCAGACAGCCGTACCAACCTGTGCCTGCTGCTGCATGCAGGCCTGTACCGCGGCACGGCCATCACCTGCATCCGAGACTTCCCCAGCCACGGCGTCTACTTTGCCGTGTATGAGGCCTGCAGGTGCGCTGCCTTGCTGCTAGACACAAACGCTGCTGCCGGCACTGCCCACCATCAAAACCACACTCTGCACACCACCCCTCGCTCATCCGCCCACTCAGGGAGCTGTTCGAGCCGGGCTCCCGAGCGGGCGGCAGCGACAGCGCCGCGGCTCTCTGGGTGGCGGGCGGCCTGGCTGGCACCCTCAGCTGGCTCAGCGTGTACCCTTTTGACGTCGTCAAGACGCGCATGCAAGCCGCCGCCGCCTCGCAGTCGGTGTATGCAGGCAGGTGGAAAGTTGCGGGCGGCGTCAGCGCCAAGCTGACTGCACGCATGCATGCATGCATGCATGGCAGCAGGCGGCTGTGAGCCCTGCTGGCTTGAGCAGACCCTGCTGCACCCGCCCGCCTGCAGGCTGGATGGACTGCGTGCGGCAGAGCCACGCGGCAGAGGGAGCCCAGGCCTTCTTTCGCGGCCTGACCACCACCCTGGGGCGCGCCTTCCTGGTCAACGGTGCCATCTTCACAGCATACGAGGTGGCCCACAAGCTGCTGTCCCAGCAAGCGCCAGCCGCAGCTGCGCAGGCAAGGGAGGTGTAGCCGCTGGGCGAGGCGGCACGGCGCCCCTGTATGCTGCTTGTACACCAGCCGGTGCCAGCATGTGTTGCTGCTGCCTGGTTATCTGTATACCTCGCTGTCTTTTCAGCATTGCCTGCTCTCCATTTGATTTCGTCCTGCCAGTGGTACTGGCGGCCGCCACCATCGACTCGAGGTTGTGCCGCCATCAGGCTCACAGACCTCAACCTGTGTCGGCCGGCTTCTAATCACTCTATTCTGTCAATCTGCATGAAATGCGCTGCCTGTACCGAGCATTGGGGAGGAGGAAGGCCGCTGGCCAGGCTGCAGCTGGCCATCGCCGCCATGCATGGCGGAAGTGATCCTGCATGCTGCTGCCAGCGCTCGCTGGAAGCGCGGCTGCAGCCGCGTGGTTACCCAGAGCCACCTTGGTGGTTCCTGGTCACCTTCACCGCACATTCCAAAGGTGGCTTAAAACACCGCGTCAGGTAGCTGATGATTGAGCCACGCGGTCATGGGGTTGGCTATAAAATCCGCCGCCCAACACATCTTATTCATCTTCTATTCTACTTTACTCTGATCCATCACACCAAGCAACTTTGTTTCGCACAGCTCTGAGCCATGCCACCCCCGAGTCGCGTCAGACTCTTGGCGCTCGCCCTCCTGGGGTGCCTGGCGCTTGCACAGGCGTGCACCGCGTCCGTGTGAGTGCAATGGCGGGTCATGCAAGGCTGCCCGAAATCGAGCCTAACGCGTCGCCCTGTGCATGGTTGCTGGTTTCCCGCCGCTTGCATTTTGGGCATCCACCCGCCAGCTGGGGGCGGGGAGGAGATCAGCGATTTACCAATGATCCAAACGGCGCCCGCCGGCACCCGAGCTGTGTGCACGGCTGCAGCTGTCGTTCCGCCTGTTGCGTTGCGCCGCCTGCCACTGCCGCTGCCGCTGCCACTCCTGTGCAGCTGGCCATGCTCACCCACCCACCCACCCGCGCCCTCATGATTGCTTGAATTGCAGGGACGCGACTTCCGGCTCTACCGTCGGTAAGCGTGGTAGCCGCTTTTTCTCACCGACAGCAGCAGAGTGCCCCCCGGCGGGGGCCCTTGCACTGCCTTGCCGGCTCGGCCAACTCCCGACCGCCCTTCTTGTGCGCTGCTGCTGCCCCTGCAGGCAGGAGCCTGCTGGCTGATGTCATTGCCGGGGATGGCGGCGCTGGTGGAGGTGGCGGGGCCGGGGGAGATGCCGCCGGTAAGTTGTGGCCAGAGTACACGAGAGCGCTCACTAGTGTATGCGCTTTTCTCCGCCACCACCCGGGCCTGTTCTGAGATCCCAACATCCCAAACCACAACCCCGCTGCTCCCGCCTGCAGGCACCGGTGCGGTCGCCGGCGACGGCGGCGCGGGTGGGGCCGGCGGTGCCGGCGGAGATGTTTACAGTGAGTGGGCGCGGGGGCCGAGCCATCACGATGCCTCACTGGGGGCTGGTGCACCCCTGACATCAGCCTGGCCTGTGCCATACCCCCCAGTGCCTCACACTAACGCCCGCTGCCTTTGCCCTGATCCGCTGCAGCCAACACCCCCAAGCCGCCCTGCCACGGCTGGGGCTGCCTGCCAAGTGAGTGCGCCCTGAGGACAATCTGCCAGCCACCCCGCATGCTGCCGCCAGCCAGCCCAGTCCACCTCCTCCACACCCCCGCTGCTTCTCACCTGCTCGCACTGGCCGTCCCGCCTGCTGCCTTCGCCAGCACTCCTATTCCTCGTGCCTGCTCCACCCACCAGCACCCAACCGCGCCTTCACCTCCCCCACCTGGTTGCCTGCTACTCCTTCTGCTGCAGCCTGCGACACTTGCAACACCACCGTCCCCGCCGAGGACCGCGTGGTAACGCGGCAGCATGGCATTTACTACTACTCCGCCCCGTGCTGGTGGAAGCCCTACATCTCCGGCTACCTGGACCAGTGCACCGTCTTCCACACCACCGGCTACCGCTCGCCCAGCCTGTGCAGCGACGGCCACTGCTACATCCAGATCAAGCTGCCCCACACCCACTGCCCCGTGTGGGTCATTGACCGCGACTGCGGCGCCGGCAAGGAGCCCACCACACACAAGGCCTGGTCTGGCTGGGACAACGCCTGCCAGGGAGGTGAGTGGCTGGCTCGCGGCTGCCTGTTGGTGTTGTGTTGGTAGTGGCGCTGGCTGTGGCAGAGAGCACGTAGGTCCCTGTTGTGCCTGTGGCAGACTGCCAGGGAGTGGAGACCACGCTCAACCGCTGCCTCGTTTCACCCTTACCTGCAGGCCACACCGATGACAAGACTACCCACCCCGTTGGTGAGCTTCAGCCCGAGCAAGCCCTTACGGCAGTTGGCATTGCACGCGTGTGGAGATGGCTAGCTGCCGCAGCGCTGCCTGCCGTGGCGGCCGCCGATGTCTAACCACCAATCTTCATTGTGGCGCTGTGGTGCAGACTGGGGCAGCGACACCGATTGGGGCCACGACAACTGGGGTGGCAGTGGCGGGGATGGCGGTGCGGGCGGCAACGGCGGGCATGGCGGAGACGGCTGGGGTGAGGTGGTGCCTGCAAGAGGTCTCTGGTGCCACCCCTCATCAGCAACACTGCACACAGCCGATCTTGTGCCCACACACACAGGCCGGGACAAGCTCCCCCTCTTCTGAGTGGCTCATCTTGTTCTAACTCCAACTCTTATTTCCCTTCAGGCCCGGGCTCCTCTGGCGGTGATGGCGGGAGTGGGGGCGATGGTGGAAGTGGCGGTGACTCTTGGGGTGAGCTTGTGCCGCGGAGAGCTTGCAGGGCAAACAAGGGTAAACGCACCCTTGTCTGCCGCACCGCACCTACCTCCTCCTACCCAATCTCTGCTGCCTCTTCTTGCAGGCGGCGGCTCCACGGCTGGGGATGGTGGCCCAGGGGGTGATGGCGGGTCTGGCGGCGATGCCTGGGGTGAGATTGTGGCGCCAGCAGTGTTCAGGGCAAGCGGGTTCACCCACCTCTTCCTGCCGCACTGCATCTACATTCTCCGACCCATCCTCTGCTGCCTCTTCTTGCAGGCGGCGGCTCCACAGCTGGGGATGGTGGCCCAGGGGGCGACGGCGGGTCTGGCGGCGACGCCTGGGGTAAGCTTGAGCCGCGGAGAGAGTGAGGGGCAAAGGAAGACACAATCGCACTTCAGCACACACTACCTCGGTCTTGCCACACCGCACCAGCCTTCTCACACCCATTCTCCGCTGGCTCTTCTTGCAGGCGATGACTCCACTGCCGGCGATGGTGGCCCGGGCGGTGACGGCGGGTCTGGCGGCGATGCCTGGGGTAAGCTTGAGCCGTGAAGAGAGTGAGGGGCAGAGGGGACCACATAGCACACTTCACCGCACAGTGCCTGATTCTTGCCACACCGCACCAACCTCTCCGACCCATTTGCTGCTGCCTTTTTCCTGCAGGCGATGACTCCACAGCTGGGGATGGTGGCCCAGGCGGTGACGGCGGGTCTGGCGGCGATGCCTGGGGTGAGATTGAGCTGCGGAGAGAGCGAGGGGAACAGGGAGACACAATCGCACTTCAACTCACAGTGCCCGATTCTTGCCACACTGCACCAGCCTTCTCACACCCTTTCTCTGCTGGCTCTTCTTGCAGGCGATGACTCTACTGCCGGCGATGGTGGCCCGGGCGGTGACGGCGGGTCTGGCGGCGATGCCTGGGGTAAGCTTGAGCCGCAGAGAGAGTGAGGGGCAAAGGAAGACACAATCGCACTTCAGCACACACTACCTCGGTCTTGCCACACCGCACCAGCCTTCTCACACCCATTCTCCGCTGGCTCTTCTTGCAGGCGATGACTCCACTGCCGGCGATGGTGGCCCGGGCGGTGATGGCGGGTCTGGCGGCGATGCCTGGGGTAAGCTTGAGCCGCAGAGAGAGTGAGGGGAACAGGGGGGCACAAGCGCACTTCATCGCACCCTGCCACGGTCTTGCCACACCGCACCAGCCTTCTCACACCCATTCTCCGCTGGCTCTTCTTGCAGGCGATGACTCCACTGCCGGCGATGGTGGCCCGGGCGGTGATGGCGGGTCTGGCGGCGACGCCTGGGGTAAGCTTGAGCCGCAGAGAGAGTGAGGGGAACAGGGGGGCACAAGCGCACTTCATCGCACCCTGCCACGGTCTTGCCACACCGCACCAGCCTTCTCACACCCATTCTCCGCTGGCTCTTCTTGCAGGCGATGACTCCACTGCCGGCGATGGTGGCCCGGGCGGTGATGGCGGGTCTGGCGGCGACGCCTGGGGTAAGCTTGAGCCGCAGAGAGAGTGAGGGGAACAGGGGGGCAAGGGGAACAGGGGGGCACAAGCGCACTTCAGCACACACTACCTCGGTCTTGCCACACTGCACCAGCCTTCTCACACCCATTCTCTGCTGGATTTTCTTGCAGGCGACGACTCCACAGCTGGGGATGGTGGCCCGGGCGGTGACGGCGGGTCTGGCGGCGACGCCTCTGGTGAGTGTCATCATCGGTAGCATGTGTGGAGGCACTAGCACACCTCACCAGCCGTTGTCCCATGTGCCTGAGAGGCAAACCCGGATCCGGCAAGCCCATCAACGACCTGGCGCTGCCCTGCCACCTGCCTCTGAAGCCTCTACCTACTCGCGGCCTGCCACTTCTCTTGCTTTGCAGGCAACAACGCCGATGCGGGCGATGGTGGCGCCGGTGGCGATGGCGGGACTGGCGGGGATGCCGAAGGTGGGCAGAGTGCACGGGGCACATGCTGCTGGGAAGGCTCGATTGGAGGGATCATGTCCCCCCTCCAAGCCAAATCCACTCCTTCCCTTCGCTCCTATTTGCAGGCGACAACGCCGATGCGGGCGATGGTGGCGCCGGTGGCGATGGCGGGACTGGCGGGGATGCCGAAGGTGGGCAGAGTGCACGGGGCACATGCTGCTGGGAAGGCTCGATTGGAGGGATCATGTCCCCCCTCCAAGCCAAATCCACTCCTTCCCTTCGCTCCTATTTGCAGGCGACAACGCCGATGCGGGCGATGGTGGTGTCGGTGGCGATGGCGGCGCAGGGGGCGATGCCGAAGGTGGGCAGAATGCTGGGCGCTCATGCGGGTGGCTGGCGAGGCCAAGGTGAAAAGCAGGAGTCCCCCAGCCAAGCCCACTCCTTCCCTGCCCTCCCTTTTGCAGGCGACAATGCCGATGCGGGCGATGGCGGCGCCGGTGGCGATGGCGGGACTGGCGGGGATGCCGAAGGTGGGCAGAGTGAGGGGCACATGCGGTGGTTGCGATTGCCCTTCCCACCTACGGGCATGCACGGGTAATGCGGCCGCTCAGGATCCCCCATCCCCAGCTGGCATTGATTCCCTTGCGCTTGTCCTTCTTCTCCGTCCAGGCGATGGCGCAACTGCTGGCGATGGCGGCGCGGGTGGCGCCGGCGGCGACGGCGGAAACGCTACCGGTGAGTCGGCTCGGCAGAACGAGTGCGGCCCCATCGCCTTCTGCCACAGAGCGTGCATATTGCTGGCGTCTGTTGCTTTGCCTGGCTGACCCTCCTGCCATTTCTGACTGCCTCCCTTCAGGCCGCAAGCTGAGGCTGAGGCGCCTCCTGATGTGAGGTCTGGGCTGCAAACGTCGCTGACGGGTTGGCGGCGCAACCGAAGACGGGCGGACACCCTCGCCCTTAGAGCTCTGCTCGCGACCCAGACTGAACGCTTCCACAGCCTCCATGTCTGTATCATCAAGTCAAGTTCTGGTAACCTCTTGTCCCATGCGGCGTGGACAAAGTCTGTCATTCCTTTTCCTGTCAGCCTGAATGATCCACCGATGCGCTGCCAATTTGGCAGCCGCTGTTTTTGTGAGCCCCTGCCTTTTGCCCTGATTCCTGATCTGTCATTCCTGATTGCTCTGCATATCTGTCATTTATGGTTGCCCGGCTTCTATGCCGCCATGGGGTGGGCGTGTGCTGCAACACGCACAGCCCTGGGTTTATCATGCATGCGCCACGCCGCCTTTCCATGATGAAGACATCTGCTCATGTAACCTGCAACCACTTCCTGCCATCACCAGGCTTGGCTGCAAGGCTCGGCTGGAGTGACCCTCACGCCAGGTTTCACCCGCTGTCACCCGCTTGCACACCTAATGCCAGCTAGCACATGTTGCACTTGCACATGTTGCTAACCAACAAACAACAGCAGCCCACAAGCTAATCATCAGAGTGATTTGCTGCATACTGCCGCCGCTGCAGCGTGGCCACAGCCATTCCGTAGTAGGTGGGATGATGCATCGCCAGCAGGCGGCTGTCCCAGGCATCGGCCACGCCGCCTGCCGCCCTGCTGCCGCCGCTCCCTCCCCAGGCTGCCGGATGGGCAGCCCGCGCCAGCGACCCCTGCAGCAACGCAAAGCCGGTGAAGCCGCAGCTCTTGGCGCCGCCCATGCGCCGCTTGGCGTCCACCAGGATGAACCGGGGCTCGAGGCTTTCTACCCAGCTGCCAACGGCTTCGTCAAACGGCGCTGCATCCTCTGAGAAGCCATAAGGCCCATCCTGCACCCAAGGCGCCGCCAAGCAACCCTTCAAGGCCCGCAAAGCCTGACAGCGCCCGGGCAGCGGCCTGCCAGGCCGGCAGTGCTCGCTGCGCCAGCCTGGCAGGCCACTGACCGCCGCTGCCCGCCGCCGCCCCTTGCCGGCACAGCGTGGCACCCACCGCAGAATGGGTGTGGGCCAGGTCTCCAGACACAAGCAGCGCCACCCGCTGCGGCAGCGCCTCTAGAAGGTCAAATAGTGCGGCGCCCAGGTCTGCCAGCTCCGGCACCTGTAAACATGTGGAGCCAGCAGCAGCATCAATGTGCAAGGCCCACAGAATGCAGGGGTGCGCCGTCCTGCGGTCGCATTGCCACGCTGACCGCTGGTGGGCAGGAGGCGCCGGCAGGGATAGCAACAGGCAGCTCACGCGCGATTCCAGGGCAACGCTGCTCTGGGGCGGCAGGCAGGCAAGGCAGCACTCCGACGGCAGCCGCCCGCCAGCAGCGGCGCACCATCTCAACTGCATCTGTGTAGCGCCTGCTCGGCATCGACAGAAGGATGAACTGGGCAGCATTCCGCACCTGTTCTGCACGCATGATGCGGCGGCACACTGTCGCCCCATGCAAGCATGGCAGGGCACCGCCAGTGCGGGGCCAACCCCAGGAGGCTAGCAGCCACACCTGGCAGGAACCTGGTCGGAATGATCTCGCCCCAGCTCAGGGGGAAGGGCGCACCGGCCTCTCCAGGCGGGCCGAAGCCGCTCAGCGCGGTGGTGCGCTTGAACGTTCTGCAGGCAGCAGGCAGGCATGGGGAGGAGCGCAGCTGAACTGCGCTTGGGCCTGCCACGTGGTGTGAGGGCCCTGCCACACCTATTCTGTGCCCCCACATGCCCGCGCCAGCATGCCCCAGGGCAAGCTCTCAGTCGCTGCCCACCTGTCCTGCAGGTACTTAAGGAGTGCCAGGCTGGTGTTTGTGTCGACAGTGATGCTGGCGCAAGGACCTCCGACGCGAGCCGTGGCCACTGCATGCGCGTCTGCCGCCTGCTGCGGGTGCGGCGCCGTCACATCGGGCGGCACGCACCCCGCTGCCGTGGGGTTGAGGAAGAAGGCAAAGGCTTCCAAGTCAGCGATGGCGTGGGGCGAGGTCAGCAGAATCAGGTCTGGGTGTGTCGCTGCCAGAAAAAGCCCGGCATCGATGGCGGCGGCGTGCAGCGCCTGGGCCTGCTGAAGCTTGGAGCCGTTCAAACCCTTGCCTTCTGGCTGCCACGCAATGTCCCCGTGTGGCAGTATCGCTGCTGAGACCACGGCGGCTTCTGCAGGGAGGGACACGAGTGTGGATAGGAGAGACAGGGCCAAAGCACAAGGCAGCCGGTGCCCGATGGCCAGCAGCATGTCGGCAATGTGAAAGTTGTCGCAGGGCTTGTTCACGGCCTGTTATTGGTTCTCAGGCGTCCCAGCAGTACCTTTGCCAGGTGGCTGTACTGGAGAGACTCTCTCCCTGCACCCTTCGAGGCTAGACAGCTCTGTGTGATGTACACTTGTGATAAAATGATTAAAACAGTCAGTTAAACCCACCCAGCCCCATCGGTTGAAATTGAGAGTGGGAAGGGAAGAACAGAAGCATTACAATTTGCTGAGCTGGCAGTCTCAAGCAAGCATACGGAGGGCCCTCAAAAGGGGGGCGCGCTGCCAAACCGCTGCCGGAGCGGCACCTCCTCCGGGTCGCCAGCTGGCGCAGGCCACAGCTGCTGCTGGTGCGGGCGGCCATAGTGGCCGGGCTCTTCCTCCACCTCCTCCGCCTGCGCCTCCCCGCCCACCTCCCCAGTGGCAAACCGGCTGGTCCAGCCCACTCCGCCTCCGCCGTGCACCGCCGCGCGCGACTGAGGCGTCAGCAGGCGGTCCAGCTTGGCTGCGATGCTGGCCGCCTTGCGCCCCGCCTCGGCCATGGCCTCGCTGGCGGCGCCGCCATAGGCGCTGCTGGGGTCGGCGGCGCTGCCGCCGCTGTGCCTGCCCGCGCCGATGGCCCAGCTGCTGGCCTGGCTGGCGCAGGTGCCGCCGCCGCGGCCGCCGCCCTCGTCGATGCTGCTGACCTCCTGGCCCTCGCCGCTGTGAGCCGGCTGGTGGCAGGGCGCAGGCTGGTGGTGGCGGCGGCGCGCGTAAGCATGCGGCTCATGCTGGTGCTGGTGCTGGTGATGCTGGTGAAGGGGGTAGTCGCCGCCGCTGCTGTCTTGGGAGTCGTGCAGGTGGCCTGCCAAGGTCTTGTACTTGCGCAGGATGCGGCGCAGCCCCTTGCCCAGCTGCTCCACCAGCGCCGCCAGCTGGCGGCTGCCCAGCCCGCCCTCCCTGCAGCACAGTCGCGCCAGCAGGTGGGGCGCATCAGCCTCCGGGACGGCATCACAAACCGCAGGCTGCCTTGCAGCAGCAAGCCTGAGCGCGAGGCCACCAAACATGCGCAGAGCCCGGCGCGTGTGGCTGCGGCGGCCTCACCCTGCGGCAGCCGTGGCGCCGGCATCGGTTTCGCTGTAGTCCTCCAGAACCCACTTGACCTCCGACAGCAAATCTGCCAGCCTGCGGCAGGGCAATGGAGGGCAAGGGGTGGCAGGGTGGGCAGCAGTCCAGGCGTAAAGATGGCGCCAGTGGAGAGGCTGGAAGGGAACACAAACAGCAGGCAGGTTCTGGGCCCATGGGTGCACCAGGTGGTGGAGCTATACATGAGCGGAAGAGCCAGCTGGCCAGCTCAGCAGCGCCAGCAGCGCCAGCCGGAGGGAAGAGCGGGCGCCCCCACCTGAAGCGAAGCAGCGCCAGCCCCTGCTCCACCTCGACCGCCTGCGACTGCCAGCGTGCGGCGGCCCCCTCCAGGGCAACCACAGTCGCCTTGAGCCCCCGGCACTTGGCCTTGTACTGCTGCAGGCGCTGCTGCAGCGCCCACACGTCGCCGGACTCGTCACCCGCGACCGCCGCTGGGAAACTCGAGCCCTGCTGCTGCTGCGTCGGCGGCTGCAAGGAGTGGCCGGGTGCGGCGGCGGCGGCGCCGCCCGTCACCGCAAGCTGCTGCAGTGAGGCCCAGACCTTGTGCAGGCCCAGCAGGCGCAGCGTGGCTGCGTGCGCCGCCATCAGCGGCGCCAACTCATCCGCCAGGCTGGCAGCCTCCTGGCGGCCTGCAGAGGGGGGTAGGCTGGGAAGCTTGTCAGCAGCATGTATGCATGCGATGCAAGGAATTAGAAGCAGCAAATTTGCGCACGCAAATGAAAGACGCAGCTGGCGCTACGCCACGGGCTGCACCAAGGACCTGCCCACCCACCTCCCATGTGGTCCATAGTCACACCCAGCGCCAGCTTGCAGATGGCCTTGAGCAGCCGCTTCTCCGTCTGCCACCCCTCGCCGCCGCCTGCAGGCACCCCGTCGTTCATGCCGCTGTGCTGCTGCTCGGAGGCCGGCATGCTGAGCGCTGGGCAGGGCCAATCATCTGCGGCCGGGCCCAGCAGCGGCAGGCCAGCACCAATACCAGGGCTGCCGCCCTTGCCGCCGGCTGCAGACAGCCGCTGTACCACCGCTTGCAGCTTAGCAATGGCGGCCTGCTGCGAAGCCAGCCGTGCTGCAGCATCGGCGTGCTCCTGCTGCGCGGCGGCCAGCTGGGCAGCCAGCTGCTCCCGCTCAGCCTCCAGGTGTTCGACATACAGGTTGGGCCTGGCACAGGCACCGCTGCTGCCGTCGCCAGCGGGGCTGCTGCTGCCAGACAGGTGATCCTCAAGCATGCGCCACAGCTGCTCGTTCTCGGTTTTCAGGGCCTGCGCAAGGGCAGCAGGTTGGCAGCCGGCTGAGGTAAGAACACGGCACACTCCCAGCAGGCTCAGCCATCATAGAGGCGTGTGACTGTGTGCTTGCGCCATCCTGCAGCCACCAGTCACCATGCCGCCGTCTACCCCACCAAGCTGGGCAGGCGGGGGCCCCACACCTGCAGCTTCTCCAGCGCCTGTGCCAGCAGCTCCCGGCGGGATGCCAGCTGCCCCTTACTCCCACCCGCCAGCGAGTCCACCTGCCCATCTGGGGCCAGCGCCGCCGCAGGCGAGGCGCTCTCGATGCGCTGCAGCAGCTCCATCTGGGCCTGCAGCCGGCTGCTGAGCCCCTCCAGCACGTCATGCACCTGCAGCTCACCGAGGGTGCGGCGCAAGGGCATGGCGCGGCGTTTGGCGCTACTCCTAATACGCTTTCAGCAGGTCTCCCGGAGCGCGCTTGGCACTGCATCCCTTCCTCTGCCTGCTCAGGACGCACACAGGCTTGCCAGGCCAACCAGGCACAGGCACCTCCACCTCCTCCCTCTGCAGCCCCACCTGCGCCTTGGCCAGCAGCCGCTCCCGCTCCACGTCAGCGGCGTCCAGCTGGCGCTCCACCTCCCGCCGCCGATCCTCCTCCACCTCCAGCTGCTGGCGCAGGCGGTCGGCCTGGCACTCGGCAGACGCCAGCTCCACGCGGGACTGCTCCGCCGCCTGCTGCGCCTCCTCAGCAGCGGCAGCGCTGGCCGCCAGCTGCTGCCTCAGGCCGGCCTCGCGCCGCTGCGTGGCCTGCTGCGCCTCCTCGGCCGCCTCCAGCTCACCCTGCAGGCGCTGCTGCTCGCCGGCGGCGGCCTCAGCCGCCCGCCGCGCCTCGGCCAGCTGCTGGTGCAGCGAGGCGCTCTCGCCCGTTGCCGCCGCCAGGGCCGCCTTGAGCGAGCCGCACTCGTCGGAATCTGACAGCTGCTGCTCGTGCAGGAATGCCAGCTGCTCGCGAAGCACGCTGCACTGCTGCTCCACCTGCTGCGCGTGCCGCTCATGCATCTCGGCATCGGCAGCCACCTGCTGGTGGCGCCGCTCCGTGCAGCTCAGGGCAGTGGCGGCTGCCCCATGCTCGGCTTGGGCCTGAGCCAGCTGCTGCTCCAGCGAGGCCGCCAGCTCAGCCCGGGCCGCCAGCTCAGCTTCCAGGCCCGAGCAGCGCTCAGAGGCTGCCTGGTGTGCACTGGATGCCGCCTCCAGCTGCGCCGAAAGGTCGGCGACCGCGGCCTCCAGGACCGCCGCCTGCTGCCTATGCTGCTCCTCAGCCCCCGCAACAGCCTCCGCATGCCGCTCTTCTGCTGCCGCCATGGCAGCGGTGTGCTGCTCCTGTGCTGCTGCCCGGGCAGCGGCGTGCTGCTCCCTAGCTGCTGCAAGCTCAGCTGCGTGCTGCTGCTGCGCTGCCGACAACGTGGCCGAGTGCTGGTCGTTGGCCGAAGCGGCAGCTGCCTGCAGCTCGCGTACGCCCGCCTCGTGTACCGCTGCCATGACGAACAGGCCGCGGTACAGCTGGTCGATGCGCTGCTGCTGCTCCGCCTGTACCGCCGCACCGCCAGCCTCTGTGGCTGCCAGCTGCTGCTGCAGGTGCGCACACTCATGCTGTGCCTGCTGCGCCTGCTGCTGGACAGCGGCCAGAGTGCTCTCTGCCTCCTCCTTGCCTGCCTGCATCAACACCAGCTGCACGCTGATCTCGGCAGCCACCGCCTCAGCCGCCTCCAGCTGCTCCTGGCGCTCGGCCAGCTCGCGCTGTCGCTCCGCAAGCTCCCGCTGCACCTGCTCCAGGCCGCAGCTCGACTCGGCATGCGCCGCCTCCGCCACCGACCGCGCCTCACTGACGCCAGCAAGCTGCTCCTGCGCCTCTGCCAGCTGGACAGCTGCCTCTGCTGCCTGCTGCTCAGCTGCCTGCAGCTTCAATTCCAGGGCTGCCAGCTGGTCGGTCTTGTCTGTCAGCTCGCCAGTGAGGGCATCAAACCACTCGGCCGCGCTGTGCTGCTCCGTCTCCAGCTCGCTCAGGCGCTGCACGACACAGCACGACAAGGCAGGGAGGCAGCCAGGGCTCAGGAGGACATCAGCAGGACGCGGGCTAGCATGGGCTGCTGCTCGTATGCGGGCACAGAAGGGTTCACAGGCAGGGCGCGCTGGCCCACCTGCTGCACCGATTGGAAAGTCTCCTGCTGCGCCTCCAGCTGCGCCACGCTGAGCTGCGCCTCAGCCAACTGCCCCTGCAGCGCAGCCTGCTTGGTGGCCACAACCTCGCGCTCCCCCTCTTCTGTCGCCAGCTGCTCGCCCAGCTGCTGTGCCTGCTGCTCCAGGGCAAGGCACCGAGCCTCCAGGGCCTCGCACCTGCAGCAGAGCAGGAGCGGGGGATGTGCCACCTGGCATGCTCTGCCGCAAGGCCATGGCAAAGGCGCGTCGAGCAGGAGCCCGTTTTGGCCGCAACTGCCTGTCCTCACCGGTGCTCCGCCTCTTCACGCCGCTGCCGGTGTACCTGGGCATCTTTCACAAACGTCAGCAGCTCCTGCTGCAGCACCTTGAGCTGCTTTGAGGCCTCCTGCACAAAGATGTGGGGAGAACTGGTGAGCATAAGCCCTCAGCAATTTCGACATCAGTGCCTGACACCCGATGCATGCCAGGCCGCATCGCCGCACCTTGAACTGTGCCTCTCGCTGCCGGGCCAGCACAAGCTTTCCATCTGCCACCGACTGTTTCTTTTGCAGAGCTGCCAGCTGTTGCTGCATTGCCTCCTGCTGCTGGCCCCGCTCCCGCTTCTCTTCAGCACCTGCCGCCAGCTGCCGCTGCGCTTCGCCCAGCTGCTGCAGCAGCTCGGCCGCAGATGCGGCAGCCTCCTGCTGCTGCTGCACTGCCTTCTGTGCCTCCTGCCGACTCTCCCCCAGGCTGGCCTCGGCCTGAGCCAGGCGCTCCCCAAGCGCACCCAACTCCTGCTCAGCTTCCTTATGCAGCTGCGCCGCCTGGTCCCGCTGCGCCTGCGCCGCCGCCAGCTCAGCCTGCAGGCACGAGCAGGAATGGCACGTCGGCGTCATGGCAAGCCGGGCAGACGAGCTCCAAAGGGAAACCTTTGCTGCACTCACTCACCCGCAGCCTGGATGCCTGCTCCTGTAGCTCAGCGTGCGCAGCCTGCAGCTCCAAGTGCTGCCGGTGCTGCGCGGCCAGCTCCTTCTGAGCGGCGTGCAGCGTGCGGGTCTGCGCCTCGTGGCCCCGGTGCAGGTCTGCAGGGCAAGCATGCACACATGCAACGAGTGGATGACCCCACAGGGCTGGGGCGGGGCAGGAGCCGGGCAGTACAAGCTATGATGGCGCAGTACAAGCTCTGCGATTAGAGTCGTGAGGTGCAGCAAGGAACTGCCTGCCTACCTGTGTACTTGCCCTTCAGGGTGTCCAGGTCCTGCTGCAGCAGGCGGTTGCGCTGCTGCAGCGCCTGCACCGCATCCACCAGCCCTGCACGCGAGACGATAGAGCGCTCGGGGCGCATCACCAGCATGCGGCGCACACGCCCATGCACCTGGCAGCGCCGCTGAGTGGAGTGAAGGTATGGCAGTGCGTGCCCTGCTGGATCACCAGAATACAGGCCACCTGCTGTGTTGTATGGGTGCAGCTGCTCCTTACCAGACATGTCACACATATTGTCCACCAGCGTCTGGTTGGTCTGGTCCACATTGGCACCCAGCCGCCGCACGGCCTCGCACTCCGCCTCCAGCGCCTGCAGCAGGCACGCCGTGGGGGTGCGGCGTGAGAGGCACACAAAGTCAGGCGGAAGGGGGCGGGGCCAACAAAGAATGCAAGTCGCGACACCAGGCACTGGCTCCCCCACAGATGAACTAGCACTATGTAAATCGGCGATGAGAAATCCACAGCATAGCTGGCAGCTACAGCAAAGCCAAGGCACCTTGAGATTGTCCTTCAGGTTGTCGTTCTCGGCCTGCAGGCCGGCCAGCTGCGTGGCCAGGCCCTCATGCTCCGTGGCGGCCGCCGCCAGGCGCTCCCGCCCCTCAGCCGCCAGCTGGTGCTGCGCGGCGGCCTCCTGCTGCGCCGCGCCCAGCCCCCGGTGCAGCTCCTGCAGCTGCGCCAGAGCAGCATCTCGCTGCTGCAGGCCCTGCCGCAGCTCCGCCTCGAGCGCTGTCACACGCTGCTCCAGCTGCGGAGCCTGCTGTGCGCGCTGCGCCAGCTCGCCCTGCGCTGCCTCCAGCTGCGCCCCAGCCGCCGCAAGCTCCCGCTCCAGCGCCTCGTGGCTGTCGGTCAGCTGCTGCATCTGGTCGGCGGCTCCCTCCACCGCAGCATGGGCCACATCGTGCTGAGCCATGGCAGCATCCAACTGGCGGCGCAGATCCTGGCACGTGCCATCCACCTCGGCAGCATGCCTGCCGCGCTCCTCTGCCTCCGACTGAGCCCGCGTGGCCGCCACCTGGCTCTCATGCAGCTGCAGCTGCAGGGAGGCCTTGTCCTCGGTGAGCCGCAGCAGCACATCGTCCGCCTTCTCCAGCCGCTGCAGCGTCTCCTGCAACGCCAGCACCTGCGGGGTTGGCGAGAGGCAAAGGGGAGAGGCACGGGTCACGCACTGCCTTTGCTGAGCCACCAGCGGCTCCAACCGATTCGATCCCACCTGCCCTCAGCCCACAGCCTTCAACCCAGCCGCAGAGCAGTTGCACAACAGCCCTGCACGACCCACCTACCACCCAGCGATGGCTCAACCACCTTCCCACCCTCGCCACCCACCTTGCCCTGCAGTTCTGCTTTGTCCCGCAGCAGCTGCTCGGCACGGCTGCGCTCCGCCTGCGCCGCCTCCCTCGCCGCCATCACCTCCTCCGTAGAGTGCTGCGCCAGCGCCGACAGCCGCGCCACCTCGGCGGCGCGCGACTCGGAGCCCTGCTGCTCCCGCCCCAGCGCAGACGCCAGCTCCTGGCAGCGCTGCCGCTCCTCTTGCAGGTACGCATTCATCTGCGGGGAGGGGGAAGCCACTCAAGGTGGTGAGTTTTTACCCACAACCGGCGCAAAACGACAAGCAAGCAGCGGCAGCCAGACCTTCCAGGGCCTCCCCACCAATCCTACCTGCTCCAGGTGGCCTGAGATCTGCTCGGCGGCGCCCAGCCGGCCCAGCGCCTCCTGCAGCCGCCCCTCCAGCAGCCCGCGCTCCTCGGCCAGCGCCGCGGCCCGGCCACGCTCGGCAGCCAGCTCCTCGCGAAGCGCCGCCGACGTGGCCTCCTGCTGCTGCTGCAGCGCAGCCAGCGTCGCAGCGGCCGCCTCGCGCTGCTCGCGGCTGCTGCTGCGCCCGCCAGTGGCCACCGCCTCGAGCTTGGCCGCCATGGCCGCCTTCTCTTCTACCAGCACCTCGATGCGCGTCCGCCCCGACTGCAGCTCCTGCAGCAGCGCCGCCAGCTGGCGCGGGTCGCCGCCGCCGCCGCCGCCGCCGCTCAGCAGCTGCGCCTGCAGCGTGCACATCTCCTCCTGCAGCCGCCCCACCGCCTTGCGCTCCTTCTGCAGCTTGTAGTGCAGGATCTTCATGGCGTGGTTGGCCTTGAGCAGCATCTCGTTGCCCTTGTCGCACTGCATCCCAACGCCCAGGCAAGCCAGCAGAGGCGGCAGCAGCAGCGGTTGGTGGATGGGGCATGCGGGCAGCCCTGGGGCAGCGCCAGCACTTCAACATGCTGCCACACATCCCAAAGCCCACGCAAAGAAGCCCTGCGCGCATATGCCAACCAACCGGCTACCACACACCTTGCGGTTCAGCATCTCCACCTCGGACCGCAGGTGCCGCTCCTCTACCGCCTGCAGCCTGCACCGCTCCTCCAGCCCAGCGTCGCCGCCATCCGCTGCCGCAGCCGCACGCTGTGCCGCAGGTGCCTGCTGCGGGCGCTGCCGCGTCGGCTGCTGCGGGCGACCGCCCGCACGGCTGCCGCCACCGGCGATGCCGCCATCGGCGTGCGCCGCCTGCAGGTGCTGCGCCATCTGCTTCTGCCTCCCCTTCAAGTCGCGCAGCTCCTGAGACAGGTCCCGCACTTGCTCCCGCAAGTGCTCTCGGTCCTTCTGCAGAACGCTGGCTCGTGTCAGGGTGCGTGCCACCACCGCCGCCTCTGACACAGTCACCTCCGTCTCGCCGCCAGACGAGGAGCCGTCGTCGTCTGCCGGCGCAGCGGCCCCGTTGCCACTGTCGGCCGTGGCCGTCGCAAACTGGAAGGAAGAGCCGGCATGCTGCTGCTGCTGCTGGGAGCGCTGCTCGGGGCTGGATGAGGCGCGCAGGTTGGACAGCACAGGTGAAGAGAACACATCGTCGACCTCCTCCTCCTCCTCTTGCTCCGCTGCCGCTGCCGGGCCATCCACCCCCACCTCATCGCCAACGCTGTGGTAGGCGGTGCCTGGCTGCTGCAGGCTGATGCTGCCTTCTGGCTCCTGCCAACTCCCTGCTGTATCACGCACAGAGAGCAGCGGCAGAAAATCATCAGGCCGCCTGCTCCCTGTCAATCAGAGACGCCTCGCCTACAAGCAACAGGTGGGCACCCTCCTACAAAGGCACTCAAACCACAGCCCACCTCCTGGTGTGCCATATGCCGTCAGGTTGGCCCGCGCCTCCACCGCACACAGCTCGCTGCGCAGCTGTTGCAGCTGAGCTGCCGCATCGCGCCGTGCCTCCTCCACCTCCAGCCGAGCATAGTTGGCGGCCTCGGCCTGCTCCGCGGCCTCGGCTGCGCCACGCAGTTTTGGAGCAGAAAGAGCAGTCAGCAGCAGCAACAATTGTTGCAGCAGGGGAGCGAAGAACGGCTGGAAAATGCCATGCGCAGCGTGCAACGCCAGCATCTCCGGTGCCAACCCACCTCTGGCCACCTCCAGCTCCTGCTGCATGCCCGCCTGCTGGCGCCGCAGCGCCTCTGCCTCGTGGTGGGTCTCCAGCAGCGCGGTCTGCGCAGCACCCAGCTGCTCCTCGCTGGCCGCCAACTGGCGCTCCCGCTGCTGCAGCTGGCGACCCAGCTCTGCGGCCTCCTCCTGCGCCGCCACCAGCTGCCCATCCCGCATGGACAGCTGGTCCTTCAGGAACCGGGCCAGCTGCTGGCCCGCCGTCTCCTGGTGTCGCTGCACAGAGCGCGGGCTCTCGCCAAACGCCTGCGCCGCCGCGAGCGCCTCAAGCGCCGTCTGCAGCTCGGCGTCCTTGAGGCGCAGCTGCTGGCGCAGCGCTTCTGCCTCCTCCCAGGCAGCCACCACATCAGCATCGGCTGCCACCTCAGATGCCAGGCGACGAATGAGCACTGTGTCAATACGCTGCCCGCCACCAGATGAAGGCACGACCGCCAGCTCGGCTGCCTGCTGCTGCTCCGCTGGCGTGCGTGCACCGGTGCGTGAGCCCTGGCTGTCCTCTAACTGCTCGGGAGGGCTCTGCGGGGCAGCGAGGCAAGGGATGAGGGTGGTGCAGAGTGGAGGCGTTTAGGAAGCACGCGGGCTGAGTGGCAGACGGCGGCAGCTCGGCGCAGCTGATGCCAGGCAGGGCCCCGGCGCTGTCTGCGCCACCTCGATGCGCTCCTGGCTGCACACCCGCCTCTCGCACCTCGGCCTCCAGTGCCTCTATCACACGGGCTGCGTTTTTGGCCACCGACTCTGCCGAAATGGCCGGCTCTCCCGCCTCGTCCTCGCCGCCCAGCGAGGGGAAGAGCTTGGCAGGGGAGCCAAAGGGGCCCGACCAGGCGGCGCTGTTGGCGCTGGCCGGGCCCAGGGGTTCGCGTTGCGTCATGCCCTCAACCGACCCTACTCAGGCACCTGGGGCCATGGCGGGAGGTCGGTGATATCGGTGCGGGGTGAAGCAACGAGCTGCAGGCGGCGCCAGTTTGAAAGGAAAGGCGCTGAGCTGGCATTTTTGTGTTGCTCTCTGCTTGCATGCATCATGCATTATCCTGCCCACCCATCAACCTGCATGACGTCTCCATTCAGCCCGGGCGCCCGCTCTCACTGGGCGCACTACAGGATAGTTTCTGGAGGCGGCCTGCTGCTGTTTGGCCTTACCGCCTTCTTCGGTGCGCGTGCAGCCTATAACGCAGCATTCCCAGCTGCCAAGCTCAAAACACCAAGGTGACGCGAGACATGGCGGCAGCAAAACACGGACGGCAGCGGCCAGCCAGCGCCCCAATGTTGCTGCCGGCAGCAGTGGTGCAGCAGCGCACATGCAGCGGGGGCTTGCCGGTGGTGACCGCCGCCGCTGCCCGCCTGCCGCCGCCCGCCTGCCCCCTCCTGCAGCGTGAACCCCGACAGCGCTTCGTCGACTTGACGCGAGGCATGGCGGCAGCCGTGGAGGGCAGCCCAGCGGCTGAGAAGCAGTGCCAAGTGTGCCGCAAGCAGGCCGCCAAGTACTGCTGCCCGCGGTGCCAGCACCGCACCTGCAGCCTTGAATGCGTGCAAGGTGCGCGCTGCTGGCGCCTCCTGCTGCCTCTCCCCTTGCTTCACCTCTCACGCCATCCTGATGCCCTGCAGCGCCTGCCACGTTGCGCGGTTTCAAGCTGCGGCCGCTCCTCTTACCCTCTCCTCGTGCCCCATCGCGCCTGCAGCCCACAAGGACGCCTCGGGCTGCACCGGCAAGCGCGACCGCACGGCGTTTGTGGGGCGGGGCGAATTCGATGAGCGCACCTTCCTCTCAGACTACCGCTTCCTGGAAGAGGTGCAGCTGGCGGATGACGTGGCCAAGCGCAGCAAGCCGCCGGCGCCCAAGCTCGACATGCCCCAGTTTCTGCAGACGCTGGTGTACCAGGCGCGCCGCCGCGGCGTGCAGCTCCACATCCTGTCCCCCGGCATGGAGAAGCGGCGCACCAACACCACGCGCTACGACGGGCGCAGCCAGACGCTGGGCTGGCACGTGGAGTGGCGCTTTCCCGCCGCTGCAGCCAGGGCCTCGGACAGCAAGTGAGGAGGAGGCGGCACGTGTGCTTTCTGTGCTGCAGTGTGCTGTGCACAGCGGCCAGCAGGAGCCAGACCCGGGCTGCAGCTGCGGGGCCACAGAAGCTGCTCTGGCATTCGCCTTGAGCTTGCATTGACCGCGCCCGCGCCTGCCCTCCCACTGGGCCCTCGCAGGGTGCACGAGAACACGGTGATTGCAGACCTGCTGGCACGCCACCTGGCGCTCCAGCCAGGCGCCGCCACCAAGTACCACACGCTGCGCGAGTACGGCGAAGCCGGCCTGCCAGCCCTGACGGTGCTCATGCGCAAGGAGCGCACGCCGGTGGGTGGCTGCGCTGTTTTCCGGGGCCCGGCGCCGCCGAACGCTTGCCAGCGGCGCCCTCCAGCGCTTGCCCCCATCAGTCAGACCTCAACTCAGTGATGCCCCATGCCTCAGTCCCATGCCTGCCTCCCAATCATCGCACACCTTGCTGGGTGCTTTTGTGCGGTGCAGGCAAATGCTGTCGAGTATTTTGAGATAGATGTCAGCCGGCCGCTGCGGCAGCAGCTGGCAGGCAAGGTGCTAGTGGAGTTCCCAACCTTCCTGGTGCTGCTGCCACGTGAGCGAGAAGACTATATCATCCTGCCGCCACCAGCAGCACCCGCAGCCGGCGGGGCAGCTGCGGAGCCAGGTGCCAAGGCAGCAGCGCAGCCTGCAGCAGCGGAGCCGGGTGCCGAGCCAGCAGCGCAGGCTGCAGCAGCGGAGGGCGCCGGAATCGCCAAGGAGGCGCAAGCTCCAGCTCCCGCTGGCAGCCTAGCAGCAGCAGCAGCAGCAGCACCTGTCGCTCCTCCCGGCGGCGGCGCTCCTGCTGCGGTGGCAGCAGTTGAAGATGCGCCCGCCAATGGCAGTGCTGGGCCGCCAGCAGCAGAGCCAACGGCCGAGGCAGCAGCTTCACCAGCCCAGTAGGCTGGACTCCGCTGCCTTTGCCCTTCACTTTGTACGTTGCACAGGTCGGGTTGCCTATGTAGAGGGAGGTTTTGTTGTACTTGATTGGTATGCTACGCCCATTGGCGCCCCTTCTGCTCTCGCCCATGCCTTCTCCTCCTTACATGCCGTGTGCAGACCGACGCATCATGCAGCATGAACATATGAAATAAGATAAGATCAAATTAAATCACGCCAAGCAGCTTGAACTCTCAAGATGGGCGATGGGTTGCCGGGCTCACAGGCGGCAGATGTGAGGCGTGCCGGCAGCTGCCTCACAGTCTGGCGGGCACGCAGCTCCGGCAGCTTCCGGTGGCTGGCGCACAGGTTGCGGGTGTGAGGTGTGTAGGCAGCCGCCTCACAGCCCCACTAGCTCTGCACTGACGTCCCACAGCCGCGCCGCCACTGTCGCATCGTACGACTCGCTGCTGCTGGTCTCGGGGCGGCACTTGTTGTAGTACTTTCCAGTCACGCCCTCCACCTCTGGGGAGGAGGCCAGGTAGATGGAGGTCTGCGGTATGGGCAATACAATGCACGGTACCATTGAGGACGGGGCAGGGAGGGAGATGGGCAGGCACATCGAGCGCGTGGTTGTGGCTGGGGATCGGCCCGGCCCATGCACGGCAGTGCATGCCGAGAAGGTGGACAATAGCAGCAGGCAGGCACGCACCCAGCCAAGCCGACCCCCCGCCCACCTGCGCGCCCTGCTCGGGCGTCAGCGAGAAGGCCTTGCCGAACTGCAGCAGCGGCTTCTGCCACCAGGCCGTCTGCCCGGGCAGCAGGTATCGCGCCAGCTCAGTGTCCACCACTCCAGGGTGCAGCGTGTTGGCTGCATGCATGGGCACGCAGTCGCACAGGCGCTGGTGGCATGGCATGCGGCATGGCGGTGCAAATGTGCCTCTTGTAGACGTTGTACGCCCACAGCAGCCCAGCTGCCGCTCCTGCAACCAACACAGGCCCCTGCCAGCGGGTCGACCCACCAACCCCTGCCACTCACCCGTGCAATTGGCGCCGACCGGCAGCCGCCGCGCCAGCTCATAAGAGAACAGCACATTGGCCAGCTTGCTCTGGCCGTAGGCCCTCCATGAGTCATAATTGCGCTGGGACTGCAGATCATCAAAGTTGATGTGCCCAAAGTAGTGGGCGGCGGAGGAGACGGTGACGATGCGGCTGGGGCGCTCGGGGGTGCTGCACATGGCAGGGCATGGCAGCGGTGTGCGAGTGATGTTGGGCGAGGGACGGATGAGCCTGCTCGCAGCACGTGGTGGCTGCGGTGGTGTTTGAAATCAGGGCTGTTCAGAGCGCCCGGGATCACCTCAGCAGCGGCAGCAGCATGTTTGTCAGCAGGAAGTGGCCCAGGTGGTTGACGCCCAGCTGCATCTCAAAGCCATCTCTTGTCTGCATCTGTGGGCAGGCCATCACGCCTGCATTGTTGACCAGCACGTCCACCGGGTGCCCAAAGTCCTGCGCCCGCTGCGCCCAGGCGCGCACGCTGCCCAGGTCAGCCAGGTCCATGACAGCCACCTCCACGCCCCGCGTGTTTTCTGGGACCAGCTCCCTGCCAGGACCAGGGGCAGTGCAAGACAATGGGCAGGAGAAGGTGAGGCGCTCAATTAAAAGCGCAGCTGCCTGCGGAATGGGCGATCGCAGGCCAGGCGGTGAGCGGCAGGCAGCTCACTGCAGCTTGGCGCGTGCCGCCTCGGCCTTTTCCTTGTTCCGGCAAGCCAGCACGACTCGGTAGTCCTGCCTTGCTAGCGCCTTGGCCGTCTCGAAGCCGATGCCTGCGGCAGGTGGGAGGCAAGCGTGTGGGGGGTGGCCTACGAACCAACCCTTCATCTAGTGGAAACAACCATCACTTGGCAGGGAGCGACAGGAAGCCAAGGCAACCCCCTCTACCTGTGTTGGCGCCTGTGATCAAAGCTACGCGGTAGTTCAGCGGCCTGGCAGGAGCGGCGCCTGGAGGCCCGCCCGCTGCCGGCGGCGGGCCACCATCGCCGCCCGCAGCGCATCGCATCGACCTTCTGCCAGCTTCAGGAGCCCAGAGGTGCCGCGTTTGGCTGCTGCCTGTGGCTGCACTCTGCAGGGCGCCAGCCAGGGTGCTGCGGCTGATCGTGCACGCACGCATCTTGAGGCTAGGCAACCGATCTATGCAAATTGCACGGATCCCGCTGGCTGACAGTCGACCACCATCTCGCGGGGCGTGCTGCGGGTGCAGTGCACTGCTGGCGACTGTTTAGGGCCTTCGCACAAGCCGTTGTGGTGCAAACCCGCCGACCCGGCATCATGCCAACACCTGCAGATGTGCGCCGGGCGTTTAAGCTTGGCCAGGGCGCCACTTTGGGCACCAAAGCCCACCAGTTCGTCATAACAAGCAGCAGCGTTGGCCACGAGGTGAGCAGAATGCAGCAGGACGTCAATTGTTGGGGTCTGAAGGGGGCTCAGGGCGGCCCGCGGCGGGTCGGCATGCCCACTGGCGTCCAACCCTGGCCGCCCCCTCCGGCGCTGGCGCATGGGGCGGCACAAAGACTCCGTCCCACTTCCATGCTATCAGATTAAGGAACAGAACGAGCGGTATGAGTTTCCCACGGCGCTGGAGCTGAACTGGCTGCCAGGCACGGCGGCAGGTGAGCACAGGAACGGCCGCTTCCGGCCAGTGCAGGGCGGCAGGGCGGCTCCTGCTCTCCCCTGTGGTCCACTCACCGCTGCCTTGCGCCGTCCTGCATGCAGTGGGCAAGCGGCTGGAGGAGCACGAGCGGATCCTGGCAGACGCTTTCACGGCGCAGACCAGGGCCGAGCGGATCGTGTACAGCGCTTATGGGGTGCGCCTTCCTTGGCTGGCGGCCGAACCGCCACTGCGCCACGCGCAAGCGCCCCACAGCTGAACCAGCCAGCTGGCAGCTGCTGCAGCTCCCCACACGCCAGCATCTGTGCGCTCTCTCCCACTGCTGCGACGCTCTTCAGGCACGCTCTTGCTGCACTGCTTCTGGCTCCATGCGTGTCCTGCAGAGCCCATATGCATGCACCTTTGGCACCCCCAAGGTCGCCGCTAGCAACGGCGAGGGCAAGCACTTCAAGCTGAGCGCTCTGGGCAAGGCGGTACGGCGGCGCGACATCCCCACCCTGGCGCAGCAGAAGGCGGAGGAGAGGGAGGCGGCGGGCGCGCAGGAGGAGGTGTCGCCTGAAGGTGGGCAGTGGCGCAGGGGTGATGCCAAGTAGCCGAGCATGTCCATCCCGCTTTCTCGATCCCATTTTGCTTAGTCTGGGCTTGCCAGCCGCCTCTGCGTCATTGAGACACCATCCACTAAGACAGTCCGCCGCCCGTTTCCTGCTGCCTGTGCCCTGCAGACACGGCCCGCTACCTGCAGAAAGGCGGCTATCGCGTGATCAAGTCGCGCTTTGGCACCAGCAAGTGCAGCCTGTGTGAGGCAGTGATTGACCCGGGAGAGAAGATTGCCAAGGAGGAGGGGAAGAAGGGCAAGGGCGGGTGGGCGCACGCCGCATGCGTGGTGCGTCAGCTCAAGGAGGAGGAGGGGCAGGGAGTGGAGCAGGCAGCAGAGGAGGAGCAGGAGGAGAAGGAGGAGGCTCAGGATGTCAGTGGTAACAGCGGAGCTGCTGCTGCGGCGGCGGCTACAGGCGGTGGACACAAGCGGCAGCGAAAGGCCGCCAGTAGCGGCAAGGCGGCTGTGCAGGCGGGGCAGGGCAAGCAGGCGGGGAGCAGCAAGCGCAGGCGCAAGCAGGCAACCACTGAAGAATAGCCAGGTGGGGAGCACTGGAGCAGCCACCAGTGCGGTGTCCAGCAGGCCTTGCACAGTGCATGCTGCCAGCTTCTGTCCATCTGCAAGCTCATGCTTGCTATTTGATCACATGAATTGCATGCGGCAGCATGAAAAGAGGGAAGATGGGTTGGCTGGCACCGCTTCTGCCTCAAGCGGCAGCTGTTTGGAGTCGAATTCCGCCATCATTGACATCGGGGCTGAGAAGCCAGGCAGAAGGCACAGGCATTTCAGGCCGGGAACGGAGTCAGTGCAGCTGCCATGTGCTGGCCGACAAATGCGGCAGCCTCCTCCTTGTGGTGCTGCCACATGGCCAGCACCTGGCGCCTGCGCGCCTCCAGCTGCCGTGGGGCGGCCAGTGCCCGCTGCACTTCCGCCGCCGCCGCCTCCCAGCTGTCGTGCACCACAAAGGGGATGTCTGGGGTGCGGAAGACCAGCGGCCAGTAGGGCCCGCTGTAGTTCCAGTAGGCGCTCAGCAGGGGGTTGACGCGCATGGCAACAGGAATGGCGCCCGCCTCCTGCAAGTTGCGGCACTGGCGATGAAACACCTTACCTTTGCGGGGAAGCACCCTGTCTGCTCACTCTCTGTGCCCCCCCGCCGCCCCATCGCCAGGGCCCTGCTATCCCCGCTCACAGTGCCATCTCGCCTTCCCTGCTGCGCCTCACCAGAGCCTCGTAGAGGCGGAAGGTGTCCAGGTTGACGTGGCCCAGAGGGCAGAGCACGAACTTTGACGCCAGCAGAGTGTCGCGGTAGGCGGCGGTGGAGAGGCCGTCGGGGGCGTCAAAGTGGCTGGTGGTGTCCGCCTGGTGCGGCTCCAGCCCACGGAACGCCTCCACAGCCCGCTGCCGCTCCTCGTGGTGCAGCGTGCCCGCAAACGACCACGTCAAGCGGCGGTCTGACGCCGGGGTCGCCTCTGCCGTGCGCCCGGCGGCGCCCTCCCAGAAGCCGCGCTTGTATCCCAGCCCCAGGGCGCGCACCCTTGCCTCGGGCGCATGGCCGGGGGCCAGGGCGTACTGGCGCAGCACAAAGCGCATGCCGGGGAGGTCGTACAGCGGGCTGGGGGACTCGCCCAGCGACTCGTCGCTGGGATGCACGATGCCGTAGGCGCAGCTGCCGTTCTTGAACTCCGGCGGCAGCCCCTCCACCAGGCTGATCCAGCGGGCCACAACGATGGTGAAGGCGCACTCGCCGCTGCCGCTGCTGCCGCCGTTGGTGATGGGCGGCCGCGTGCGGCAGCTCACTTGGTCGGGGTGCTGCCGCTGCACGGCGACGGTGTGCCCCGTCCTAGACAGCACGTCCACCAGAAAGTCCTGCTCCCAGAAGTCATGATCTGGGGCCAGCCACACCAGGTGAATGGTGCAGGCTGCTAGAGCATCGTCGGGCACCAACGCAGCTCGCCTGACCGCCACCAGGCGCCAGCCCAGCAGGGCGGCGAACAGGAAGGCCCAGAGGCGGTGAAATCTCTTGAGCGACATTTGGAGCAAGAGCAAAGGGAGCACGGGCATGGGTTGAAGAGGCGCCGGCGCTCAATCCGCCCTTGACGTTGGCGCTCAATCCGCCAGTCCAACTATCCAGGCGGCGCCGTTCAATTGCTTTTGCTCTTACCGGCTGCTGTGTGAAGACAATCAAATGGATGGTGGGCAATGGCAGCAAGCAGTTGAGCGCAGTATGCAGCGGCAGTGTGCAGCGCCAGTACCGCCGCTGGTGCCAGCAGGCCCGTCGAGGTAGAAAGTGTGCCGCTCAAAATGCAAAAGTCAACAAGGCCGGCCTGACTGCAATCCTCTCGTACTCTCTGCTGCGTCTTTGACAATCCCCAGGTGAAGCGAGCAGGGTACGGAATCAGGCAGCAGCAGCGACGAGCTTGAAAAAATGCCGCCCCAGCGGGGCAAGCGGAAGGCCACCGAACCTCCCGCAATCCTCACCGCGTCATCGCAGCGGGAGGAAGTCGAGTCATGGCTGAAGGCATCGATCCCCCTCGACTTAGCTGACCAGGTCTGTCGCCAGCCCTCCCTCCCCCCCTCCCTTCCCTCCCTTTCATCTTTTGAGGATGCAAGTACTTGCTTCAGATCGCTGCACCGCGGTCGCAGGCCGCGCTTGCAGGCTGCCGCCATCTGCCGCCCGCCACCCGCGTCACAACACGCCGCCGCTTCCATCCGCGGCCCCTGCCCCTCCCTGCAGCTCATCATCGAGTGGAACGCCCGCGGGGAGCTGTTTGATGGGCAGACCCTGCTGGAAGCAGACGAGCAGCTTCTCATTGATACGGGGGCCTCCCGCACAGTGGCCAAGCGGATTCTGCTCAAAATTCGAGAGGTGGGTGGTGCCAGCTGGAGCCCGCCTGCATGCAGCACCCACTGAGCAGCAAGGAGGCAAGCAGGCAGGACAAGCCCAAACTCTTGATTGACTCTCTGTGTGCGCGCCTCTGCATCCTTGCTTGCAGATGCCGGCGTTCAGCAGCCCTGAGGAGCAGCAGGTGGAGCGGCAGGCCTCGGCAGCTGACGAGGTAGAGGACGAAGAGGCAGAGGAGGAGCAGCAGCAGGAGGAGGAGGACAAGGAGGATGGGGCAGCGCTGGAAGATCATGCCATGCCGCTGTCAGCTCCCCCCGCTGCCCGCCGCCGCTCGGGCAGGCGGCCCCAGCCAGAGGAGGAGCAGGAGGCTGGCGGCAGCCAGCCATGCATGCTCACTCGGCGCCAGCGCAAGCAGCTGGAGGCGGCGGCGGCGGCGCGGCAGCAGGATGGCGACACGCAGCAGCAGGAGGAGGCTGAAGAGCGGGCCCAGCAGCAGCGGCGCAGCAGGAAGGCACGCATCAGCTCGGTCGTGGTTGCGAGCCGCCCGTCGCAGCCTACTGCGCGGGTGGAGCCCCAGGTGCAGGTGTGCTTGCATGAGCTGCTGTCTCTGCTGCCTGCCTGCGTCATTGCAGAGCAGCCCTCGCACATCCACTGCTCTGGTGCTGCCCTTATGGCAGCTTCTTCTCCTGCCTGCCATCGGGTTGGCCCTCGGCACTGACAATACGGCGCTGCGTCCCCTGCAGGCTGCCCAGCAGGATGCTGGCGAGGCAGAGGAGGACCTGGGTGAGGAGGAGGAGGTGGTGGAGGAGGAGGTGGTAGAAGACTTGGGCCCGGAGGCGCGCAGGTGCGGCCCGGCAGCAGGCTACGCCCACTTGCGCCATCTCAAGTCCCACGCTGTTCGCACGCCCTGCTGCTGCGCAACTCAAATCACAGATCTCTGCCTGCCTGCCACCTATCTTGTCCTGCTCTCCTCACCTCCCTGGCCAATCTTCCCCTGCCTGGCCTGGCCTGCCCACCCGCCTGCCTGCCTCATTGCAGCGGCCAATACTCAATGGGTTGGGAGGGCCGCTGCCGGCAGGGCTTGGAGGAGATCCTGCGGGACTTCATGTCACTAGAGAAGGCAAGCCGGGGAGGGCCAACCCTGTTCAGCCCTGTGCGGCATGTGTTTGCGCATGTGTGTTGGCTGTATGGAGGCAGGGTGGGTGCCTGCATAGAGGTGTGATTCGATGCTGACGTTTGCCCGCCTGCTCGCCTGCCCGCTTGTCACTCATGCAGCTGACTGAACTGGTGGATTTCATCGCTGAGGACTGGGATGAGCAGGCCGCCAACTGCCTGGGCGACAAGAAGCAAAAGGATGGATACAAGTGGGGTCGCTGCCGCCGATGGCTGCCGCTGCTGGCTCATGTCTCGCAGCATTACAGCCGTTATTAGTAGCAGCTGGTTTCTAATCGCCGATGCTTGCTGCAGGCGGTGGGTGGAGTACAAACGCACCGATCCGATCGTGAAGAAGCTGATGCGCCTGCTCTTCACCGGCACCCTGGATGGCAAGCCCAATGCGGATGATGGTGAGGCCAGCGGCACGTAGGGCAAGGCCTGGCTGGGCGGTATGGTGTGCGGGCCTGCTGTCCACACCAGCTGCGCTGTCCTGTTCTCTGGTTCGCCCGCCCATGCGCTGGCCGGTGCCCCTCCCTGCTGCAGCCGGTGGCATGAGCAAGGATGGCCTTCGGGAGCTTCTGCAGACCGAGTACTGCCAGGAGGCGGTGGCGGCTTTTGTGGAGCAGCGTTTGCGCCTGCGCTACCAGGCACTTGCCGCGGCGCCGGCCTCGGGGCAGGCTTTTTTCTCTTTTCACTCCCCACAGCTCCCCGATTCATGTCGCCAGCCTCGCCCGGCCTCACATGTTGCCAGCTGCCGCTGCCTTGCAGAACCTGCCTGCCACCGAGGACCCCCACACCCTGCTGTGGGACTGCTGGAGCTTCCCCCAGGGCCCCGCTCTGCCCATTGAGCAGGTGGGGAGGCAGGGGAGACTGGCCGCTGGCGCAGTGCGGTTATGGGTGGGGGAAGTGCGGGAGCAGCAGCCTGGAGACCACAGCAGGACCCTTCTGTCCTCTTCCAAGCAGAACCTCCAAACCAGCCGTCCCCTCGCTCTCCTCGGCTTCTCACTGCCGCAGATCATGCTGGGCCGCCGCGCGCTGCGGTATGTGTCGCTGGGTGGGCAGGCAGCCGCCGAGCTGGAGCCGGGGCGGGACGGCGATGTGGGCTGGGCGCATGTGTGGAAGGCGCTGCAGGCTGGAGACCTGGTGCTGGAGAATCAGGTGGGCGGGGCATGGGTGACAGGGTAGGCGGGGTGGTGGGGGTGAACTGCCCCTGCTGCGTGTCTCGCCTGCACGTCAGCCAGGGCGCGTGCAGCCCAGCCCAACACACACGGCTGCGGTGCGCCATCAGCTCGCTGCCGCGCCTCTCGTCATTGGTTGCTCTGCTTGCGATGCGGTGTATGTTTGCTGGGTGCAGGCGCAGCACTGGCGGTGGCTGGAGGAGGTGGACAAGTACAGCGCCACCACCAAGTGCTCGGTGGGGGCCCACATCAACCGCCAGCCGGGCTGCCGCTCCCTGAAGCTGGTCCTGTACGTCACCTGGCCCAAGGACCGCCCCGGCGCCAACCTGGTGAACACGGTGTGGAAGCGCAGGACCGAGGGGATGGATTTCGACACCTGCGAGGTGGTGGTTGAGGAGGAGATGGTGGCTGTGGACCTGGCGCTGCTGCTGGGCCAGCTGGATCAGCACCATGGTACGCCTTTTGCCGAGCAGATGCACAGGTGGGGCGGCGCTGGCATGCGGTTGGCAGTGGCTCCCTGGGGTGGGCCACGCAAAACAATGCAGCCAGGCTTGGATGAGTGGCTCGCACCACCACTGCTGCTGCATCCACGCCCAACCACAACTCTTTCCCTCGTGGGCATTCTCTTGAGCGTACAGGCTGAAAGCAGCAGCGGCGGCGACTGACCTGGAGGTGGAGGCGCGAGGCCTCGACAGCGTGCTGCCGCCCGACGCACCTCTGGGCAAGGGGCAGGTGGGTGCAGGCTGTGCGGCACACTTTTTCGGGGCCGCTGCTGGTGCTACAGGGTGCCGGCTGCATTCAACTGTGCCTGCTCGTCTCCCTCACCACCATGCCTTCTTCTCCTACCTCTGGCCCTTTTGAGGCCTTCAAGTGTCTTCCTTGTTTTCTCCCGCACACAGTTCGACGGCATCGTCAAGCGACTGGTTGAGGCGGTGCAGCGGCCCGTCCCGCCAGAGGTCAAGCAGCTGTGCGGCAGCAGCTTCAAGCTACAGGTGCGCTGCCCTGTGCCTGCGGTTTGCGTGCTGCGTCCTGCTTCACATGGTCTGGTAAACGCAGAGTGCAAATGCAGCAATGCTGTGCGTGCACAGGCGGCACAATGCTGTGCCTCATCCCTGCTTGGCTTGTCACCCCCTCACCTGCCTGCAGCTGTCGGCATATCAGCAGCGGACCGTGGCCCACATGCTAGCTGAGGAGCAGGCGCCTGGCGGCTCCTCCCGCCACCTCTGGGTGCAGCTAAACCTGCCCAACCACCCTGGTGCGCATGCGCGGCTGCAGGAAGTGGGGACGCAGCGCACAGCATGCGGCTCGCAACGCTGCCTCGCTTTCCTTGGCCTGCCGCCGCCCCGCTTCTGGGCAGTTTGCCATGCGGTGCCTTGCGCCCACCGCCCGATCCTCACAGCTGCTGCGGCTTTGCTGCTGGTTCTGCAGAGGTCTTTGCCTTTATTTGCCCAATCACGGGCCAGATGCGCTTCACCACCAGCAAGATCGAGGCCCAGCAGTGGGTGCACGCCTGCGGCGGCACTGGCCTGGTGGCGCTTGAGGTGAGGCGGCGCCTTGCTGGTGCAACGGGCAGGCCTCTAGGCCATAGTTTCTGTGCTGGTCGTTGCTGCTACTCTGCTCCGCAGGTCAGACTGATTCAGAGGCAGCATCGGAAAGCTGATGGCAGCTTTTAACCACCTGCATCCCCTGCTTTGCCCTGCTTTGCCCTGCTCTGCCCTGCACAGGTGGGCATGGGCAAGACCGCCTGCGTGGTGGCCATCATCCAGCTGAACCCTCCGGCCGCCGGGTGGCGCAAGAACCGCGCCCACCAGACCCTGCGCTCCAACGACCACCTGTGTGAGCCTCCCAGTAACATGCTGGGCCGCCAGCTTCCCTGACCGCAGCACCAGGCTGTGCTGCCGTGCAGAAGTGCTGGAAGGTTGCCGCCAGATCCGCTGCTGGCTGTCACACCTGCCGGCTGATCCAGGCTGGCGGTGCTCGTCTTGCTGCCATGCGTGCAGCGGCCATCGTCAACAACATGCCCCACGGTGGCACGCTGATTGTGGTTCCCACATCCATTGTCAACCAGTGGTGAGGTAGCAAGCGGGGGTGGTTCGACGGGAAGTCACCATTGGAGCCTGCCCATTGTTGTAACACAGTTGTGCACCAACTGCTGTGGCTGGCCTGCAGGGAGGCCGAGTTCCGCAAGACCACAGCCCACCGCCTCACCCTCCTCAAGTGGGTGGGCGGCACCAAGGCGCAGCCGCTGGTGCACGACTGCAAGATGCTGGCCAGCTTCGATGTGGTGAGGCGCGGCTGCGGCGACCTGGCCCGGCTGGCTGGCAGCAGGGCAGGACATGTTTGCTGCTGGGGGGCAGCCCAGGAGCTACCCTGCACTTGAGGCCGAGCGTGCGCTGCGCCGTGGTGGCTCCTCACTTGCTGTTTTTGCCTGCAGGTGATCTGCGACATCAACACCCTCAAGCACTCCTCCAATCTGCAGACCATCCGGTGCGAATGATTTGCCCATCAGCTCTGTCGATGCACATTTTCTTGTGGCCTTGCCCTGCAGCTGGCTGCGGCAGCAATTCGCACAGCACAGCCTGTGCCATTGCTGCCCCACATTTTCTCTCCTGGCCGCCCCATCCCCCCTGCAGCAATGTTTTCTGGCACCGCATCGTGATTGACGAGGTGCAGCAGCAGAGCAGCCTGCTGGCCGATGGCGAGCTGATGGCCTGCCACCGCTGGGGCCTCTCTGGCACGCCCGACAACGACAACAACCGTGAGAAGCCGCCGTGGCGTGCCTGCAGCAGTCCATGCGGCACGTTCCGTCCACTGCCACTGCTCCTGGGCAGTAGCTGACAGGGCCTTGGCGACCGTGCTCAGGCTGCATGGGTGCCTGCTGCTCTCCAAGCTTCAAATCCCCAGCCCCCAACCCTCACTGGAAGTACTCGCTCCCCTTGCCGCTGCAGTGGACACGATGGCATCCCTCTGGTCTTTCCTCAAGCTGGCGCCCCACGCCCCTGTCTTCACACACTATCCCGGGGCGCTCACGCATGTGCTCAAGGTTGGTAGATGGTGACGTGCTCTCTCCGCCTGCCTGCCTTCCTGACGTTGTTCATGCGCAGCAAGCCGGCTCCGGCTGGGATATGATTGCCACCAGAAGAAACGCAGGCGCCCCCCACGTGTCCAGCTGGCGCCTGCTGATTCCGCCTGCCCCCTCCTGGCCTGCAGAACTCGATGGTGTTTTACAGCAAGGCGGGCAAGATTGATGGGCGGGTGAACCTGGAGCTGCCGCCCACCAAGGACAGGGTCATCACGTGTGAGTGCCTGAATGTTTCGCCCGCGCAGTGCGTGCTGAAGTCTGCAACCAGCAGGCACGGCGCAGGCGTAGGCGGCAGCAGCTGGGTTTTGGCGAGGAGTCATGAATGGCAGCCAGCCGGACACCCGTTGCCATTGCCCTTTGCTGCCCCTACCGACCGGCTCGCCTGCCTGCCGCCCTTGCTTGCAGGTGATCTGAGCGAGGAGGATGCGCGGTGGTACCGCCAGACGCAGCAGGACCAGGTCGACAAGTACTATCAGATCATGTGGAAGGCCAGGCTGGACCCCGAGCATGTGGAGGGTGCGCCACACACACCTGCCAAATGGCTGGCGGGCAGTAACGGCTTGTACCAGCGCTGCCTGTGGCATACCTCATTGATGCGCTGCTTGGCACCTGCTGGTGCCCCCGTTGACCCCTACCCTTCACCTCCCGCCGCCCCGTTGGCCCCCGTTGCTGCAGCCATGATGCAGGGCCCCGATTGGGAGGATCACAAGCTGGACCTGGGCAAGCACATGAACAAGCTGCGGGCGCTCGTGGGGCCACTACGCCAGGCGGCGTCATGTGAGTGTGTGCTGCGGGGGACCAGCCTTGGGCTGGGTCCAGGCTGGCGGCCAGGCCAGCACTACCACCAGAATCACCACCGCCACACGCGCATTTCTGCTGCAGGTGCCTACAAGCAGCCCACCGGGGAGCAGTACTACGATGCGGCCACTGGGCGGTACAAGAACGTGACCTACACCTTTGACAGCAAGGTGGGATGCAGTTGGAGGGGAGCGATGTGCGGTTGGGTAGAGCCGAGGCACCTTCATGGAATGCCGGATGGGCAAGCGGACTAGAAGCCATCAATCCTAACCAGAAGGCAGCCCCTCTGATCTGGCACTCTACTTTCGCAGGTGGAGAAAGTGCTGGATGTGCTGCGCGGCAAGGGCGCCTCGGAAAAGGTGGTGGTGTTCAGCGAGTACAAGGCGCTGCTGCAGGTGGGAGTCACAGCCGGCGTCAGCTGCTGGGATGCAGGCAAATAGGAGGGCCCCGCTCGCTTTGCTTGCCTGCTCGTTTGTTAGCTGCCTGCCCGCCTGCCTCGAGTCCCTTGCCGTGAGCCTCAGGAGGCTGCAGTGCACCTGCCTTGCGGCTGCAGGCGGTGAAGCGGCGGCTGCCGGAGCTGGGTCTGGACAGCCGGGACCTGCTGACCAACGCCAAGTCGGGTGAGCGGCAGCGCTGGGGTTCAAGCGGGGGCAGGCGGGGGCCAGGCAGTCGGAAAGGGCTGTGATGGGGGGAGGGCTGGCCGTTCCAGTCGGTGCCTGTTCATCTCCCAATCGCCGCCTGCACGGCCTGTGCCACCCTCATTGCCACATTCATCGTGCCAACGATGCGCTGCCTGGCTTGCGTGCCTGTGCCGCCCTGCCAGTAGAGAAGCGCGGCCAGGCGATTGCCGACTTCCAGCAGGCGCCCCCCACCCAAGTCTTCTTCCTCACCCACCGGTGAGCGGTGGCTGCATCAATGCCAGCTAAAAGTGCAGGCTTCGTTGTTTGCTTCCTCTGCCTGCCCATCAGCAGCGGACCACGTACTGCACGTCACGGCCGCCCCGACGTTGGTCGCCTGTCCTCTGCTGCCGCAGGACCGGTGGCGCGGGCGTGACGCTCACCGCCGGCACACATGTGGTGCTGTGCGAGCCCGTGCTGAACCCAGCCTTTGAGGAGCAGGCCATCGGGCGGTGCAACCGGCTGGGGCAGCAGCGCGCAGTCACGGTGACGCGCCTGATCATGAAGGGTGGGTGGGCTGCTGGCTGGGTGTGATGGGCAGCTGGCGGTCGGTGCATGTAGCGTGGGCGAGAGGCACGGCTGGTGTATGCGCATGCCTGTCCGCCACCCTGGTGGAAAAAGACGCGTGCTGACGTTCCGAGCCCACGGCGCCACCAACCTCTGTTCTCCATGCTGCAGGGACGATCGAGGAGAAGATTGTTGAGTACATGAAGCAGCGCGATGGCAGCACCGACGACGACCTGGAGGATGGTGCAGGTGTGGCGGTCGCCTGCAATCCAAGTCCGGTTCTGCTGCCTCTGGTCCATGACTGGGCAAACAGCTGTTGCTGCTCAAGTCAGGATGGGCTGCTAGCTCCAATCGTGTACAACTTGGGTGTGCTCGGCCGTGCCCACCTGCGCTGCTTGCAGCCCCGGTGGACCGCAGCAGCAAGCTGACAATCGAGGACCTGCACTGGCTGGTGTATGACACAGAGGCGGTGGGGGAGACGGGCAGCAGCTGATGCTCGGCAGGGACTGATGTACCGGACTGATTATCGACGTGACTGATCAAATGACGCACTGGTGGTACTGTTGACCGCGGCGGCGCTATCCATGGCTGCTCCTGACTGCCAAGACGGGCTGCAGCAGCCCGAGTGACGGCGCTTGTACGTGTACAGGACTACAACGAATGATGCATATGGCTGCCTCTGGTAGCGATTCATCTGAGCTCTCTCAATTGCTCGAGCTTTTGCTGACGCCTGGTGGCGGCGGCACACCCTGGGACGCATACATTTCCCTGGCAAGATTTGTCTTGTGAATTGCAACGATCAGAACAGATAATGGGGCGAATATGGGGTGCCAGCAACCTTGGACACGTCAGCAGATGCTCTAGATTGGCAGTCCTGCAACACAGTGCGCATTCCCCACGCGGCAGCCATGCTGCGCAGGGCGGTGTGCTCGAGGCTGGCAGCCGCCAGGCTGCTGCTGTGCCCGGCGGCGGCGGGCGTGCCCAGTGGGCTTGCTCCCCTGCAGGCTTTGGAAGCCGCAGCGGTGCCAGTTCTGCTCACAAACGCCTTCCACAGCGATGTGGCCTTTGGGTGGGCGTCCAGAGAGCAGCGGGCGGACGCCGCCGCCGACGCCGCCAGCGCCCTGGCGTCTGCCGGCGACACCGCAGCCGTCAGCTCTGCTGCTGCCACCACGGGCGGAGAGCGGCTGGAGAAGGGAGGGATGGCTCCTGTTGATTTCCAGGAGCTGTCAGAGGAGGAGTTTGGAACGGTGGGGGGGCCTGTGCCGTGCCGCCGTTGACTGTGTCGCAACATCTGTGGCAACCCACAGATGCCGTGGTGCAGGTGGCTGACCTGTACCTTGGGGGCCTGTGGACTCGCATTGAGCGGGGCCTGCGAGAGGCGGAGGGCGAGGTGCGGCCCCTTAGCATTGGCCCTGAGGCAGCAGAGCAGTCAGCTGCCAGTGGCCAGTTGGGCCAGCGCTTGCGTGCCTGGGGCTGGGTTGGCTCCTCCTCGCCCTCACCCTGCACTCCATCAGCCGTCCTCCCTCTCCCCCCCTCACCCGTGTGCAATTTTTTCATGGCATGTTTCAGGAGTTTGATTATGAAGTCAAGCCGGAGCGCGGTGCCATGCACGTGCTGCTGCCATACGACGGCCAGCTGGTGATCAGGTGCGCCAGAGCAATGTATGACAGAAGTTACGCACTCACAACTTCTCTCCTGGTAGCAGCCTAGCAGATACTTGCTCCGTGCGCCCATTGCCCCGCAGGAAGGATCCTCAGCGCCGCATGCTGGTGGTGGAGAGCAACCTGTTTGAGCCGTTTGAGGACAAGGACTTCCAGGAGTTCAGGCGCGTAGGGCAGATGCAGGCATGGGAGCAGCCAGCATCTGCCGCAGGCGGGCAGCGTTTGTGGGAATGCGGCTGTGTGTGCCTGCCAGGAACCTCCAGCGATTTTCACAGATGACGCAGAGCGCATTCACAGCTTGCCACTCAGAATGGAATTGGTATACTTTATACTCCACCATGCCATGTCACCGGCGGTGACCGCCGCATGGGTGTGCCATGCGTGCAGGCCCATGGGTGAGAACAGCTGGGCGAACGAGGACGGGCAGAGCCTGTCGGAGTTTGTGAGCGCGGCGATGAGCAAGTACCTGAGGGCGCAGGTGCAGGTGTGAGGCGGAAAGGAAGAAAGAAGCGGCGGTAATGCACGCGCCCCGGCCAGCCACAGCTGAACGCTGCGGCCCCAAGCCAAACTGACAAGATTACACTAGCGGATTCTCCCGCCCTCGGCGCCTGCGCCCTCTCTGATCATGTGCCCTGTGCCGCACCTGCATGCTGTTCCACCCTCCAAAGTCGCCAAACTGCCTTCTGTTGCAATACAACAATGAGAGCCACATGTCAGTATAGATGATGCAGGAGAAGGGATTGGGATGCAGGAGAAGGGAGTGGGATGCGGAGAAGGGAGTGGGAATGTCTCAGCAGGCTGTCAATGCGTACAGCAGCCAGAAGCAGAGCCCGCCGTCAAAACAATTCAACAACGGGTTTGAGCAGCCCAGCGCGAGCTACAACTCGGGCCTCAGTCTTCCATGGCCATTGCTTCGCCTGGCAGCAGCTCCGGCGGCAGCACGACAGCCGCTGCTACAGCCAGCGGCCCCGCATGTGCCGGCGCCGGCGCTGCCGCAGCCTGAGGCGCCATGGCCTCGCGCAGCGCCACGACCGGGTCGCTGTAGTGGGTGCCTCTGAATTGGAAAGCAATCAGCTGCAGGTGGGTGGCGCCCGCCAGCGCGGCAGGGTATCCGGCGGCGAAGCGGTTGTGAGAGAGGTCCAGAGTCTTGAGGCTTCGCAGGTACGGCCCGCCAGGCAGCGTCTGCATCACACAGAAGGCCGCAGGGAGGATGCAGGGGCCGGACGAAACTAGGTCAAAATGCGGGCAGCGTTGCTGGGCGTGTGAAGTGGTGGGCATCAAGGGCAATGATTTTGCTGGGTGTGAAAAGTGGTGGGCCAGCAATGCCTTCACTTCATAAAACGTGCCTTGGCAGCGCTCGACCAACCCAAGGATAGGCGAGGCCCTCCTTCTAGGCCTGCTCACCTGCAGCTGGTTGATGTTCAGCCTGAGGAGCTCCAGGCGGCTCAGGCCGCACACAACTGGCGGCAGCACGGTGAGCTCGGTGTTGGTAAGGGTCAGGTGCCTGAGCTGCCTGCAGTCCACCGGGAGGAGCACAGGCCGGGCGCCATCTCAACACTCCCATGCGCTGCATGGTGCTGCTGCCAGAAGGCGTGCTGCGCATGGCAGCACCGACAGCTGTCGCTTCCATGCCAGCGAAGGTCAAGCCACTCACGTGAGCTGGCTAAACTCCCGAGGCAGGTCGGCAGCAGCCGAGCCCCACAGATTGCCGCCCAGGTTGAGCCCCTGCAGGGATGTCAGCTCCCCAACCACCGCCGGTGCCCCCGCCTCAAATCCATTGTACTGGAGCTCCAACAGCGTCAGCGCCGTCAGCTGCATCAGAGGCAGATTAGGGGGGTGCATTGGAAGGGCTGGGCGGGGTGGGCGCGCCAGATGGTACTCAAACGGTGGCGGCTGGGAGGCCGCACAGCCATCGGCAGGCATGCAGGGCCAGTGCGCCCCTGGCAGACCTGGGTCAGCTCTTGCGGCAGCGCGTCAAGCTGCGCGCCCAGCCGGTTGCGCCCCAGCAGCAGCTCACGCAGCGACCCCAGCTTTCCAATTGAAGGCGGGATGCGCTCCAGGCCGAGGTTGATGAGGTGCAGCTCCTCCATCTGGAAGCAGCAGTAGCGAAGAGGGCGATGGAGAGGGTGAGAGTAATACGGAGGAAGGGAGGTAGGGAGCAGGACAGCAAATAGCAGCCACGCCAGGCGGCCGCTTTGTGAGAGGTGGAGGTCAGCGGGCTCGCTGCCACCGCTGAACAGCTGCCCGCGCCTGCCGCAGCGCCTTAGCACACCTGGCGCCCCCACTCTGCGATGCTGTCGGGCAGCACGCAGGTGGCGCCGTGGATGGGTCCATACGGCGCCTCCAGGTGCAGCGTCCGCAGGCGGCGCAGCCGCGTCAGGCGGCCGGGGAAGGGGCCCCTGAAGACGCTGTGCTGGCCGCGGCGGCGCAGCAGGCAGATCGACAGCGCTTCCAGCTGCGGCAGGCTGTCTGCCAGAGCGTCCAGCTCGGCAGTATCTACAGGGCCTGACGTGTGCAGGCACAGGCGGCGCAACGCCGTGAGGCAGCCCAGGCTGGCCACCGTGCCTGGCGCCAGGGTGATGGAGCTGCGCCCCAGCTCGAGCGTGTGCAGCCCCACGGGCGGCGACAGGGCCGACCAGACGGCAGCCAGGGCGGCATGCCGCCCCGCCTGCCCCAGCGGCAGCAGCAGGTACCGAAGGTTGGTGAGGCGCAGGGTGCGCATGCCGGCCGCACGCGGCGCGACCCAGGCGGCCAGCCGCGCCCAGAAGAGGTGGGCGTCTGCAGCATCCTCCAGCGGCGGGTCTTGGAGGAGGCCGTCCACACTCAGCTGGCGCCAGCAGGCGCCGGGTGACGCCAGCGCCGCCGCAAAGCCCCTGCACACCAGGGGTGCCGTGGCCCGCCTGCAGCAACAGGGGTGGGGGAAGGGAGCTCCATGGGCTCGCTTTGGAAGCAGTGAGGTGTGGCGTTTGATTGGTGGCCGCTGCTGTGGCTGCAGCCGCGGCCGAAGGCGGTGTTACCGAAGGCCGCCGCCAGCGGCCGCCACCGCGCTGCCTCCCAACCCTTCCGGCGTGCGGCAGTGGGCAAAGGCAGCTTGCATTCAGCGTTTGCAGGACTCACAGCTCGTGCTGCTCTACGTTTGCGAGTATCGCTTGAAGAAGGTCGACACTCGCAAGCACGGCGCTCAACGGCTCGTACATGGTGCAGGCCGCTCCGCGGGAGCGCCTGGCACGATTGCAGGCGCTGAAACCGGGTAGGCACTCATTTGACCACATGGCGACGGCGCCAGCGGGACGGCGCTCCAGCATCCAAACACATGGCTGTGCCACCTTCATTTCGCGAGAAATGTTTTGAAAGTGGGACACGAAAGTAAGTGAAAGAATAATCATGCACAGCCGCCACGCGTCACGCCGCTGGCAGCGCCGCCGCGGCTGCCGGCACCGCCGCCCGCTCAGACTCGGGCAGCACGGTCCAGTGGGGCGAGCACGTGGCCCGCAGCCAGCCAAAGTCGTTGACCTGGCGCCACATGGCGGCACCATCCTCTGCCAGCCCCTGCTCCTCAAGGTCCCGCTGCGCTCCTGGGTAGGCGGGCGCGTACGGCGCAAAGCGCAGCCCCGCCGAGTGCTCGATGATGGGGTGGCTGCGCACCCGCAGGTAGAAATCTGTGGCGGCGGCGGAGTGGATGCGCACCTGGCGCGCCGCAATCATCAACGTGCTGTCGCTGGCGCCTGTGGGGCGGGCGAGGCACAGGGGCACACCAGCAAAGCCCATGCAAGGCCGCACGGGTCAGCAGCCTGTGGCACCAGGCGAGTCGTGGCGTGCCGCCACGGCTGCCGCAAGGCCAGCTGAGGCGAGCCCGCTTACCTTCCACAAAGCAGGCGCCCGCCACGGGTCCCGTATAGACCCTGCAGCGCCGCAGGCCGTGCAGGAACAGGGCTGCCAGCGGGGCTAGCAGGTAGATGGTGCACTCTTCAAGGTCTGACAGCGTGAACTCCTTGCCGGCCGCATCCTCACGGCTCAGTATCAGCACCTGGCCCCGAAGGCCGCTGATGGTGCTGCCCTGGGAATTGCCGCTGTCGGGCCCGCTGATAGCAGCGCCTTGCTGCTGCCCTGCAGACTGCTGCTCTGCAGGCAGCTGCATGTCCTGCTGTGGCTGGCTGCTGGCGGGCGGGCCTGTTGCCAGCGCCCCGTTGCTGCTGGTAGTGTCGCTGCTGGCAGCGTCGCCTTCCGGCTCCTTTGGCGCTGCTGCCTTGCGGTTGAACGCAAACCGCTTGCGGGGCTGCAGGGCAGCTGCTGCCGCCTCCTGCTGCTCCCGCAACGCGGCCAGGGCCAGCGTGGCCTGGCGCAGGTCGTAGGCTGGGAGGAAGTATGTGGCATCGGCCACTGCCTGCGGGGCGACAAGAGGTCCAGGCACATTGATGGCTGGCTTATGCCCTCCCACCGATGCCAAGCAATGCCAGATTCATCTACTCATGCACCCCCCCACCCACCCCACGCACCTTCTCCAAATCCGCAATCTGCTTAGCAAGGGCCGTCAGCTCTGCCGTGCCGCTGCCGGGCTCCCCTGCAGCCGCCGCTGACAGCGCTGCCTCGAGCTGCTGCCGCCGCTCGGCAAACTCCTCCAAGAAAGCGTCTACGGACTCCCGAGGATCGGCGGTGACCTCCAGCTCCTCTAGGCGCCTGGCAGTTGTGGCGGTGCGCTGCTCCTCTCGCTCTGCCAGCCGCCCAAGCACGCGCTCGCGCTCCGAGCCCGCCGCCGCTGCCGCCACCGGGGCATCCAGCACCTCGATGACGCAAGCCTGCTGCTGCTGCTCCCGCTTCACCATGGGGACCAGCGGGCCTGCTCAGACTGGAGAGAGCTGCCAGAGGGAGGCGGCCGGAGATCAGTTGACTTGCGGCAAGCACTGCGGCCCTGGCAGCGCCGCCGGACGCTGCAGCAGTGACCTGAAGCCTACACCAATGCCCAATTGCTTTGTGGCGATGCATGCGGGGTCTGGAAAGATTGCCCGCCCTGCCCACATGGAAGCGCGCACTTGTCTCGCCTCTCCCGCCCTCTCGAGATTCCTGCAGGCTTGCCACGTTCTGTATTCGCAGTGGCAGACCTCGGCTGGCACCCGTGGACCCCGCATCTACGCCATCTGCAACCCCAGCTCACTCCCACGGTCTTGATTCCGTGAGATCTGCTGCCCACAGGCTACCAAGGTGCGCCCTGGCCTTGATGGCGCTCCACGCCCCGCTCCGCCACATGCAGGCCAAATGACGCAACTCCCGCCCGGCGGCCGCCTGCCTGACGCCGTTCTCCGCCTCGCTCATCCTCCTCAATTCCGGGGCCCGCCTGTCCTTGCTGCAGCGCTGATGAACAGCAGCGCGATGTCCAAGCAGGGGCCCAAGGTCACAGACCTGTTTCGGCAGTCAAAATCTCGAATCCCCGCGACCCGCGGCAAGAAGGCAGAGCCGTCAGCAGCTGCAGTTGCGCCACCGCAGGCAGCAGCAGCAGCACCGCCGGCAGACGCCGAGCAGGATGCAGCCGACGAGGCAACGCTGCGCCAGTTCGATCTGGACAGCCGCTTTGGGCCCTGCTCTGGCATCACGCGGCTAGAGCGCTGGGAGCGGGCAGTTGAGCTGGGGCTGGACCCACCGGCAGAGGTGCCGCAGCTGGTGCGGCGCCACGGGACCAATAGCCTGTTCAACAAAGACCTGTTCAGCGAGGAGAAGCCCTTCTGAGTGCCTTGCTGATGCTTACACAACCGCACTTCTGAAAAGCGGCGGCACCGGCATGTCCCTTCTGTCAAACATAATCGGCCTTGATTGTCGCCTGCGTTTACCAACCTCCTCTACTACACCTTGCCCTTGTAACCAATCTTGTAACAAACAGAAGCTGGCAGCTCACCACCGCACCGGCAAGCCTAAAGCTGGGCACCTACTGTGCAGCGTCGTCGTTACCAGCTGCCAGCTGCTGCACCAGCCCGCGATGCGTGTTCATCACCTCTTCCATCGGAGCCTGCAGCGCTACCGGCCCCCGCTCCTGCGACTGCTCCTGCGCCGGCGCACTGTCTGCTGCTGCAGAGGGAGCTCCCTCGGGGCACTCCTCCAGCAGCAGTGCGCAGCTTGTGGCCAACGCCTCTGCCGCAGAAGCAAGCTCTTCTGGGTCTTGAGGCGGGTAGGTGGCCGCTGCAGGTGCAGGGGACCAGCGCGACGGCGCAGTGCTGGGACAGCTGCTGGACAGAGCAGCACAGAGCGGGGCGGTGGAGGGCAGTTGCGGGCCTCCTCGCAGTTGCTGCCCTGTGATGGGCAGCGGCTCGGCATGATGAGCTGCCTTGATGGGCTGCCGCGCACCTGAGAGGTCATCGCACAGCGGGCTCAGCGTCTTGACATGATACAGCATCGACTCCCACCCCTCCACCGCCTCCTCGCCCAACCCCTCCCTGCATGACAGACAGGGATAGGGGAAGTCGAGGAGATGAGGACCCAGTCGCCTGAAAAGGGCAACAGATGGTGCAGCCACCATGCCGGCAGCAGCTGCCCGGCGCTCTCGACATGCAGGCCACCGGCGGGCTGTGGCAGGCCACGGCCCGCCCATCCCTGGACGCACCTCTCCGCCAGCAGCTGCCTCACCACCGCCCTGACCAGGCCCACAGTGGCTGCCAGCATAGCGCGCACGTGCCGCGCCACCGCCACCTGCTCCGCGCCAAACGCCTCCTCCTCAAACCCGAAGCCCGCATCAGAGTCGGCATCATCTTCTGCTGCTGCTGCCGCAGTGCCGTTCTGCTGCTCGGCGCTGGCGCTGCCGTTGGCTGCACCTGCCTCTTCCTCCGCTTCGGCCGCCTGCACTGCCTCGCTCAGCTCCTTCTGCGCATCTGCCAGCTGCTTCAGGACCTGCAGCATGCATAGCATATTTATGAGATGAGTGCCCAGCATGGTGCAAGCCATTGGGCCTCAGCACGGCAGCAGGGCTGGCAGGGCTGGCCGACCTGGCCCCAAAGCACGCAGACAACTACCAACAAATGCCGGTAGCCATACACACACAGGAACAGAAGATGCGCACCCACCCGCGTGATGGCGCGGCCAATGGCTGTGCGGTTGTTAAGCGGCGCCTTGCCGGCAGCTTCCAGCATCTCCAGGCAGAAGCCAGACAGCACCATGAGCTGAGGGCCGCGCAAGCCGCCAACCACCGCGCCCCTGCGGCAAGCCAGGCATCAGAGAGTGGGCCGACAGACAGGGCTCGCCTTCCATGTCCCATGCCGGCACATGAGCAGCCGAGCCATGCCGCTAACTGGGCAAGCAGGCAGGCAGGAGGCACGCCATTTGGGCACCTGATGAGCGCCGCGCAGGCCTCGACAACCGACGTGGCGGTCTGATGCAGGCTCTGGCGCAGCGTGGGCCCGCCGGCGGCGGCGGCGATGGATGTGTAGAGCATGCACAGCGTGCAGACGGCTTGCTGGAAGCCCCCCAGCAGGGCTGTAGCCTCCTCCACTGTGGGCGAGCTGCCCTGCTGCTGCTGGTTGTACACCAGGCCCAGCTTGGCAACCTCCATGCGGAGCAGGTGAGTAGCCGACTGCACCTGCTGCCGCGACGGCGCCGGGCAGGAGGCGTCGCAGGCATCCTTGAGCGAAGCCAACGCAGCCTGCATGGTGGTGCATGCATCCTCTGCCGCCTGCTGCACCGTGGCGCTTGCACCGCTCATGGCTCGCGGAATGGAACGGTGATAGGCTGAGCTCGAGGGTCACTGCTGCTGCGGGGCCGGCTGCGCTGCCTTCGGGCCCGGCTTGCCCTTGCTGCAGGCCCGCTGGAAGGCGGTAATCTCCTCCAAGCACTGCAGGCAGAGGGGGCAGAGCTGGTTGAATGCTGTGCAAATGGCAGACGAGCGACAAGCAGCGGCAGCGGAGGTAGGTGCAGGCGGCGGCCGCGCTCGGCCGGTGGGCAACCGGCACCTTCTGCCGGTCTCCCTTGTTCTCCTTCAGGCACTTCTGGAGCGCAGCCACGTCACAGGGGGACAGCTGCTGCAGGGTCTCCGCCTGCAGCAGAGTGAAGGTTTGCACTCGGCACAGTGGCGTGTGCTCGGGGCAGATGCCAAGTTCTCTGACATCTCAGCATTCCCTGCTGCTGCAGGCACGCGCCAGACTCACTTGGATGTCACTGGCCATGCCGAGTTGAACGATGGCAGCTGCTGTTGGGTGGCAAAGGCATCCAGCAGCTTTTGTCGAGGGTTGCTCCGTGGTGGTTGCAATCCGAGAGGTCGGGGCCCCGCCGTACTGTCCAGGTACTGCTGCCAGGTCGGGAAAAGCACAGGAATGCGTGGTTGCGCGAATGTAGATCCTCCCGCGTACCCTCTTCTTCCTGGTTGCTTCCTCTGCTGCTTCCTCACTACCTGGAGATGGCCATGGCGCACGCCAGCCGAGTCCAGGCCGCAGAAGCGTTTGTGAAGCAGAAGCTGGCCAATCACGACTCATCACACGACTGGTGGCACATCCACCGCGTCCGAAACATGACTGTGCGGTTGTCGGATCATTTGTCGGTGGGTCGGTGGGTGGCGGTTGTCGGTTCAGTTGTCGGTGGGTGGCGTGCGGATGCAGGCAAATTGCTGCCCGTTGCTATGCATAGCTATGCACCCATTCATGACCACATTATTCATGACCACACGCCGCCGCCTTGATGGTCACATGCCGCCGCCACCCGTTGTTGGACACACGCCGCCGCCTTCATCACCCGTTTGCAGGTCGCCGAGCAGCAGCTAGCCGAGCTCGCTGCTCTTTGCCATGATGTCGCAGATCATAAGTACAGGTGCGCGTTCCCTTGTGGGATCAAAGCAGCCTGTTCCTGGGAGGCTCCCGTGGCGTTCAAGCATCCTGTGTCCCCCGGCTGTGAATGCAGCGCAGATCCCGAGGCGGACCGCGCCGCCCTGCAGCGCTTCCTGGGTGAGCTGGCTCTGAGCGCAGAGGAGCAGGAGCTGATCATGTATGTGGTGGACAACCTGGGATTTAAAGAGGAGCTGGGCAGGAGGGACGGAGGGGCAGACGGCGCAGCCAGTAGCAGCGGCAGCAGAGGCGCCGACAAGGGCTGCGGAGGCGATGCCATGCAGCAAGACTCGCAGCAGCGTGTGCTAGCGGTGGTGCAGGATGCAGACAGACTGGATGCGATTGGCGCCATCGGCATCGCTCGCTGTCTGACATTTGGCGGCAGGTGAGAAACCGGCTTGGGAGCAGGGCGGATCCCTGCCAGCTGGGGCGTCGCATCCACGCCTGCATTGGACAGCCGGAAACCACCCTGCCAAGTTTCCATGCATGGCCCTGCAGGTTCAACCGCGTGCTGCACGACCCTGCGGTGCTGCCACGGGAGGCCTTGACGCAGCAGCAGTACGTCGACAAGACGGCGCAGCAGACCACGATGACCCATTTCGCGGAAAAGCTGTTCAAGCTAAAGGTGCTGCCATGTCTAGACAGAGGCGCATTGGCATGACTGGGAGACTGCAGGCGTGCGCAGGACAAGACTGCCTCAGACTGCCAGGCTGGCGCTCCCTGTGCAGGACTTGATGCGAACGGCAGCGGGGCGGGAGATGGCGGAGGGGCGGCACGCCTTCATGCAGGAGTTTGTCGACCGCTTCCACGAGGAGTGGCAGGCAGCGGCATAGCTGCGCTGCCTCGGCATGATGAACTGCCGGCAGTACTGGCTGGGCACCGCAGCAGTACCGTCGCCATGTGGCGCTGCCTGCTGTTCTTCAATCGTACCGCTCATCTGGCTTGACACATTAACGCATGGTGCTACCTCATGGCGCGAGTTGCGCTTTGAAGCGCCTGCCGCATGCGTTGAACCCTGCTGAGCTAGTCTGTAACTGCACTTGTTTGCTGGCGAAAGACAGATTACATCAGCCACGGACAGGGATATGGAAACAGTAGAGTACAGAGTGGCAAAGCAGTCGATGGAACAGGCGCAGCTCCCCCTGCAGATGCAAAGCTCAGGCAGCTACGCGATGGCCTCGCCGCTGTGGTCCCGCAGCTCTGCTGCAAAGTATTCTGGCGCACTGATATCGTGCGCCCCCCCGAACCAGTCTAGCAGTCGGGCGGTCGCAATGTGCAGCTCGTAGCTGCAGGTGAAGGGCAGGACAGGGTGTGCCCCAAAGGGTCAGCATCAACAGCCCCAATCAGCGCTGCAAGCACCATCACAAGCACGATGGCATCACACTCACATGTGGAACGCGTGGCCCGCTGGCCACCCGCGCATGTCGGGATGCCGTGAGAACAGCAGCCGCTCCGCCTCCTCCACCTGCCCGGCCGGCACACGCTCCAGGCTGCCTGACAGGCTCAGCTTGGCGCAGGTGGGGTCCTCGGGATCTACTCCGCTGCACGACCCCTCCAGCTGCGCTTCGCATATCGTCAGGCTGGCATTGCTGTTGTATGCCAGGTCCTGCGCGGTGGCATCCATGGTCGTCAGGTAGAACAGCAGGCGCCCCGTGGGCTGGCACCTGGGCCCGTCGCCAAAGGACAGCGCATTGCCGAATGGCGTGCCACCGAGGTGGCGGCTGATCGTTGAGACGGTTCCCCACTCCAACTGGTGAACCAGCCAGCGGGCCATCTTGGCATAATCCGTGTACTGCGGCCTGCAGGGAGAGCGGAAAACAACAGAGAACAAGAAGTCGGGCCAAGTTGAGCGGCAGTGCCCCACCGCCTCCAGTGCCAAAGCTTGGTTCCCAAGCAGGGTCTTAGACCTCCGGCACGATTGCATCCTTCCACATCCGCATTGTTCCTGACCTGGGGAGCTCGGGGCAGGCGAGCCGCTGCTGGAGGGGCCAGGGAGCTGCGCACACCCCAGCAAGGAGCGCCCCTACCGCCAGCAGCACTGTCAGAGTCCTCAGCACTCCCCCCATGGCCCCCTGCGATGATCCAATCCTGCGTGCGACGCTGGATTTGTGAGTTTGCCCTGCGCGAGGTACAGCGGCGCAGGTACTCATGGCTTCGAGCGTCAAACTGGCGCTTCGCAACCCTGCACCACATTCTGTGCACCCTGGCATCACTAAGAGAGTGGCAACCGCACCATTGTTTGCCCGCTCCCTGCATCTCCCTCTGTATGCACTCCCTGGCGGGGCGGGCAGAGTAATTCAGCGGCCGCAGCAGTCGGAGATGAACAAGACCAAAGTTTTCAAGCTAGCCAAGGGGTTCAGAGGGCGAGCAAAGAACTGCATACGGATAGCCCGGGAGAGGGTGGAGAAGAGCTTGCAGTATGCCTTTAGAGACCGCAGGACCAAGGTGGGCTGGATGGTGCTGGTTGGCTGTTGCCCCAGCCTCGGGGCATGGCGCCGCCGCCGCCGCCGCCGCCGCCACCGCCGCCACCGCCTCATGCTGATTCCATGCTATCGGTCAACCATGCCGCTGTGCAGAAGCGGGACATGCGGTCCCTGTGGATCACGCGCATCACTGCAGGCAGCCGCCAGTACGGGGTGAGCCGCTACCCCAGCCGCACCTCGCCGCTGCGTTGCCTGTTGTCCCGCCCGCATTGCCACCACCATCGCCCACATCAATGCCCTTCTGACCGCACCGCACCGCCCACCTGGCCGCTGGCGGCAGGTCAAGTACTCTGAGCTGATCCACGGCCTGAAGCAGGAGAACATCCAGATCAACCGCAAGATGCTGTCTGAGCTGGCGATGAACGAGCCGTACAGCTTCAAGGCCCTGGTGGACCAAGTGCGCTTCATGCGCGGCAGCAGCAGCAGCAGCAGCAGCAGCAGCAGCAGCCAGGAAGCGCCAAAGGTGGCGGCTTCAGCCACAGCGGCGCCAAAGTAGGAGCGCAACGCTCGCCTCTCCCCTTAGCTGTGCTGTTTTCCGGCAAATGCCTGCACACTGTCCGCTCTACTCTGCTTGTGCTGCAATTCTCTCCTGCTTAGGCTCGAACTGACCATGCATTCTGCTGCTGATGCGGCGGTGCACACACCAGGTAACCTGATCTCACCCCAAGCATAAGGGGCTGAATGAGGTGCACTTACAGCACTGTATCATGCCATGCCGATACACCAGTGGCAGGTTTGGGGTAGCGTGCGGAGCAGAGATGTTGGGTACAGAGGGATGGGGTAGGGAGCAGCGGAAGAGCAGAGGATAAGAGCAACAACAACGCAGGCAGGAGGGGCGCAAGCAGTCTCAAAATGTACACGGCAGGGGCATCAACAGAGTAGGGAATCATGGGTTGGGAGGGCAGAGGCACACGCCAGGCAGCGGGGCAAGCCAGCAGAGCCTCAGAAGGGATGGACCCAGTTTTGGCGACAAAAGGCATGCCGCCTCACGGCGGGCTGAGGTTGGTGCGGTGCGCCGCGATTCCGCCGCTCAGAAGGGACACAGCAGACATTGCTGCCTTCTGCGCCGCGGTCAGCTGCTGCTGGTGCGCTTGCTGTGCGGCGGCGGGCGCCACAGGCAGGCGCCGCATCGGCACGCCGCCGTTGGCTGCACCCTGCTGGTAGCCGCCGCGGGCCTGCTCGGGGCTGCTCTCCGCGGCCTGCAGCATCTGCTTGAACGACCAGCGGCCGCTCTGGTTGACCCGGCCCAGCAGCTCCGCCGGCAGGCCCTCCAGCGTCGTCTGCGCCGACCGAAGCGCGCGCAGCGCCTGCACAGCCAGGGCACAGCAACGCCGGTTGCAGGCAGGCATGTCAGTCCCAGCAGCGTCTCAGGCCACGCTGCTGTGCCTTTGCAGGCAGGACCACTAGCACGGCTGCATGCCGCTGCCCCATCTTCATCATCTTCATTGCTTTTCACCCTCCTGCCTGCCCTGCTGCCCACCTGCACTCACTCACAGCTCACCGCACTTGGCGGCAATTCCCTTGCCGCCCGCCCACCCGCTGCCTGCGCCCCAACCTGCGCCCCACCTCCTGGCACTGGCTGCGCTTGGCGGCGATGTCCTGCCGCTCCTCCATGATCGCCTCAAACAGCTCCTCGCGGTACAGCTTGCGGATGAGGTGCTGCTGCAGGCCGCGCTGCACGCTGTTCACCATGAAGTGCATCAGCGCCTG